AAATGTCGAGTTGAATAAGATCAAGAAGATCTCTTTCAAACTGTCCATGACCATTATGGATAGTGTGGCTATCATCAAAGATCAGCTGAATGAGAGAAGCTGGCAGAACAATGATTTGATTCAGGCCTGCTATGCCTTCGCAACAGAGTTTGGCAAACGGTCCTCCAACTATGTCGACGCTAACAGGCGTGCTATGAACAGCGCCCGGCTAGTGGAGTTGTCTCTCGACTGGGTCGCTTTCATCTGTGATGAGTGTGACGCTGCGGACCGAAAGACGTTCAAGTGGGCTGTAGCAGCCTTGGAGTTTGCGATGGCGATCACATCTAGCCGACATCTTTTGTCTATGGACCAAGAACAGTTCAGTGATTTCAGATTGAAAGTGGCGGGATGCATGTCCCTTCTCATTTCTCACTTCGATATCATGGGTGCGCGATCCTCACTTGCGGCGAAGAACGAGAAACGTATGGAAGAACGCAACGGTGCCCGACAGATTGGCGCTGGTCGAATCACTAGTGACGAGGAAGCTTCAAAACTCGTTCGCGACACATGGTACGCACGTGTTGTGGAGATTGAAGATAGGAGAATCGAGGAAGATGCGAAGCGCCAGGCCCTAGGAAAGGTGCTAGAAGGATCTGATGAGGCTGATAGATCACTCACTGTGCTATCCTCGTCGGCTACTAACGTTACTCTGCGTTGGCAGCAAGGCCAGTTCATCGGCGGTGGTACCTTTGGGTCTGTCTATGTAGCTATCAACTTGGACAGCAACTATTTGATGGCTGTCAAGGAAATTCGCCTGCAAGACCCCCAGCTCATTCCCAAGATCGCCCAGCAGATCCGAGATGAAATGGGTGTGCTTGAAGTGCTCGATCATCCCAACATTGTCTCCTATCACGGTATCGAGGTGCACCGTGACAAGGTTTACATCTTCATGGAGTACTGCTCAGGTGGCTCGCTCGCTAGCTTGCTAGAGCACGGGCGTATCGAGGACGAAACAGTCATCATGGTTTATGCTCTGCAACTCCTAGAGGGTCTAGCGTATCTCCACGAAGCACATATCGTGCACCGTGACATCAAGCCCGAGAATATCCTACTCGATCACAACGGTGTCATCAAGTATGTCGATTTTGGTGCAGCCAAGATCATCGCTCGCTCGGGCCGTACAGTTGCCCCATCAGACGGCCCAGCAGCCGGTCTCAAGGAGCCGGTCAAAGATCCCACGAACCAGCGCAAAAACCAGAAGACAACCACGGGAACCCCGATGTATATGTCCCCCGAAGTGATCCGTGGCGACGCAAATCTGGACAACCGCGAAGGTGCAGTGGACATTTGGTCTCTGGGCTGCGTGGTTCTAGAAATGGCAACTGGGCGCCGGCCATGGTCCACGTTGGACAACGAGTGGGCAATTATGTACAACATCGCTCAAGGGAAACAACCCGCGCTCCCATCTCGCGATCAACTCAGCGACCAGGGCGTCGATTTCGTGCGCCGCTGTTTCGAATGCGATCCCGCTCGCCGCGCCACTGCCGCTGAGCTTCTACAGCACGAATGGATTATCTCCATTCGTCAACAAGTTGTCTTGGAGTCTCCTACTCCGAGCGATTATAGCAGCGGCGGTTCCAACTCAAGCTCTCGTCAAAACTCGGCATATATGTGATTTTCTCCTTCTCGCGCCATTCCTTCCTAATCTCTATTTATAAGTTGTCGCCCTCTCTATGTGGACCACATCTGAACATTGACCATGGAATCTAAAAGCGTCCTTTCTATCCAAACTCGCTCGATCTCGCCATTCTTCAACTGACATCGCATGTGATACCCCTGCTCGCCTCTTTTTCTTGCTTTAACGTCTGTTCGCCCAAGCCATACCATAACGTCATCTCATGTTACTGCAACCATCGCTTCATTCACATATGTCCTGAAACTCAGGTCCATGCATTTGTTGGGTTCCTTGATTCTTTATTTTGTTTCGTTTTCACGCGTGAGTTTCATCTATCTGAGGTGCAACGATCTTTTGGCATTTTTCAATATGGCCCTCGGACGTAAACGGATTGGGACCAAGTCTACTTTAGTATCTCGTTTCTCGCATGGTTATTTTTGCTACTTGTATACGTAGTAATCGTATTTGTGCTTTGTTCTAAATTCAAATGTTTCACTTGGTTCATCTGTACATTACGGGAGGAATAGATCGAACAATCAACGATCGACCGTCGTGTCGGATTGATACACACTCAGCCGTTGTTTTATACAGACTTGTTCATCCCAATTATTCTTTAATCGGCAGCTGTGAGCCGACTATAGTCCCTAAGAATGGCCGTTTCTTTCTGCGCTGTGCTCTATTGTATGGATGGACCAGCGAAGGAGCTAATAGCAAAATACCAATACAGCCCTGGAGTCTTAGAGCATATATACGATTACAAAGCACACCTAGTGAGGTTTTTCAATAACTAGGCTGGTCAACCAGCAGCTTGGATGGAAGATAATAACACTAATTTAACAAGATAGGTGAGGAATAAGAAAACAAGAAGTGAAAAAAGGAGAGATTAGGACTCGAAACAGAGGACGAAGGGTAACCAGAACCAGGTCGCCGGAATCGGGGACGGAAACGCCGTTTCGTATATTGCAATATCGTGAAACATGAGGGTCAATCTGAGGATGAGTTGTGTGGATTTAGGCTTTGCCTGAAAATGGATATGGTCTTGGAAATCCTCATGAAATGAGCTGTCGAAATGATGATCAACACTCCAATAGGGGAGAGGAGACTGAGAGCGTAGAGGGTATTTGAGGAAAGGCAAACGGGATAGTGAACTCAATGGAGTTCTGAGAGAACCAAGCTTCTCGTTCTGAATAGTGACCAGGAAGCACTACTTAGCCGTGTAGTATCGGACATAATAACAAAAGAGGATATGAGACACACGAGGACCAAATTAGTCACGTACGAAGTCATGTATGAAATCGTTTTGGCATCAGCAAGCAAGTTCGGCCATATTTAGCGGAACTCGACTGCTGGTGCACATCCACGATCTTCGACGTGCTTAAGTTCAAGTTGTTGAAATCTGTGATGGTGTTAGCATCAAATCGAGCATCTTCAGAAACAAAATATCCATCTACCTTTCGCTCTTTGCGTGGAAGTATACACCGCTCACAGTTCCCTCGATCTGGTTGAAGCAGATATAATAGAACCCTTCGAAGCTGGCACCTGAGATCGTCCGTACTCGATGGTCGGGAACAAGGAAAGATTCCTTCCATCTCATGAATATATGTTCACGCTGGGCGAAGTTGCGGTATGTGAAATCCGCTCTTTTGGCCTGTTTAGCCAGCGGACGCCAGGCGGGAAACCGAGACCAATGGTGCAAGTCTGTCTTTTCCGAGGCGCCCCATTCCTCATTACGAGTCTGGAAAGTGTGTTTGGTGCCGATCACTTCTCCTTCAAAAAAGGTAGTCAGGGTAGGGTGATCTTCTGTCAGGCCTGTGGAGAACAACAAATATTAGTTGAGCAAGGTTCAATGCACGTCCCTGATGCGCACGAATCACAAACCTTGGATTCTAAGGTAGCCACAGAGATAAGACTCGGCCATATCAACATGCTTAATCTCGACATCGACATTGTAGACTTGACGGTCGGATTGCTGAGTTCCAGCGAACTTGCTGCCTGAACGGAGAAACGAGGTGTGGTTCGGGAGGAGCTAATGCGATGGTCAGAAGGTGAGAATATTCGGATATAGCCGACCTCGATACTTACACGAACGTTGGAGAATTCCCAGTTGAGGAGTGAGGATCCCGAGGGCGCTGCTGGTGAATGGCTGCGAAGGCAGGTTGACTCGACAGGTGAAGTAGCCCGGACTGGGCCATCTTCCTCGACGCCCGTCGGCTTTCCTCCTGCCTTCATCGGCTCAGGAGTACCGGCATCATCAGATCGACTCAGCATGGAGGGCGCAATTGGGGTATCAGGTGAAATAGCATCGATAGGATCGCTGTTCGATACACTATCGGGGGAGTCTCGCCAAGCCGAGATCCTTTCGGGCTCCGGTGGACATGTCGTGCGGGCGGCGATCGCCGCGGCGATCGAGTTGTTACTCGGAGTCGGCATTGCAAATCAGGGAAAGAGGGGACGGGACATTGAATCGAAGCAAGACACTCCAGAGCAAAAATTGAGAGAAAAACAGAGAACAAGGGGGATGGATCATTTGAGATCAGCGAACTAAGTCTTTTAAGGCTTGAGGAACGAGCAATGCGGGGACAGTCCAGGTGGGTCAGCTGTTTCTGCGCCTGGCGCGGCGCCACTTTCAATATTGGTTATGTAAGGTGGATGCCTCAGGCCACGTGCCAATCCAGCCAATCAATGGCTTTCATCCACTTTGTATACAATCTTGCACGTTGGAAAGATCAATGGCATGACCAATATTCGGTCCAAATCAGGAGAGGTTGGGCCTTCTTGGGCATTTTTGGGCGAGGACGAGTTGAAGGAAGCGCGATTTGGGACATACTAACCACTAAGTAATTTCAATATTTCCTTATACAAGCCCAACTTGGATGCCCAGGTGAAACCCCAGTCCTGATATGTACTTCCCGATATCGTCAAATATGAACCCGACAATATCCCGGTGACTATTATTGAGGTGATCGAATATGAGGGACTTCCAGGATTGGCCCAAGCTTGAGGAATTAGTGCTGACTTGGCATTGCAGGGAAGTGGATATATATCAAGCGTTGCAGGAATGGATTCGACACACCCAAGGCTAGAAACAAATATTCTCAAGCTACATATCTTCTTCCATGTCTTGCATCTTGCCTTGACATCTTCATACTACAAGCGGCTACAAACACACAGAGCAATTAAATTGCCCAGAAAGGATCGAAGGCAGACATGCCTGAGGGGTATCAATCTCATTGTTTTTGCGCTATAATTGAGTTCGCATCCCAGGTAACCCTCAATGAACGCCTAATGAGTATCATCAAACAAAAAAACCCAGTTATTCTTCAATTTTCTTTTATGCGCTCAATACTTAAATGGGCTTGATCTGTAAAGCAGGGATGGTCAAAAGATGTTGCAAGCGTGGGGGCAAGATTGTCAATACCTTAAAGTGAAGTGAGATCAGCGAGAATACAAGGGCCTTCAGGTCCTGCACAAGATAATAAAAAACGCGAAGTCCTTCGGGGTCGTCGGATTCAGTCACGTCGACTAGCGAGCCGATCTTGGCGGTCTATACGATCCAGTATTAGATGATGGCTGCTTCCGTAAAACACCTGGGTCAATTACCTCGAAGGAAATGTGCTCATTTCCAATCCGAATCTCCAGCTCTTGGCGCCCGTCCTTGTTCTTCTGGGGCCACTTGGAGTCATCCTCCCTAGATGGGGTCAGCGCGGGTGTTCTTCCTGTCGAGTAATCCAGGTGCATACTTAAGGATCTCGCTATCCTTGATAATGCGCTTCACTTCTTCGACCATCGCATCGCTCACGCACACTATTACTATATCAGCCCGTGTTCGTTTCTATTTGGTGTGTATGCTCCTGCTCACTTTCTTTGCGGATGAGGGAATCATTGCGGTAATTCGAGTTGTTCGCATATCGTACGGCGGCACTGCTACCTTCGCCAATGGTGCGGAGATCAAACTCTGCGTGCAAGTTAGCGAATGCGTAGAGGAAAGTGCTTATGACCGGCACGTAGGCTTACCTAGGAACTCATGTCCAAACCGCCCAGAGTGACCTGAGCTGTGAGGACTGTCAGCAGCTGAGGAAACCCGGGCTCACTCATATCATCCTTACTAGTATCGGAGGTAGAAATTCTCATTCGACATCCTGGCGAATCTCAATCGTAGAGGTCGTACGTGAATGAGGAAAGATAGCAATCGACGTCGAAGTGGCAGTTGAAAAGCGGCGGGCTGTGGCTTAGTCATCCACACAGACGGCGCCGGGGGGCCAGATTAAGGGACAAGTTGATGGTCCCTCCCCATTGCGCATCATATAACATCTAATGATTTCAGGGCTGGCGAGGGGTGTTGCTTTACACTAATTGCTTGTTCTTGATATCTGGCGCAAACTCCTATTCCCGGGAGAATTACCTATACTGTATGTGTTTATTTCTACATGCTGATGTGTCCCCAAAACAACCCCGGAACTGACAACTCGCAGCTCTCTTTCGTTCCTATTCCTCCCAATCCACCACCATGGCGTCGTTTCTCGAAAATACCTACAGTTTGCTCCATGTGGACAATACTGCCGACCAGCCGACCGTGCAGGAGCTAAAGCTGCAACTGGAGAAAGGCACCGATGAGACCAAGTTGGAAACAATGCGGACAATTGTCACCATCATGCTGAATGGAGACCCAATGCCGCAAATCCTCATGCACATCATTCGCTTCGTGATGCCGTCGAAAAGCAAGTCATTGAAGAAGTTGCTTTACTTCTTCTATGAAATCTGCCCCAAACACGATTCTACCGGCAAGCTCAAGCAAGAGATGATCCTGGTCTGGTAAGGATCCCCCTGGCCATTGCTATATGATATTTCCTGTCTGACAATTTTTCCTTTCGCAGTAACGGCATTCGCAACGATCTTCAACATCCCAACGAATACATTCGAGGCAATACCCTCCGATTCCTCTCCAAACTCCGCGAACCAGAGCTTATCGAGCCCCTCCTCTCCTCCGCACGTTCGTGTCTGCAACATCGTCACGCCTATGTTCGCAAGAATGCAGTCTGGGCTGTGTCGTCTATTTTCCAGCACTCCGAGTCGCTCATTCCCGATGCGCCGGAGTTGCTTCAGTTGTTCCTCGAATCGGAGACCGACAGCACTTGCAAGCGCAATGCCTTTGCAGCACTCATGTCTATCAGTCACCAGAAGGCGCTCGAGTATCTGCGCACCACATTTGACACAATTCCAAACACAGATGAGTTGCTCCAGCTAGCCGAGTTGGAGTTCCTCCGGAAGGACGCAGTACAGAACACTCAGAATAAGGTGCGTTTATTGGACTCAAATCAAAATGTTAGATCACTAACGAAAAACAGTCGCGATACCTGAAACTCATGCTCGAGCTCCTCGACGCGCCCACTAGCACCGTTGTTTATGAAGCCGCAACATCTCTTACCGCCCTCACAAGCAACCCCGTTGCTGTCAAAGCCGCTGCGAGCAAGCTGATCGAGCTCGCCATTCGGGAGGCCGACAACAACGTCAAGCTCATTTGTTTGGAACGCGTGGACCAGCTCAGAATTCGCAATGAGGGTGTCTTGGACGACTTGACCATGGAGGCCCTGCGGGTTCTCAGCAGCCCCGATATTGATGTCCGGAGAAAGGCCCTCAACCTTGCTATGGAGATGGTCTCGAGCAAGAATGTGGAAGAAATCATCATGCTGCTCAAGAAAGAACTTGCCAAGACTGTCGACGAACAATATGAACAGGTAGGTTGTACGCTCACTCTGCGCAACGCAGCATTACTAACGACATCCACAGAATAGCGAGTATCGCCAAATATTGGTACAGTCAATACACTCCTGCGCTATCAAGTTCTCTGAAATTGCTGCTAGCGTGGTTGATCTCCTGATGGACTTTATTGCCGACTTCAATAATAACTCCGCTGTCGATGTGATCTCGTTCGTCAAAGAGGTCGTGGAGAAATTCCCAGACTTGCGTGGGTCAATCGTTGCCCGCTTGGTTTCAACTTTGAGTGAGGTTCGAGCTGGAAAGGTTTACCGCGGAGTTCTCTGGGTTGTTGGTGAATACTCCCTGGAGGAGAAGGATATTCGGGATGCTTGGAGGACGATCAGAGCCAGCCTTGGTGAAATCCCAATTTTGGCATCCGAACAACGACTCCTGGATGAGGTTCCGGATGACAATGCCCTGCTGATGGAGCAGGCCAATGGCCATTCCAAGGCCGCACCTACTGGATCCCGAAAGGTGCTTGCAGATGGCACCTACGCCACCGAAAGTGCTCTCACCAGCCAATCGGCGGCAGCAGCTCGTCTCGAGGCTGTCAAGGCCGCACAGAAGCCTCCTCTGCGCCAGCTTATTTTGGACGGCGACTACTACCTGGCAACGGTGCTCTCTTCGACTTTGACCAAGTTGGTGATGCGTCATTCCGAGGTGTCGCAGGATACTGCTCGTACCAACGCTCTCCGTGCCGAAGCCATGCTTATCATGATTTCCATCATGCGCGTTGGCCAATCTCACTTCGTTAAGGCTCCTATTGATGAGGATTCTGTGGATCGTATCTTGACCTGTGTGCGATCCCTGGCCGAGTTCTCCGAGAAGAAGGAGCTCGAAGTTACTTTCTTAGAGGACACCCGAAAGGCGTTCCGCGCCATGGTCCAGGTCGAGGATAAGAAGAGGGCTGCCAAAGAGGCAGTGGAGAAGGCCAAGAGTGCCGTGCAGATTGACGATGCCATCCCCATTCGCCAATTCACCAAGAAGAACGCCGTCGAGGGTGGAGAGGAGATCGAAATGGATCTTGCCAAGGCAACTGGTGGCGATTCGACTGTGGAAGACGTATCTTCGAAGCTTAGCCGGGTGGTGCAATTGACTGGTTTCTCCGATTCAGTCTATGCTGAAGCCTATGTGACCGTTCACCAGTTCGACATTGTTCTTGACGTCCTGTTGGTTAACCAAACAACGGAAACTCTGCAAAACCTGTGCGTGGAGTTTGCAACTCTCGGTGACCTCAAGGTCGTTGAGCGGCCATCCACCAACAACCTAGGCCCACGCGACTTCTTGAACGTCCAGGCTACGGTCAAGGTTTCATCAACAGACACTGGTGTTATCTTTGGTAACATTGTCTATGACGGCGCCAGCTCCACCGAGACCCATGTGGTCATCCTCAACGACATCCATGCCGACATCATGGACTACATCCAGCCTGCTCACTGCACCGAGACTCAGTTCCGTACCATGTGGACTGAGTTCGAATGGGAGAACAAGGTTAACATCAATTCGAAGGCCAAGACTCTCCGTGAATTCCTCAAGCAGCTGATGGAAAGCACTAATATGGCCTGCTTGACGCCGGATGCTTCGCTGAAGGGAGATTGCCGCTTCCTGAGCGCGAACCTATATGCACGCAGCGTGTTCGGTATGTTTACAATAATCTACCCCTTTCTATTTGACATGATAACTGACTATGACTAGGCGAGGATGCACTAGCAAACTTGAGCATCGAAAAGGAGGGAGACGATGGGCCAATTACAGGATTTGTGCGGATAAGAAGTCGCTCCCAGGGCCTGGCACTGAGCTTGGGCTCTCTGAAGGGTCTCAAGGCAGCGACTGCATAAGTCAATGTTTTTTCCAGCGGTTTGCGGTCCATATGATGCTTTTTATCCTTTTTCCCCCTCCCTTCTGTCTGTGTTGTTCATTCGAGACGAATTTGTTTTTACTTATATGTCTCTTTATTGTGTAGATGAGATTGATGTCTCGTCCGGCGTAGTGGATAGAGAACAATGTCTTTTGATATTCCCAGGGCATTATAGTAGCCTCTAAAGAGAGATCTATCTATTTATGCACATAAAAATGTCTTACTCTATACTTCATCCTTCGTACATATTTCAGATGCAGGGACCACATGCCCCGGGCCCACCGGAACTCCGCGGCTGCATACGGGCATTTTCATTGTCTATCATTACCTTTCTTCCCCTAGACTATTTTATTCTTATATTCCTCTATTCCTCTGTCCCTCTTTATCTATGATGTCCTGAATCTTCATTCTTATCCAAAATGTCCTCCACAGACAGCTCCTCGCAGGAGCTGCACGGCACAACCCTGACGGTCGACCAATCTGTCTCTTTGACCATCGCCGCCAACTCGCTCCTCATATTAGGTATGGACTACTTACTCCACACTCGGTGTGTGGGAATATGCTTACCTATGCAGATGACCGCTCGCCTCGCAAAGACCGTCGCTGCTGCGGATTACTCCAGTCTAGTAAGTTGGTGCCAGCCCCTTTGGCAATCACCGCGTTATCGCGGGCGCTACTGTCGATGGAAAATGGTCTGACCGGGGTGTACGTGCATTTTAGATCCAGAAACCAACCATGCCATCCCGTTGTACAATATCCTCGGCGCCGAAGTCACCGCTTCTAATCTCGTCATCGCCTACGCACACCCTGCTGCCAAGGACCAAGTTTCCGTAACGACCGCCCAATACCCGATATCCGAAAAAGAAAAAAGGGTCGTCGAGACATGGGTACAGCAACTACTTGATATGGCGTATGGCAAGGCACTGCGTGGCAAACGGCTGAAGGTATTGGTCAATCCTTTTGGTGGGAAGGGCACAGCTGCCAGTTTGTATCAGCGATATGCGGCACCAGTTTTCGCCGCGGCAAAGTGCCAGGTGGATGTACAGAACACGGAACATAGGGGTCATGCAATTGAAATTGCGGAAAATCTCGATGTCGACGCGTACGATGCGGTCGTTTGCTGTTCTGGCGACGGCTTGCCCTACGAGGTGTTCAATGGGCTGGGTAAGCGTCCAGATGCTCGAAAAGCGCTAGCGCAAACCGCCGTTGCACTTCTCCCATGTGGCTCTGGAAATGGGTTGACATGGAATGCCTTCGGGACTGGTAGCGTCTCGATTGCGGCGCTGGCAATCGTCAAGGGGCTGAGAACCCCGCTGGACCTCGTCTCAATTTCCCAGAAAGATTCGCGCACGCTCTCTTTCCTCTCGCAATCTTTTGGTATCGTCGCCGAGTGTGATTTGGGTACTGAGAATATCCGTTGGATGGGCGCTCAGCGGTTTACATACGGTTTCCTGGTCCGTTTGATGCGGCAGACCATATGGCCTTGTGATATAGCCATTAAGGTGGACATTGGCGACAAGGAGGCTATTAAGGAACACTACGCTATGTGGTCTACACGTCCACTAGAGCCGGATGCTGACACCAAACGTTTCGAGATTGCTGCAGAGTCCCCAGGTCTACCAGAGCTCAAGTACGGTACAGTGACGGACGAACTACCCCAGGGGTGGGAGGTAATTTCGGGAGAAACCATGGGCAATTTCTATGCGGGAAATATGGCCATCATGTCGAAAGACACAAATATGTTCCCTGCAACATTGCCGGACGACGGCCTGATAGACGTGATCACTATTGACGGAACAGTCAGCATTGGTACATCGATTAGTATGATGAACGAAATCCCCAGTGGTCGCTTCTTCGATATGCCAGATCTGAATATCCGCAAAGCTTCTGCGTTCCGTCTAAGTCCCCACAAGAAGGAGGGCTACATCAGTATTGATGGTGAACGGGTGCCTTTCGAGGCGTTCCAAGCCGAGGTCCACCAGGGACTGGGCACGATACTCACCAAATCAGGCCGTCTCTATGAGGCGGCAGGTCCTCGCTAATTCGTGCCTTCGGTCCGCCTCTCGGACGAAAGTCGCTGTCCGTTCTATCATCCTTGGGAGTCCGCTTCCTATATATCCATTGCTTGCCGGGTCTTTGCATCCACTCATGATACCCTGGGAATTGGTGCTTTGTCAATAGGTCACATTAGACATTTGATACTCTGTGGTCAGGCCGTACAGTAAAAAAATGAAACAGGTGCCATGTGAATACATTTTATAGTCCATTACACCTGTAGGCCTAGCACCAGCTTCTTTGTAATACAACCCGTGATGCCTTTGATGGACATATCGTTAGCACGCTGTGCAATGAATTTAGTCTGTTTATACAAATCCTCAGTTACTATAACTAAAATTTTCATTCGAAGCCACCCCATTCCTCCTCACTGTCATCTTCATCGTCGGCCTTCCTTGTCCGAACACCCCACTCGATCAACCGCTCATCCTCCAAGGCCTCAGCGGCCCTCGTCCGAACAGGCTTGTAGGCACTTTCAGCGCGCAGCTTCTCCAACGGCCTCAAAATAAGCTCAATGGGCACATCGCCCTTGATCTTCCGCTTCGGAGTCTCCTCCCCGTCCTCACCAGCCACCTCCTCAAACTCAAGAACCTTCTCCAACTCATCGACCCAGATGTCAATAAGATGGTAGCGCAGTCCGTCAGGACCATGCGGCATAGGCACGTAATTCGGGTCTCCCTCATCCGGGGCCTGATCCTCATCATAGTTCAACGGGCACAAAGGACCCTCTTCGATAATGGAGATATAAGCCGCGAGATCGGGGAATTTAGCCTCGAATTTAGCCTCGAGGTCTTCGGCACTGTCCTTCTCCTCCTCGTCTTCGGCGGTCTCAGCCTCAGCCTCGGCCTGCTTCTTCTGCTTCTTGCCGCGACCCTGCTTGGCTGCGTCTTCGCGCTTGCGCTTTTTCCCGTCCGCGCTTTTTGTTGAGCTCTTGTTCTTCACGAGAACTTCGAATGCCACACCGACGTAGAAACGGATCAGCATCAGGTACTTGTCCAGCCGGATGCGGTCTAGTGAGTGGTAGTCCCGGCCGATGGTGATCCAGAAGGCGCGCAGGAAACGGTGGAGAGTTGCGTGGGGGAGGGAGGGGACGAGAGAGTAGGAGAGTGCGCGGGCGAGGGCTTGTTGTGTGAGGGGTCGGTCGGAGTGGTAGAAGCCTGGGAGAAGGTTAGTTTTGCTGCGGTTTATGCCTCGCGAATATAGCGGAGGTGCATACAGTAGAACAGGCCCTTCCACAGTTTGAGGAGATCAACGAGGGTCAGATCGGTGCGAGACTGCACGAATTTGGTTAAAGACTCAAGAGCCTTGTCGCGGACTTTCCGGTCTAAAGATATAGGTTAGCGTTATAGTTTTGCATTAGGAAAAGGAATATGCATACCACTCGAGCCGAGCTCCCTCACAAAAGGAGTTTTTTGGCCGTCCATTGGTACGGTTTATCTCGAGGATTGACAAGACTAGCGATTGAGAAGCCTGGATATCAAGGTGGAGGTGGGCGTTTGATCTTAGAGAAGGTATACAGAGGCTACCCTTGAAAAGGTACGCAATTGAGTTGAGTTCAATCAAAAGTTCGAGATTAACGAACTGCGCTGTCTTGAGATTGCGATAAATTATTTTTTTTTTCTTTGCGATAGAGTTGTTTGCACTGTTTGTCTAGAAGCTCCAGATCGGTGATTAGGTAATGAAATTTCTTGCCTGAGCTATAAGGCTTCACATCATCCGCCGATCCGCCGAAAGACGAAAGAGAAAAGTCACGGAAAGTACATAGTCCTTCCTTGATCATGCATAGGCTACATATTTAAAAGCAGTCAAGCAGTACATCAATCAAATCAAATCTTGCTTGAGAGGCTTGAGCATATTCAAGCCGTCGATTAAGGGCTCAGTGATCTGCATCTGCTTTCGCGTTCATACTTCCAAGGTTAAGAGATGGGCCACTCACTTACCAAGACTATGCTTTTAATCTCTCCAGAACTGCCTATCAGTCCTAGTCGCCCAGTGTCCAGCACCCTATAAGCTGGTATAAGCCAGTCCGAATAACAGGATTTTGATGATCAACTGTTCTAGTAAAAGGGATGCTGAAAATGGCATCAATAGTGTCATTTTCGGCGTCTAATTTACCGCCATTAAGTGTTGTCTGTAGATATAATTACCCCTGAAGCTGTATGGGACGAAATAGACAGAATTTAATAATGAAATCGAATACTGCCATCATTCATCAATCATCATCCATGATATGTGCAGCCCAAATAGCAGCAAGGGTATGAAGAAAGAAACCAAAAACGCCAATGTAAGAAACGATAATTATTAAAGTGACCTTCCACGTCTGGGTGGCAAGCCTGCATCAAGTAAGATAGAGATCGCCATATTTTATTTCGGCAGTTTGGCCTCCCATTCATCAATAAGCCTGGATAACTCCCTAAAAGAAACAGGCTTCATAAGGAAAAGGTCAACTCCTGAGTCCAGGGCCCTGAACTCATCGCGTGTACTGCTGAGTCCGGTCAAAGCGATTATTGTGGCTGGCATACAGTCACCCCGTTCTTTCTCAATTGCACGAATGGCGCGCGTTGCCTCAAATCCGTTCATAACTGGCATAGACATGTCCATGAAAATAAGGTCATATCCCTGCAACATCCTTTCGACTGCATCCACGGCCGCTCTGCCATTTTCGGCTTTATCTAGGACCCTGACTTTTCGTTTGTTCATGAGAGTCATCATAAGATGAAGGTTGATGTTGTTGTCATCTACCACCAAGACCCGAGGCCTGCTTTGGCTCCCAGTTAAGGTAGTGACATGATCTGAGCCTCCAGATGAAGACTGAGTAGATAAAGACCCAGGATTGGTGGAATCAGTACTCCCGGATGTTGTGCAGCCAGAGCTGTCGGTACGCGATGTCGATACAAAAGCGCTACGCCCTGTAAGACCAATGATGCAATTGCCTGACGCCGCCATGGGAATTGGTGGTTTAGCATCTGGTGATCGTAGATTTCCTGGTAATGAGGGATTGGACTGTCTAATTGGCAAAGCCGAGCCTGCAGGATTGGGTCGCTCTGGAAGTACTAAGCCTTGCCTGGGATTCTGCGGTTTCAACGTAGGGGCTGTCGGCTTTGTATTAAGACAGCTCAAGATACCACGGGAAAGTTTCCGTGGACCGCAAGGCCGATGTAGGATTGCCAGAGTGTCAGCAAGATGCGACCATTGTGCCCTAGACTCACCATAATCGCTAGTCTCGCTGCAAAAGACGAGCAGACTTGGCAATTCTGGTGGGAAATTGTGTATTTCTTTTGTAGACAAATCCCTTTCATCCGCAAACAGAATATCTATAGGCTCATTGGTAGACAGAGGAACAAGCTGCAGACCATACCAATCCGTGATATACCGAGCCATGGAAGCCCAGAACTGATTCTCGCCAAGACGAGACGGGTCGATTCCCCAGATAGCAGCACGTTTCCCATTACAGCTGGCACGTCGGGGTTGAGAAGATGCCGTGAGTATATTTTGGTCCGAATTTTCTCTTTCTGACGTTGATCGTGGGCTTTCTTCCCCCACTAGACGTTCAAGAGGAAGCGACACTTTGACAATAGTGCCTTCGCCCTGTCGGCTTCGAATATTAATTTTTCCGTTGAGGGTCTTCACAATGCCGCGAACAATTGATAGGCCGAGACCAGTGCCTACTGACAGCGGATCCTCTTGTGAGAATGGAATGAATAAGTTCTTCTGAAGATATTGCTTCGAGATTCCCTTACCCGTGTCTGAGACGGTCAATGTCACCATATCTTCGAGACCTTGGCGCCGAGAGCGACCTTTTGAGCGCTCAGTAGCCTCGATGCAAACAGAGATCCGACCCTTTTCGGTGTACTTCAGTGCATTGCCAAGGATATTCATAATTAAGCGTCTCAGCGATCCCGGCTGGACTTTGTACATCCAGTCATTGTCAGGAATGTCAACAACGACGTCCACTCCTGAGATGTGACCAACTTCGTTGGTATTTGATGTTGATTTGGAAGGCAGTGTTGACAGGATATCTGTGGCACGATTGGTGGACATGGCTGACTTCTGTATATGGGAATGACCCAAGCACACGCTGTCTATGACATCTTCTGTCAAGAGAGCCACATCTGTCAAAACCAAGGTATCCAGGCGCGGCACAGTGTCCTCGGATGATTTAGGTTTCCATGGATCTTTTCCACGCCTGAAGGTTTTCTTGTGTCTTTCCAATGACATGATTTTGCTGAAGTCTAGAACTTGGTTCATTGTATCCAAGAGAGTTCGACCGCATGCATTTATTGTATCAAGGAGGGTTTCTTGGAACTGGTCCAAGGTAGTACTTCCGAAGAACTCGGCTGCAGCTAGAACACCATGCAACGGGCTGCGTAATTCGTGGGATATGCTGCTTATAAAATCCCCTTTCTGGCGGTCCGCGATGACTGATTCAACACGGCTGTATTCGGTCATAATAGAAGAGCCGAAGGCAAATACTGAACTCAGATCAACAGCAGGACTGAAAACTCGCGTTGGCCGGGGAGTCCAACAAAAGCACCCGGCGAACCACTGGGAATCTGTGGCATTCCACAGTGGGACAAACATGATTTGAGATGCAGCAGGGAAGAACTCATTAAGTTTGCTGGTCTCTGAAGCCTTGGTCTTCTTCCTTTGCTTTCTGGAATCGTCTGTTGACTGATCTTCCGACGTTGAGAACGTCCCATCGCGGTGAAATGACCAGAGTTTCCCTTTAGGATAGCGACGCGTCAACTGTTTCAGGAATCTGTTGTTAAGGTTGACAGCTGGATCCGACAGCGTAGAGCTTGCTTGGTATGAAAACGGATCACCTCTGGTGGACAGCGCAAGAATAGGAGCAGGATCTGTGGATCCAGCAGAGTCACTATGACCGGCTGCGACATATTCGGAGGAGTTGTCACTAGCCTCCAAGAACATGACACCGCCAGCGCCGTCCAAGTCCAGACTTTGTCGCAAGAGGTTCGCAGCACGTTGGAAAAGCCAGTGGTTGCTGCTCGAGGAATCCTCTGAACTACTGTCGTCCTGTTGCGAGCTGCGCAACGATTCCGTTGGACTAGGGGGAGCACACATATAATTATACTTGGAATCCGGGCTCAAAGGTTGTGCATCGCCGTTTCGAGACGCATTTCCTGGTCCAGTCTGTGCTGAGCAAAATTCCAATTCATCGTTTTGGGGGCTTATAGGTTGGCGGGTTCTGAGGTGAGGTGATGCCTGCGGAGACGAACTATGTGCTGAGCTGTTCGATCGAGACGACATGTGAGCGTTGCTGGCAAAACTGGAGTTGCCATCGACGAAAAGATGGAGACCACGTGATAGCCGTGAGGCCCGTCGCCCTTCTGCGGCTTGACGACTAACTAATAAATAGTCCATTACCAACTCCGCCACTTTTCCTAATGTATCCTTCTCGATATCGGATAGCCCTTGACGGGGTTCAGAATCCAACACAAACAGACAGCCCAGGTTGATACCGCTATCACTAGTTAGGGGAGTTCCGGCATAAAACCGAGAGTGTGGCTCGTGTGTCACAAAAGGCAATCCTCTGAATCGTTCTTCCCGCTGAAGATCGTTGACGATTAAAAATGAATACGATCCATCTTTGTTGTCTGAGTCAATCGCAACTGTCTCCTATTCGAAGGAGTAGACGTCAGTATGTAAAATATCGCAGTATTTCAAAGATCGGCCTACCTGGCATATATTCCAAGAATCTGACAATGTCGATGTCCCAGCAAAGAGCCTATCCCCTTCCCCAACGGATGACCTTGAGCTTTTAAGATTGGTGTTTCTTGTGGCTTCAGCCAATATAAACTGAGAGTCGCTGTTCAATACACTTTGCAAAGGGTCAGATCAGAGTCCACGCTAGAGCAGGAGAGTAATGTACGTAATAAAAGCACGCTGCGCGTTCAGGCGTAGAGCGGCCAGTTGTGCAAAAGAAGTCAAAGTTGTATTTGGGCTTGACGGAGAGCTGCCTTCGACAAAACTTCTCTCTGAGGCAGAGGCATCGGGTACAAAAGGGGTTGTGACTCTTGAAAAATCTGCTATTGCGGCCAGATGCTCATCAAATTGGAAAAGTGATGCATTAAGCGCCGCTGGATTTTCCGGTTGGAAATATCGATATACCTCCCGTTTCTGACGGTCTGCCTCGTAGTCCATGGTTTGGCTGTATGGGATGAACATAACCCTAAAGCCCAAAGCCTAACAAAATGTGGGATATTAACACGCGGGGGTGAAAGAGCTACCAGGTGTACGCCAAAGGAGTTATGATAGACATGTACTCCACGTACGTCATGACACGTGATGCCCTGCATGTGTCGATCGTGTGGAGTCGCTAAAACAACTCTGAGAACTTGCGGTGATAGGCCAAATATGGAAGAGCTAGCTTGAAATGCGGGCTCATCGTTGGTGTGGACCTCTATGTACATAGGTAACCAAACTTACATGAGAATATGACACAAAAATCTTGGAAGTGTGGAGACATTAGATGTTAGATCAAGTAATTAAGGGGCGCAAAATTCGACAGCTGGGGACGATGATATCTTGAGAGCCAGTCTGCTTTCACTCGAGTATGGGTATCACCACATGAGATATCATGCTAAGGTAAAGAGAGTATGCCAGGTTGTAGATGGCAAAAAGTAAAAAAAAAGATTGGGGTATTATGCGAAAAGAGATCCGATGACAGAAACGCCAGAACGCTGGAGGTTCAAGTAGAGAGGACGAGAAAAAGAGTGATGTTGGCGGTAGTGGTGGGTCACCGACGATGTGTCAAAAGGGTCTCCTAGGATCGGTGTCCAAGGTTTAGGTCTTTAACAGGGGAAACGAGAGCATTGACAACATGGCCAGTCTTCCACCCTTGGTCAACGAGTGGTTCACGCTCATTCAGCAAGTGACCCAGGTAAGCGATTCGAACGCGCCTATCATCCTCGAGCTAAAGAACAAATTAGCAATATTCTAGAGAACGAAACGAACTGATCAATAAGAACAAAAACCAACCTTGGCTTCCTGATGCACCCTCCTCGCCAAAAATCCCACAGTCTGACCCTTACCAATAGAAAGCAGTATATCCGGACCTCCACGATCACTCAAACGAGCAAGCACACGGATCAAATTCCGTTCACTCGTCTTCCCCTTCTCCTCACGGCGGCGTTCAACATCTTGCGAAATTAACTCGTCCCCGGAAGCATCCGCATCATCATCAGCGAGCTTACTATCTGAGAGCATCCCAGCATCCTGCTCCTCCTCATACCCAGCAGGGCCGCCATCCTCACTAGCCGTCCTCGAAGACGAAGGAACGATGTTCTCCGGATCACTAACAACACATTGTGGAACCCTGTAAAGCACGCCTTGCTCATCGTAGCAGCCCTCACAAAGATCCCCGGTGGGAACAGTAATACCCGCCGCATCTAAAATACCCTGCGCAGTAGCCAAGTCACCGTTGCGAATCAGCGATATCACCGTGGAAACAGCGGCCCATATCTCCGGCCTGCCGGTAACGCGCGTCTCGAAGAACTCGGTGCGCTCGCGGTCCAGCTGCGCACGCGTCCATGTCCGTCGCTTACTGTACCACACATGGTTACGCACTGGCTCATTATAGTGCTCGTTTAGAGGGAGGCTGGCGGTGTGCCGCGTGCGTTGCCTTGGTTGCGTGGTGCGGTCACTGGTATCCCTCGTGGCTGTTGTATGTGAGATGCGTTCTTGGGTGTGGGAGGTTTGGTTGTCGACATTATGCGACAGTACTGACGCGCAGCAGCCCTGTGGAGTTTGTTAGTATGGTTATGGGGCCATTGCGGGTTGGCATGGTATGGAGATGACGGCCGGGGCTTTCGGTCGTGTGACGTTCGATGCCAAGCCTGTCTTATTGATGATAATATAGGCATAGGTATAATTTCTGAGGTTATCATGGTCGGGGTTGAATTCTTACCATCTTACTCGTACTCAAGGATCTCCATATGAGGAGGGGAAATAGTTGGAGAGGGGTTGGCGTGGAGTAGTGGTCAACGCTCTAAGGCGAACTAGATCTGAAGGCTGAGCACAGACCTACTAGGTTAGAACCCTGGGGACGAGGCAAAGGCGTCGAGGAAAAGGAGGCAACCGTTGAAGGAAAAGGAATAGAAATGAAATAGAAAATGAAACAGAAACAAAGAGAAACAAGGCTACATTCCACAATTTCTCCCATTCGCGCATTTAATGCCGCGGGGATGACTCCAATAGTCACACCACCACAACATTGAATGATTTACAGAGCACAATTGCTTAATTCGTACAAGGTACAAGACTGTAACTGAAAAAAAAAATACATGAATTCTCATTGATTTTACAAATAAAACCAATTCTAGTCATCTTCGTCATCACTCCCAAAGATAGCTTTAAAGACAGCATCGCCGGGCCGCTCTGCCTCCAGGGCATCATTGCGCTCAGGTTCAATAACTACCGGTGGTGGCGCCGCACTAACAGGCTGACCAGATGGATCAAGACCATCTGCTGTTGGAAGGTAACCCAACGAGTCTATGAGGAGTTGGTTCATGATATCCTGCGATACCAATTGTTTTGGGCCAGTTTCGGCTTGGAAACCAGCGGACTGGAAGCGCGTGCCAGGTCCGGAACTGGAGGCTCCAGGCCGTTCAGGGTCAAGTTGCACATTCTCCGGTGGTTTGACGTTAAATCGCTTGCATAAAAGACGAGATGGGTAAAAGGGGATTGTGCTTCGGGTCATTGGGCCGAACATGCCAACTTTGGCAGCTGCTACTGCAGGATCGTCCGGCTTTTCAGCGGGTCTACTGAGCCCAGATTCTGTAGAGTCGGGAGCATCCGAGACAACCTTGGGCGCGGTAGACGAGGAGGTAAATCGTGATGCCATAACCCCAGACATGGGTTTGAAGACTTCTGCAGCTCGGCAAAATTCTTGCATCTCTATAACCCAGTCATCGGTGCTAGACCCTTCCGCCCGTTCTGGGAGGGTAGAGCGAGCCCCGGCACTAACTTCGAGAAATATTTGGTAGCGTGCACGCTTTTTCTCATCTTCTTGGTAAGGCAGCCACCCACCACCGGCCCGAGCTAGGGCCTGGGCGGCAGTCTGTTTGTCGAGTTTTGGTACGAGGTCCCAAAGATCCTTGCGCTTCTTTGATTCGGGGAGTTCGTATCCTTTGGGTGCCTTTTCTCCTAAAGCTGGAGGTAAATTGGCGTTGCCAGTAAGTTTGGCAATCTTCTCCCGTGCTTCGGGGGTCATATAATCAAAGATAGACTTCCCAGGCAGTTGATCCTCGCCCAGAAGTGCTGCTCTGGACGTGGGATTAAGCGACGAAGCTTTTGCGGCGTCAGCTGTAGAGACATACTTTGATTTATCTCGTTTTTCTGACGATATTTCCTTGGCTGGTTTCCAGCCCTCGGGTATCACAGGAGGATCGTATTTCTTCTCTGAAATCGACAGTCCCGAGATCCCATCGGCAAGAATGAATCCATCCAGCGGTAGGCGCCCGTCGCGGCACTTCCTGAAACCTCCAATTCCGCGTGATGCCGCCACCTTCTTCGATATGAACACGGGCTTTGAATTCAAGAGTGGGTTGGATGACGCGATTGTTGGTTCTGGTTTGACCTTTTTCTTCTTTTTCTTATCCCCTCCAATGGTCTTGTTATATGAGATCTGTGGACCCAGAGAATAAGGATCCTCGTCGTCCGACCCAGTGTCATTGAGAGGGCCAACTCCGAGTCCTCCCCGCCGTGATTCCTTCGGTTTTGGGAGCTGAGCTTTCCCTTGAATAGCCAATCGCCCCCCAAAGAACGAATCGGATTCCTCGGCATCTGGTATGGACGGCAAAGCATTGTGAGACTCTAGGCGCGATTCGCCTTCAAACCCAAGACCTTTGCGGTCGGTCTTGCGAATAAAGGCAACCATGGGTGGGTTCTCAGGAGCAAAAAGGTATGTTTCCTCCGCATAACCACCCGGAGCAGAGCTTTCGTCCAGATTGGCCTTGCGTCGCACCTTAGGTCCGATCCCTTGACCTTCGCGCCAACCCATCTTTTTCAAGAGCTTCACTCCCATAGTTTCTCCGCTGGTTTTCAATATATCCATGAGTCCCGCTCTGCGTGTAGCATCTAGCTCCGTTGAACCAAAGCCGGCGAATTCATCGGAGGTCTGTAGTTGTCTGGATTCTTCCTGTTCTCGCAGGTCGTCCGCGTCCATGAAATCTTCAGGTCGTTTCTGTTCGGCCTTCTGGGCACGGTTCTGGCGCGATGAGACAAAGGTCGCAGGGGTCCATCCTTCTTTCGAGCCGACGGAGTTGAAGTATCTAACAGACGTCAGTGGTTGTCCTTCCAAGGGTCGTTTGTTTAGAGGCGGCTATTCACCCCGCGCTGAATCCACCGGTGAAAGCGCCATGAAGACGCTTGCTCCCGTTTTCGTCCCGCAGTTCCTGTTTCCATATTGGCACAAAGGACCCATCATCGCGAACTCCGTCGTCGAGTGGTGGTAACGGAGTTCCATAGAAGGCGTATGGTGATTGCTCTGCTTGAAGATCGGCCTCGAGCGCGGCGCGAGTACGTTTTAGAGCCATAATTTTCGAATGGGACAGTCACCCATGAGGAGTAATTGGTCACGTCATCTGCATGGAAGAAATTATGCGCGTCGAAAGAAGTAATGAAGATGTGGGAGTCGCATTGACAGCTCTGAGCTGCGGGTTTGTGCCTGAGGCCTTCGAAGGATCTGGCTTACATAAGAGCCGAGTCAGGAATGTCTCACCGCCGGGCCATGAAGAACCCGTGGGCAATAACCCTAATGTTTAGTCTAATTTGTATGTTGTAGATCAGTCGTGAAATGATCTTTAAAACATTGATTAATTATGAATATATCAGTTCTAAAATATGCGATATATTAGTATCCTACAATATTCACATACACCAAGAGCCGACCGTATCCGAATCAAATTGGACTCGGCCTCTGCTCGGTCATCCCCGCCGAGGGGTTCCTGATTGGGCACGTCCACGGATTGCTCGGCCACGTTCCAGCAAGGTGATCTACATATTCTATACAAGGTTGCCGATAGATATTACCATGTTGTTCTGATAGGCCGCTTATAGGTTGCTTATAGTTCGCTTAGAGGAAACACCACATGTAATTTTAAATAAACCTTGGAAAGACCAGCCAAGAACTCTATTAGTATGATGCTTGTAAAACCCTTGGCGTGGGAGGCTAAGGGGCCTTAGGCGGCACTCTTACTTTTTTCCTTTCCTCTTCTCAACTCCTAGATGTTTGCTACAATTATGTCCTTCTTCACCCCCTTTTCATAGCCTTCGTGCTTTCTTTTCAATAATCCCTGTAAGATTGTCGAGATTTGGTGTGCGGCTAGAACCTACCTGGGTAGCTCCCGACCTTGGGAACCAATTCTCAATGCTCCGCCCGTTCCCTCGGAACCGCAGGGCATTCTACTTGCTACTGGCCTGCGCAGCAACCTCCATATGCTTCATCAACCTCCTGTTCCTCACCCATGCGGTCGACAGTTCCGTGATCCGCCTCCCTAATCTGGGGCTCTTCACCGCAACAACGAACCCCGTGTTCGGAGAGTATGCGCACGATGAACACCCTATTGCCGACCTGATGAAAGAAGCGGACCGGAAATGGCTAGAATATGACCATGGTCGCTCGACAAGTTTCCGCCGAACCGTCGCCAAATACCGCGAGACATATGGACGACACCCACCTCCCGGTTTCAAGGAATGGTACATGTTCGCACGCAAAAAGAATGCGCATAACGTGGACGACTTCGAGCAGATTACGGGCGATCTGCGACCTTTTTGGGCGGTACCTCCAGCGGAAATTCGACAGATGGCAGCCAAGCTACAATTCAGCGACGGGATTGCAGGTGTGCAGATTCGCAATAAGAAGGTTGTTTACTCCCCCATTGAAGGGTGGAGAGTTGAAACACTGAGAAAGTCGATTAAACGCATTGCTCGGTATCTTCCGGACATGGATATTGCGCTTAATATTTTGGATCAACCGCGAGTCATGGTTACATTCGAGGATACCCAGGAATACCTTCGCACAGAGGCCCTCACCAGAAACTTACCCAGCGATGCGCAGGATCAATTCACTCCAGGCATGAAACACCTGTATAATAAAGATTCCACCATCGATGATCGTGTTGACCCGTCTTGGTTCTCGATCGCTGGAAAACTATATATGGATTTCGCCAAAGAGTCCTGTGATCCTGACTCCCCTGCTCGGAATGCCAATCTCACTGTGGAGGATGCCGATAAGCTATACAAATCGCCCTTGGGTGGGTTTATCACTAACTTTACTGCATCCTCTGATCTATGCACTGTCGGTTCCGTTCTCGGGGAGAACCACGGGTTTTTGTTCTCAGCATCCAGCAATATCATCACAAGGAAACTGATCCCAGTCTTCAGCGAGTGCAAGGTTAGCGTGAACAACGACATCCTTTTTCCCGCGAATATGTATTTCATGAATGACAAGCGGTACCTGTACAATTCGCGACACGATTACAAGTGGAAAGACAAAGCGGACACTCTCCTCTGGCGCGGCGTCACCTCCGGGGGTGTTCAAATTGCGGATAATTGGCAGCATATGCATCGCCAACGCTTTGTGCACATTACCAACAGTACTGATATGAGGTCAGAGACGGTCTCCATCCTCTCTGAGACCAGCCCGGGCCGGTATCATACCTATCCCAACTTCTCCCCAAGCAAATTTTCACTGGACCACTTCGATGTCGGCTTCACTGAGGCTTGGGGCTGCATCCCGAACTGCTCTTTCTACGACGATGTTTGGACATACAAAAAGCCCAAGGACTTCAGCGAGCAGTTCAAGGCAAAATACCTCGTCGACATTGACGGCCACAGCTTTTCCGGTCGCTGGCGCGCATTTCAGCTCAGCAAGTCGCTGGGCATCAAGGCAACTATTTTCCGAGAATGGCATGACTCCCGACTCTTCCCCTGGCGTCACTTCGTCCCCATGGACAATCGCTACGATGACCTGTACGGATTAATGACCTACTTCCTCGGTCTCGACCCAGAAGTATCCCCCGTCGATGCATTCTCAGTTGGCGAACCATACATACAGAAGCATGACTTTGAGGCCGAGGTGATCGCATCTCAAAGTCAGGAATGGGCACAGCACGCGCTGCGCAACGCGGATCTTGACATCTATCTCTATCTCCTTCTCCTTGAGTACGGACGCATCATTGATGACAACCGCGATAGCATTGGGTACAGTGGCGACGGAAGTGAGCTGGACCACTTTGACGATCAATATCCTTTTCCTCCGGCGTTACCTAGTATCGTCAACCCTCTTCCCCGGAACACTGACGAACAATGATTTCTCTATATACCATTTCTGTTGCATTTCTGTTGCATCTCTGTTGCATCTCTGTTGCATCTCCGTTTCATTTTTGTTGCATCTCTATTGCATCTCTATTGCATTTCTGTTGCATCTTTTTGCATCTTCTTGATCTTTTTGCTTTCTCTGGTTGGAGTCTGCCTTTTTGCACATTGAAGTGTCTGTTCATATATTAATGTCTTAATGACCAGCTACCTTTTTGTCTGTATAACTATTTATTATCTTGCAGACGTGAGTATTGTCATTGTCATATAGTTGAAATCTATCTCTGATATATACCATGTAGGGTATAATATGTCTTAGCAGTAATAATGCAACCAACATAACCACTAAGAATAATTTATTGGATATGAAGTATACAAGACAAGCAACTTCCAGCATTCATCTTAGTGTCACTCTATTACATTATATTCCAATTGACATCAACGCACTCAGCGACATGGGTGGAGTCCGACATCGCACAAAGGAAGCATTTCCCTCATATAGTCAACACCCGAACTTCACATATCTTTGCGCGAACCTCATTTTTGAAATTGCACCACAACGCCAAGGGCTACAGCCTCCATTTTAATTGCAAGTTAATTATAACTTCCGGCTCCATCTTTTGATACCAATTTCATATTGGTGGCAATTATGGTGGCGCCAGGAAGCCAGTGGCCGCCCCTTTCAGGGGCCCGCGAAAACTCTGCAACCAACACCAACGAGCGCATATTGGATGCCAATTACGACGTGCGCCAGTTGCTGAATCATATCAGCAGTAACAACTCTGTCAAAGTCCCGAAACCAGTATTGGAATACCTCAAATCGATTCAGGAGCTCACTGCAGACCTGATTAAGAACCCAATCGGCCAGGACTGGAAGCAGCAATTTGAACAGCTGCGCCAGGAGACCAGCCAGATTAAACAAGATATCCATGCGGTGAGGATAGCTTCTTCGAATGTCAATGCCAATGGCAATGCCAGCGGATCGAATCGGATTCGTTCGTACGTCGACGCTGTCAAAAATGCCCTGCCGCCGACGCACTTTTTGTCCAGCCATGGCTCCGCGTCAACTAACCCCGCATCGCCTTCCGATCTCCTCCAGGACCGTCAGATCATTGTTAAACTGGGTGATTCCGACGGCATTAAACTGTTCCGTACCCGAACACCAGCCGAGATCACGAAGCTTGCCGAAAAAGCGCGTGTAAAGGGAGCAAAGGCTACGCACAGGGTGACGGTGGTATCGGCTAAGTTTGTCGCGGCGAGACAATTGAAATCGGGGGATATCTCGCTCAGCCTCTATACTACAAAGGAGGCGGAGATAATGCGATGCCACCGTGCTTGCTGGGTAAAGCATTTGTGGAAGGGATCGGAAGTACGCCTGCCGAGCTAGGGGGTTATTATCCACGACGTCAATGTACAGTCGCTCGGAATCAATTCAGCTGCAGGGCTTAGAGACCAGAAGCAGGGTATCATTAAGCAGCTGCTTACTAAGAACTTATTCCACTAGGGAGACGATGCAGAGATCACCCAGATCTCATGGCTAGTCCTTCCAGAGGGCAAAAAGTCAGGTTCAATGATCGTGGAATTCACCTCACCGCACACTGCGAACAAAGCCATTGACACTAGAACACTCTAGGACTCAGAGGTACTTACTACAGTCTTATACGACCGGGCTGCACATATACGCCAATGCCACAACTGCCAAAAATATGGCCACATAGGAAACACCTGTTCCAACAAAACGAAATGTGTCTTTTACACTGAGAAGCATCATTCTCGAGACTGCCAGCGCAAAAAGGATACAACTCTTAGTGAACGTAAGTACGCCAATTGCGGGGGTACACACAACAGATGGTCGAAGCGGTGCCCCGACTTCATCAGAGAGATTGAGAGGGTGTAGGCTCTTACACAGGCGAGAGAGCGGCACCACCGGGTGCCAGCATACCTCTCAATCAGGGAGACCAGGCAGGGGACACCGGCTACCACTATATCCAGAAGTCCAGGGGGTAGCGGCTCCAGGACTTCTACTACACAAAGCTCCACACAGGAGAGCTCTAGAGATAGAGCATAAACCGCCTCATAGGTATCAAATAAAACACCAAGCTCTACCCAAGCAGCGAGCAACGAAGAACCAGCATCGTTAGGTAATACCGAAATACAGGAGGCTCAGGGGCCCCGAGAGGAGGCCCAGGGGGAGGCCCAGGAGGAGGTCTAGGGGGAAGACACTACGATGCTCGGCTTCACAGTAAGCACTACCCAGGCAGGCGCAATTAGGGAATCGATCCGCCAGTCGACACAACTGCCGAAGGGACTCCAAAGGTCAATCTATATACCGGTGACACGCTTAGAGCCCCTAAGGCAAAAAGCACCTAGCCAGGCATCGACGCTATCAACGATAACCAGGAGCAAAGGCCTATTCAGGTCAGTACTAGATACAAATGCAGACAAAGCGCAGAAGTAAGCAAGGGACAACACATATGTCCTCGAGGACCAAGAAGTAGCAATGCTAGATACACCGTCATCGTCAGCACCGGCGGCATCGGCCAGCAAATCCCAGCCGTCAGTTTTATCCCGTACCAGCGGGAACAGACGTATGTCAATAAGCAAGCAGAGAGCCGCCGGCAGGCCAAAGGCCACAGGCAAGGAAAATACCATCTTCACAGCGAAGGGGACTACCATACATATACCAGGCCCCCAGGGCAAGAACAAGCGTACCCTCAACAATCAGGTCAACCTCACAATATCGGCCCTATCAGTGAAATTCACTAGTAGGACAGACATCCAGGAGGAGAGAAGAACCCGCTAATTCACCAAGAAGCACACCAACACACCAGTTATCAATAAATAATACACCTTTCACCATCATCCAATACAACACATACCGGTCGAGAGATATCGTTATAGCGGATTTCCTAGCAAAGACAGAGGTCTCCAAGGCAGACATCATTGTAGTATAAGAACCATGGGAAAACCCATACAATGACACAATATACCATCCATTGAAACAGACGCACGAATTACTCTTTCCATCTAGCACAGAGACAGGGGGGAGAGCAAGGGTATATATTTATATCTCTAAGAAACTGGCAGGGTAGACGCACTATGCACATAGTGAATTTTATCAGGAAGTGAGACTCCAAGCCGGCCTTAGCAAGATCTGCTTCTTTAATATATATAACGAGTGTGGTACCACCGGCACAGTGAACCTTCTCAACGACTTGTTATGTGATAACCAAAGATAACGCAGCCAGAAGCATCTGATGATTGCCGGCAATTTCAATCTCCACCACCCCGCCTAGGGAGGCATCGAGGCCATATAAGATATAGATTCTGACAGACTAATTAAGCTCTATAACAAAGCAGACCTCAATCTATGGCTAGAACCTGGCGCAATCACGAGGGACTAGAACGGGGAGCAGACAACGATTGATCTGTTCTTCGGTACACCGGATCTCACTAAGAGATTAGTAGTGTACGAGCTAGCCCTAGAGTGTCATACAGATTCAGATCACCTACCGATCCATATACTGATCGACATAGACACACCTATAAAGCCGGCAGAGGCGCAGAGACGAAGGCTTTGGAAGGCCATAGATACTAAGAAATTCGACGTGTTCATGGCTAACAACCTCCCAATACCACCACCATTAACAACACCCCGACAAATCGACAACGCAGTTGACCACCTAATCGACATCGTACGACGAGATATTCACAAATCGACACCATAGGCTAGGTCAAGCCCCTACACCAATCCATCGTAGACCAAGGAATATAGAGAGGCTATCAAGCACTCCCGCCGTATGTTTCGTCAGTATCTCGCGATATATAGTGAGGAGGACTAGGAGACATACAGACTAGCCAGGAATCAGAAGGGGAAGGTGATCAAAGCCGCTCTCCGGCATGGCTTTAGGAACTTCATTAAAGAAGCCGTAGACTAAGGCCCCCAGGGTTTATAGAGAGTGGCTAAATAGGCCAGAAATTAGGGCCAGCAGCAGGGGAGTACTATACCAGTACTAAAGACAGCGGAAGGAGGGGTTACAGAGACAGACGAAGATAAGGTAAATCTACTCCGTAAGGTATTCTTCCCACAGCCACCAGAAGCAGATCTCTCCGATATACGACACAACCACGCCAGCTACCGAGAGCAGTACCAGCTTCCACCGGTAAGCGACACCGAAGTAAGAGCTACAATCAAGAAGGCGCCACCCAACAAAGCACCTGGATACGACACACTGCCGAACAAACTATGGCGAGTCCTTACAGAGCCAGGCTCACAATCAGAGAAGCGATTTATATCACTCCTCACTGAGATCTTTAACGCCTATGTCCAGAGCGGCTACAACCCCCAGCACTTCCAAACCTCTGTCACAGTGACACTACAAAAGGCGGGTCCACAAGACTACCAAATTCCAAAGTTATACTAGCCAGTTACATTACTAAATATACTCGGTAAGGTCCTCGAAGCAATCGTTATAACCCAAATTACATGGCTGGTAGAGGAACATAACCTGCTTCCAGATATATACCTAGGGGGAAGGAAAGGGGTATCTGTCGACCATACAATCCAGTTGATCCTTAGGCGAGTCCACCAGGCCTAGGGGGAAGGTAAGATAGCGAGTATGTTACTCTTAGATGTCGCTGGAGCATATGATATGGTCTCCCACAAGAGGCTACTATTCAATATACAATAAATGGGACTCAGTACACTCACTCCGTGGGTACAGTCGTTCCTTACCAGCAGGAGTACACGGATCAAGCTACCTAACAGCCACCTAAGCGAAGAATTTCCTACACCAACCAGCATCCCACAGGGTTCACTAATCTCACCAATCCTATTCCTACTCTTCAATATACCACTAGTTCGCGCCTATACACTACAGGGGCTGCACTACAGGGAGAGCGAGGCATATAGATGGGTCGACGATATATGTATTCTAGCAGTGTTAAACAGCTATAAAGAAAACATCAAATTGCTAGAGAAGGCACTACAGAGAGCGAGCACTTAGGCGAGGAAACATGCCGCCAAGTTCGCACCCGATAAATTTAAGTTGATCCATTTCAACAATCCAAAATCCACTACCAACACCACCAGCAAAACGCCTCCCCGAAACGCTAACATCTAGGAGGTTCCAGATGATCCATCAGGACATAACAGCATGCCGGTGATTATCCCAGGGGATCTAATACCAACAATCCTCAAACCAACCGATATAGCCAAATACCTCAGTATATGGCTCGATAAGTACCTCAATTTCACGACATACCGCAAGAAAATGCTCGCAAAGGGAGCTAGTAGTCTAGAAGCACTCCGCAGAATCTCAGGTTCCACTTAGGGGTCATCATTGATCGCAATGCAGAAGGTATACCAGGCAGTTATTATTCCACAGATACTATAGGGACTATCTGCGTGGTACTACCCAGCTGCAAGAGCGACACCAGGTCTCGACAAGCTCATAAACGAACTCACAAAAATCCAAAAACGTACAGCAATCCTGATTAGCAGTACCTTCCAGGGAACGGCAGGGGCAGCACTAGATACAGAACTATTTATTACCCCAATCAAACTACGACTGTAGCAAATCGTCGAAGAGACAGCCATACGAATCCTTACCAGCCCGCAATAGGCCTACCCATAGATTATCAAAGCAACGAAAACCAGGAAAGCATCGCAAAGGAGTCTCAGTAGATGGTCCCCGACTAAAGCGATCGCGCAGAAGAAACCATTACGCCTACAATTAAGCGAAAAATAGGAGGAAAAACGGGCATTTATTCTTACACCATGGGAAGCCCCAATCCCTTACTTTATTAAGAATCAGGAAGCAGCATTAGAAACCCACAATAGTATTTACAAAGATATTACTTGCGATGACCACAGTCGTACCAGCATGATTTTCACAGACAGAAGCGGGTTTATAGGGCATATTAGCGTATCAACGGCCAGATATTACCCAGAGATAACATCGCAGAGACGTTACCTTGGAACAGACTCTCAGTCCACAGTATACACTGCCAAGCTCAGCGGCATTGAGATGGCACTTGCCAAAACCAAGGAGGGTATAGACTCAAATCTTAATAACAGATAACCGACGGCTCAAGAAGTAATCATTTTCTCTGACAGCCAAGCTGCCATTCAGGCAGTTCAAAACCCATAGCGACCATCTGGCCAGTACATACTGACTGCAATCTATACTTACGTACAGGCCATCCAGACACAAAACCAACCAACCAAAGTCACTATCAGGTGGATCCCTACACACATTAGTGTGGACAGCAATGAATTTACCGACAGAGAAGCAAAAAGCGCAGCGCTTCTTGGTACAGGGATAGGAGTTGCAACCAGGACGGATAATCCGATAATCCGCCTCACCGCAGCTGCTAAGAGAGAGGTCCACCAACGAATCAGAGAGCGATAGGAGAAGCAGTGGGAGCAGGAGACAACCTCCACTCCGACAAAGCGCTTAGTGCAGGCGCCAAATAAGAAGACCCTTCGTTTATATGAAGGACTGTCGAAGCCACAATATGCGATCTTGATTCAGATGCGTACAATGCAGATCAGACTTCGACACTTCTTGTTTAAGATAAAGGCAGCCGAGACTGACCGGTGTAATTGTGATAAGGGCTCACAAACACCAAAGCATATCCTGATACAGTGTCCACGGTATATTATACCGCGCACGAAATTGTAGGAGCAATTATGGGGTATTAGGATCAACGAGATGGATTACAATAAGATCGTGTCGAACCCGCAGGCCACCCGCTACGTGGTCAACTTTATACACCGAACAGGTCTCCTCCAGCAGTTTCAACACATTAGGATCGAGGAGGATGACAACGACGAACCGAGAGGCCTCGCGGCAATGGATCTAGGTATGGAAGACGATGGGTATTAGCCAATGACGACAAATGATGCTATGGAACGAGAAACTCAGCCAGAGTCGACCAACATGCCAATCAACTGGCCAGGACAACGTCACTATCAATTGAAACTGAGGCAGGGGAGGGTTTACAGAGAGAGAAGTGAGAGAAAGTGAGACCGGTGGTGGGGGGTGCACCCCACGATAATCATTATACGGATATTTCTTATGTATGGGTTCGGATGGGTCTGGATTTATGGGACTACGGGGTACGGGAATGGGCTGATTCCACTCTTTACAATTAGCATCTATCTGTATACTCTGGGAGAGATCCCGCTCGGCGTTTGGCTTCGAGTTCTTGCTTCAGTTGGATGAAGCGCCTGCATAGTCATACGCAACTAGTTAGACTGCAACAGGTTAATTGAACTTTGATTGATTGATTGATTGATTGATAGTCAACACCCGAGTCTCCACACATGAACTAGCATCATTGGTCTAGTGGTAGAATTCGTCGTTGCCATCGACGAGGCCCGTGTTCGATTCACGGATGATGCACTACTTTTTTGTCTTTGATAATTTGTGGTATTTGGAATAATCTTCTTCTTTTTTGCTGTAGTTCGACGGACAATGGCTATGCATAGAAACCGTGGGTGAATGCTGTCTTAGTCTTAATTCGCTACGTACTCTGCCCACTTTGGAATCCTAATTCAATGATAATATATCAAAAGTACTGGTAGAGATGTTTTGAACAGAGATGTTTCTATCAAGCAGTCTCAATATTATACATAGGACATCAGTCTTTCAATCAAGGATCCTCTAGAAGATCTTTAGCAGTCGCTCTCTCACTCGGCATCCATGTCAAAGTCCTGCGCATGAATTTCACAAATGCGGGTGTAAGTAGTTGATTGGTGGATCATTGAAGTGGATGATTGAGGTGGAATTTGGGTATGGATATTTGATTGAAGTGGACGATTGAGATAGAGCTTGGATATCGATGATTGTCGAGGTGACCTTTTTTTTTACCACCACAGCAAACGGCCTTGAGAGTCTCCTTTAAATGGGTACACGCTGTAACCTCTTCCTGACGAGAAGTCTCCTTCAGAGACACTCCTGCGGAGACTCTTGTCGTTCAAGACCGTTTCTTTTCATTCCTCCTCTTAAAGGTCGAAGCATTGTAGTAGTTGGATTATTGAAGTGGTTGATTGAAGTGGATGGTTGATTGAAGTGGATGGTTGATTGAAGTGGATGGTTGATTGAATGTAGATAGTTGATCGAATATAGTTCTTGGATGTGGTTCTTGGATATGGTTCTTGGATGTGGTTCTTGGATATGGATGCTTGCTTGTCGAGGCGACCATTTTTTTTTACCACCACAGCAAACGGCCTTGAGAGTCTCCTTTAAATGGGTACACGCTGTAACCTCTTCCCGACGAGAAGTCTCCTTCAGAGACACTCCTGCGGAGACTCTTGTCGTTCAAGACCGTTTCTTTTCATTCCTCCTCTTTAAGGTCGAAGCATTGCAGTAGTCGAATGTCGATGGTTGATTGAAGGTTGGTTGAAGTTGATGCTTGTTTGAATGTCGTTTGAAGTTGATGCTTGAAGGGGATGATTGTTTGAAGGTTGGTTGAAGTTGATGCTTGAAAGGGATGATTGTTTGAAGGTTGATTCTTGAAGTTGATGATGGAAGTGGCTGTTTGAATGTGGTTGATTGATGCTTGAAGTGGATGATTGTATGAAGGTTGAGCTTGAAATGGATGATTGTATGAAGTTGATACTGGAAGTGGATGATTGTTTGTTTGAAGGTTGGTTGAAGTTGATGCTTGAAGGGGATGATTGTTTGAAGTTGATTCTTGAAGTTGATGATGGAAGTGGCTGATTGAATGTGGTTGATTGATGCTTGAAGTGGATGATTGTTTGAAGTTGATGCTTGAAGGGGATGATGAAGTTGATACTGGGAGTGGTTGATTAAAATCGTTCGAGGTGTTTTCTTTTTTTGTTTTTTTTTTGTTTTTTTTTGTTTGTGTTTTTGTGTGTTTGTGTTTGCTGTTGTTATAAGCATGCCGATTGTCTTGAAGCCGGAACCTATCACGGTAAGGCTGGATGTGGTTGAGCGCATGTCTAGTACAGTCAGCCCCATGTCATCGGGTAATACGACGAGGGAAGATGAAGAATAGGTGACAATATAGACAAGAAACAAACCTCATAAAGTAGAAGGTGGAAGGTGGAAGGAGAATGTAGTTGGGTTGTCTGAAGGATGAATGTAAGTATATGAGAAAAAGAGACAGCAAGAACATACAAGTCACTGATGGATGATGGGCACAATAGATGCCAGGCACGTTGAAGGATTCTCGTGATATGGCTGAGTTGTCTGAAGGATGATGAACATGACAGGTGCCATGAATGGATGCTTGTGATGTGGATAGGATGTCCGAAGGATGAATGTAAGTTATGAAAAAAAAGATATAGTAAGAACAGACAAGTCATGTGATGGATGATGGACACGACAGGTGGCAGGCATGTTGGATGGATTGCGCCTGCGATGTGGTTGAGTTGATTAAAAATGATGAAGAGAGAGAGAAAAAGTAAGTGCAGAAGTGGGAATCAGCCTGTTTATATACCTGGCCCTACTGCAAACACTGCAAAAGTCGAACTTCTCGCTTAGCCAAAGTGGTAAACAACCCCAAAAAGGAAAGAACCTTGGAAAGGAAAGAACAAAGGAAAGAGGCAAATAGATAGTTCCATCTGACCGCCCAACGACTCAAGCGAGCCCATCTCAGGAATGGGGAGACAATGTTCTTCCATTTCCCTAGATAATCAAATCAGCAACAAGTCTTGTCAGATACCAAATCTATCAAGCAATCTCACACGTACCATCTTCATCCTAGAAGTGAGCCACCACCTCAGGATTAAGCGCCAGAAATGCAGCAGGCGGCAGACCCAGCACAGCAATCGACCCCGCAAGATGGGCTGCTTCATACAAATCTTCGGCAGTGTGATCAGCACTGAAAAGTCTCTTCAGACGAAGGAGATCACATGCCTATATTGAAACAATCAGGACTTGTGTCAAGAAGAAGCCACGAGAAGCGGAATACGGACCAAACGCACCGCAAGCCCAACACAACAATATCAACCGGATAGCTCACGGCACCTCGAGCATTATCTCCGACGTGCAATATGGCATAGGCACGGCATGGCAAGATAATCATACGGCCCAGGCCCGATCCTAGCCTCACCGAAACCACAAAGCCGGAGCGGTCCCTCCTTCGGAAGGATAGCTCGCGAGAGACAAATGGTTCAGTCATGCGAGATCTGCTTGCATGCGGATGGGGAGGTCATCTTGGAGTCCTCGATACCCTTGAATTCGGCATTCTCGCTGTCGTCGTCGCATACTAATAAATTACCAAAATGAACATCTATACAGGGCAAGGAAATAAACGAGTGCACCCATTTTACCAGTACATTGCTCCCCACATGTCAAGTGTCCATCCAGGGAGAGAGAATATTCGGCAATTCTTCGATTCTTTCACAGTCACTGGTCCATCTGGCAGACATATCGTACTGTTTCAAGAACCCGCATATATCAGCCTCTTCGATCTCAGAGAAAGAATGCCGAGAACAGATTCCCAGAGGAGATGGTCAAATATATCCTGAAGTAGTTACTCCAGGCATGGGATTTCCTGCATACCGAATGCAAGGTTGTACACACTGGTCGGTTATTATCCCATGTCCAAGTGTGCAGCGCTCACGGTGAAATACTAAGCTGTGGATATAGACTTTCAATGCGACATATTTCTTGTCTCTGTGATTATAAGCTATTATTTACTTGAATAAGAAGAAATTGTTTGATCTTGACAAACCTAAGGTTCCTTGCCAACCATGTACTTGGACAACTGCCCCAGCCTAGCTTCGAACATACTTGAGTTTTTCTTCGGCTGGCTAGTCTGCTTCGATAATTGGGAATCCATGCATTGGAAAGGATCGGGGCTTCTCTTTGGTGGTGGTCCAATGTTGATGATGGTCTCAAATTGGAAGGCTGTCGTCGGTGAGGCTCTGCCAGGAATGCGATCGGCGGGATTTATCCCCGGCGGGATTCTGATTATTCTTGCATGCAAGCGAGCGTTGAAGCATCCTCTTAGTAGAGACCTCATTTGTCGCGCTAGTGAAAAGGTTTAAGGCTGGGAAATTGATATCTCAGGTTAGTTGGGTCGGTGTGTCGTCAACATTGACGCGGCTACCCCTGCATCATCCCGTCTTCTGACTCTGCCCCCTTCTAATTCTTGTCTCTGTCTTTTCAATTTCATATGCCTTAACTCAGAAGAAAACAGTATGATTCCATTGTAGCTTCATATATATATGTAGTGTATGTACGGATTCAACGCAGAAGGAAATAAGGATAGCATGTACCAATATCCCTAGACAGTCAGAGCAATCACATGTTATAGTATATAAAAAATTCAGTTTGCACATTTCATGACTTTTAACTGCGTATGTTGTAGATATTGCGAATTATGCTTCTGGGAGAAGATATCTAAAGAATATCCAAGAAAGCATCTAAAAAGACTTCGAAAAAAGACATGCCAGGCCGCACTAAGTGGCCGACAATTCACAAAAGGAATGACTGGAAGGCAACAATAATGCGTATATCAATAGACCAGGTCTCATCACCAAACCACCGAGACCTATTAAATGCTCAACACACCCATCTAAAACTGCATCAAGCCAGCAACGACCGATCCCACAGCCATAGCAAAGATAGAACTATAGTAAGCCGGGGCAGCAGAGACATAACTCATGGAAGAAGCCGCCGCAGAAGCCGACGCCGACGAAGAAGCAATCAACGACGAGCTAGCCTTAGCCGAAGACGAAGTCTTACTGGAAGCGACACTGGAGCTAGAGTTCGACGAGCTCAAGTTGGTAGAGATAGTAGCGTTCGTAGCCTTGATGCTGGTGTAGTCGCCCGTCTTATCGGTGTACCTGTACGCGGAAGCCGGGGTGTAGTTGATGATATTGACCGACTCAACGTAGAACGAGAACGGACCTTCGGTGTAGTCAGTCTCGCCGCCGGCCCACTCGATCGTACCCTCGGAGTTATCTGGGTCGCCGCCGGCCCAGATGCCGATGCGGATGCGCATGGGCGTTTGGGGGTAGTTTGTGCCGTCGACGGCATCGGCGTACTCGAGTGTGCGCACGACGACGCCGTCCAGGAGCCACTCGATGCGCTCGGCGGTCCAGTCGACTGAGTAGGTGTGGAATGTTTCTTCTGGGGTTGAGACTGTTACGGTTGTGCCGCGGTCGTAGGAGGTTGTGTTGCCTTTTCCGAAGTAGTCGGTTTCGGCTTCAGTGTCCCAGGTACTGATTTGTTCCTGTGTATTGCGTTAGTGGTTGCTATTTGAGGGGATTGGAGGCTTGGTGGCGTCTGATGCCGGTGAACTCACCCAGTCGATCTCGTCGAGATCGTCGGACTCGAGGATCCAGGTGCTGACAATACCGGTGCCGTTCGCGGTTCTCATCTTGACGTCGACATGGCCGAAGAAGATGTAGAACTCGCTTTCGATTGTCGGCGCGTCACCCTGTTCGGTGATGGTGAACTTGGCGCCTAGGTCGGTGGTGGTTACGGTGCCGGCGGTGGTGTTCCAGCGACCTAGAGATCCAGCGGTAAAGTCGGTGTTGAGACGGTACTTGTTCAGACCGGTGTCTGCTGGGCAAGTCTCTGAAAACAAACTGTCAGCGCGGGTCCGCAGCGGAGTACATGAGACAGTCCATACTATTCATAGGGTCGCAGCTGGTAGTAGTCTGCGCAGCCGCAGTCGCAGCCAAGGCGAGAGCAACCCACTTGCAGTAAGACGGGAAACCCATATTGAAGTCTGTAGAGCGATAGAGCGAACGACTGAAGTAATAATGCACAGAACGATCGACAAGGATTGAGAAAACAAACGAATCCCCAGGAATTATAAACAGTGGGATTTAGGATTTAGTCTCAGGAACAAGCGAGAGCAAGATATATATGAACTTGGGTCCGCTATTTTTATTCTTAGATGTGCGTCAATAGGTCCAACCTTGGAACATCGCATCGACCACGACGCAAATACATCCAGCCACCACATCGGAGGATAGCGATTGGCTCCGTGCACAAGAACCATAGTGGAGCAGGCTCGGGCGATATGAGATGTATATGTTGTAGAATATCGGCATATATTCGTTGTGGCCGTGCAATTAATTGGCGATCCACCGGAGAAAGCTTGGATGGGAGATGACGGGGCAGCTTGCGTAGTTGGCCCCAGATAGTTAGGAGCTAGCGGGAGGACTACGTACGCCCGAGAGTATTTTCCCCGACTCTAGCATCTTGGGGTTTCAGTCGATATTCTTTTCTGTGCTGCATTATTTATTGCGTGAAATAGGATATATGTTGTTGACACGTCATTTCGATTGCGTCCCGACCAAATCGAAGACGAACGGCCTACGCACATTGACTTGATGTGAAGCACCATACTACTATTCAGACAATTGTGAGTGCCTGATGGTTATTTTCCTCTGTGGGGAATTAGAAATGCCCAAATTGCGCCATGTCTGAGTTTTATCTCAAATTATTGGCAGACATGGCCTATCAAAGATTTGGCCACCAAGATGGTTGGTCCTCATACGATTGACAACGATGTCCTAAATGAAAAGGACTCTCCTGTTCTTTTCCCTCACTATCCTACTACCAAACGCCACTGCAGACCCACAAGCGTAAAACAAGAACCGCCAGCTAGTGCAGGTACCAGGAATGGCAAATTCTGTCAGCGTAGGTGGGGGTCCGCAAAACACACAGATTATTACAATATGGTAATGTATTGACAAAATGAACGAGGAATGACAATGGCGAGCTAGATATACCCTCAACTAAGAAGGTCCATCACGGACCAGCAGGAAAGCCTCGTACTGCTTCCGAGTAATCTTCCGGCACTTCTTGCCCCAGTAGATCATCGGGACAGTCGTCATAATAAAGCAGAAGCTCAAGACGCCAATCGCAATGAAAACCTGCGCAAGACTCTGCGCATCCAACCAATTCTGGGCAGTGAATGTGAAGATACAACCAATAGTGTTGTTAATGACAGAGACACCGACCATACCCTCCAACACCATATCTGGGTACGCATCCATGAGATACGCCATGCTCAGGTCGCCTGCACAACCCCAGCCGAAACCAATGAATCCTAGTCCCAAATACGGCAGATGCCAGTCCCAGCCTTTATCCGAACCGATGCCGAATAGCATGAGGCCAGCAGGACCGATGAACGCAACAGGCAACAGGAGCCAGAGACGCTGCTCAGCCTCAAAGACGCCCTTGTTTCGCTTGGCCATCCACATGACGAAGAAGTCGGAGAACCATCCACCGTAAATGCAGCCGAGAACTGACCCGATCAGGGTCGGCACGTTCATGATGCCCACTGCAGCGTCGCTGTAGTTCCAGGGTGCCTCGTACCAATTGTCTGCTTCAACGGTTAGGTAGAAGGTCAGCCAGGCATCTTGGGCACCCCATTGAAGACCCGAATAGAGGACTGCCGGGAAGGTGAAGACGCCCAGTGTGTGCAACAGGCGATGGCAATACTGCTTGAAGCCGGTCCCGACCAGGGTTGGCGATGGCGTGATCAGGGCAATGCGCTGGAAATACGTCTTTCCTTTCTCCTGGCCGCATTCTTCGTCAAGTTCACCGTCGGAGGGCGCCCGCTGTACGCTGGCAGTTGGTTTATCCTTTTTCTCCAGGGGGAGGTCATTCGACGTGGACTCAGCGTTGATAGAAGGCGCATCATGCCCGCGAATAGGGTTGTTCCGATCGAAGAATGTTTCCTCTAATGTGAAGTAAAAGATAACGATCAAGCCCCCGGATATGATGGCAGCAAACCAACCCACCCATCTCCACCCCAGGTAAGAGTCGGTGATGAAGCTGGACACAATGGGTCCCGTGAATGTACCGATACTCGTGGCAAGAACGTACAATCCCAGGACCAGGCCTCTTTGATGCTGGAAGAACAGATCTGAAAGAGACAGCTGGGCAAGGGCCTCCGCGCAGGATTCGGAGGCGCCCACGAAAAGTTGGCTCCAGATGTTGTCCCCGACATTTTGTGTGCAGGCTAGCCCGATGGAGCCAATGATGGAAAACACCAGACAAATCAGATAGGAGATACGTCTTCCATACAGGAAAGGTGCTGGGCCGAGGAGCAACGTTGTGTATCCAATGCCGACAAACAAGACGCCTGCGGCGATGTTGATCTGGTCCCACGTGATACCTAGATCGGCGTTCATCCCGTTCCCAGCGTTGCCGGCATCGTTGGCGGTTGCCGCGGTCAGGGCAACAAACACAAGGACCAGGAATGAATGCCAGTACCGTCTCCAGATGCTCCAATTGAGTGGGTCATTTGGAGAGTTGGTGGGCGAGGGGATTAATGTGATCTCCCCGCCAACGCAGATGCGCTCGGTGCCATTGAGCTGCAGGTCCTCTTCCATTTCTGAATTTAAAATCGGAATCTGATTAAAACCCGACCTGGCGAGTGATTCATGCTGGAGACATGTTATCGAGAGGAAAAATAGAGCGTATCAGCCTCTATGATGGGGGAAGAAGAAAGAAAAGGGAAAAATGTGAGAGCAAGAATTTTCGATTTGCATGTGGGGCTCCTGCCCGAGATAAGCATGGGCCAAGCATTTCAGGGCTATAAAATTCGATGTAGTTCTCTTCGTTTTGTTGTTTGGTTTATATACATATGTTATGTTCTTTGGAAGGTAGGACCGAGGAGATAACAAGGCCATTTTAGAAAGCTGCCGTGTATTTCGTACCCTGATGGCTTATTGCAGCCCCAGATCTCTCAACTTCTGGTCGTGTGATCAAAACTTCAAGCTTGAATGTCAACTTGTCAACTTAGAATGGTTTTTATTTTTTGAACTTTCTCCTATATAACAGGTCTATGCTATTTGTTACGTGTTCTAGACAAAAGAAGAGCTCTAAAGTTCCTGTATAGAGATCACTTGGTATCTAATTTGCTTTTCTATCGTATCATTCATTTGTCTCTAGTCTTTTCTAAATGAAACCTTAGGACAACATTGGAGTAATATTAAGGCAACCAACCTGTTTAATGTCCTTAAGTAGCACGGTGATATACATATGGCTTTTTCAAAATATCGCTTACGATATGTTGCTATATTACGTCTGCTTTATATGGGTCTATATATATCGCGGCTACGGAGTACTCCGTACAGGTCTCACATTCAAATCATGTTCAATGGAGTGGTACGCATCGCTTTTGAAGCTTTTTTTGTTAATGTTCAGCTTGCTGGTAAAAAGTACAAGTGAACATGATTCTCAAAGGTCTGATATGTAAGACTCTTGTGTAATAATGTAGAATCACCTGGCCAGTTCGTGAAGGCAAACCGGGAATATATTTGTGTAAGCAAGTGCTCGGGGTACGTGACTAATTAGGAAGGCAGTTGGGAAGTCAGCCTTGAGTCACGCGCCCCCTCTCCACATTGGAATGTTGTTTACGGAGCACCTTTCTCTCTTCTTTCGTATTAACAGTTTACTTTTAAACGAACCCTACTTCTCCCAATCTCCAAAACCCTAATCCGGGATCCGTGCGGAAAAGCCGCATTCTCCACGGCAACGTAAATGGTTGAACCCATTCACAGACTTTACCTCCCGAGCTCGTTATCTGCATAGCCGATCTGATTGGAACTCACGTGGGCAATTCCCGCCACGCCTTTGCAGGTCGAATGCGGGTACATGCGGATAAGATGCGGGTCCGGCCAGATTTGGGAAGATCACGAGAAAATCATTTTTTGAAGAAGATGAATATCGAAGAACAATTGCCCCAATTCACCCGGCACTTGCAGGTTTGTTTCCCCTCATAGCTCATTTCAGTGTATATACCACCAGGGGCTTTTATGTCACCGCTCAGATCTCCGCCTTCTCCATAGAATTTGAACTGTCTCTCCCAGCCCCACCTGCGGATGGGGCGGTTCATAATTTTCACCTGCAAAAGTTTAAGTATTCTTTGTATGGTGTGCCCATACAAAAGGTACTTACTTGGGCATGATATTTCGATCATTTGGATTTCTTTCACCCTCGAACTACGGAGTAGCTAAACGGAAAATATCATCTAAAGTATACAAGGTCAACTTTGGTTGATTCAATACTAAATTGAGAGGAATGGATCTTATCAAAAAAATGAGACACCAATGAGCTAAGACGTTTATTGCACATGACGGGTACTGGGAAGACGATTGCTTCGATAGATCAACTGCAGTCATTCATATAGAAACGGAACAGTAAACTGCTTGCTTATACAGCCTTCATACTTGGTGATACGGACTTGAACAATCGTTATCATTACGATTCTACTACGTGATCTTTTTAGTGCTGCTCAATATTCTCTAAAACGTCGTTAGAGATGTCTATAAATGTCTGGTTAGACCTGCAAACTATAAAACTTTCCGTATACAATTCAGAACCATCCATGTAACCAGAAGAGTTTATTCCACTAATCTTTATGCACGCGATAATAACCGTGGAACCTTGAAGTCTGGTAGATAGCCAATAATACTACAGTCTCCAGTGGTCGCTATCCACCACGATAGCACAGCCCAACGCCCCTCAACTTCTTTTCAACATGATCCTTGTTTACTCAATAACTTCATCGAATGTCAACTTGTCAGCTCAGCATGGCTCAATCTTTCCACCTTTCTTCTCCCATCACGGGCATTAATCCCATAAAACCGAGTAATTGTTGCTCCGACCTGGCTGCGCTCGATAAGACTCCGAGGGAGTTGATCGAGGGAACACACGCAGCGAGGTCGGAGCGCAAGAAGGTGATTGTGGTGGGCGCTGGAGTTTCTGGTCTGCATGCCGCGGCTGTTCTGCACCGCCATGGCTGTGAAGTGGTGGTATTAGAAGCACGCGATCGCATTGGTGGAAGAATTTTGACAAGCCGAAAGGGTGACCATGTCCGAGATATTGGTAAGATAATGACACAAACCCGAAATCGAGGTTGAAACAGGGGGGGACTGTGCTGATAGTCAATAGGTGCCGCTTGGATGCATGAAACTTCCCAGAACAGCCTGGTGAAACTCATTCCCCAGCTATCTATCCCATATTATTATGACGATGGCGTTCCTCTATACTTCACCAGAGACGGCCGAACTGGATCCCAGTTCAAAGCTAAGAAAGTTGCAGACGAGTTCGCTGATTATTGCGAGTGGTTCTACGAAACTAACCCGGAGGCTGAGGATCGTCCAGTCCAGGAATTCGCGAGAGAATTCGTTCTCCAGCACCAGCTCATCACCGAAGATGAGCGTGAGTGGGCTCCACAGGCTATCCGCGAGGTAGAATTGTGGATCGGCACTAGTACGGACCAAGCATCGTCCAAACATCTTTCTTACTTCATCACTGAACGCAATGTATATATGAAGGGTGGCTATGATCGGATCGTGAACTGGACTGCGGAGACGCTCCGAAGCGATCGAAACATCATTAGACTCAACCACCACGTCGAGGACGTGGAGTGGAACGAACACGGGACGGCGCCAGCTCGAATCCGGTACAAGGATGCTGCTGGAGAAGTCGGGTTCATCCAGGGCGATGCGGTTGTCATGACTAGCCCACTGGGGGTCTACCACCACAACCTCATCTCGTTCAACCCGCCCTTGCCGAGTGACATCCAAGAGGGCATGTCCAGGTGCAGCTACGGCGCCTTGGGCAAAGTGTTTTTCGAATTCGCCGAAGTCTTCTGGTCAAAGGAGAATGACCAGTTTGTCTTCTACCCATCTCCATCAGAGGAAACGGACACTTCATCCGGGTCATCATCATCCATGGAGTCCAGCCCCAGTATAAACTCCATCGGGGAGAATGATAATATCCTAAATTACGCCACCGTGACAATCAATTTATGGATTATGACGGGCAGCAAAGAGCTGTGCGTACAGATTGCCGAACCTCTGACGCAGCGCATCGAGAACATGCAAGATCCGAAGGAGATATATCTATTTTTTGAACCGCTTTTCAAGATATTCCGTACAGAACCTTACAAGGCTTTGCCTAGCCTGATTAATGTTGAAACTACACATTGGACCCAGGACCCACTGGCTGGGTATGGGACTTACTCCGCCGACAAGGTTGGAGATGAGCCGCAGCTGCTGGTTGATGCGTTGAAAAACCACAAATCCAGTCGCTTGCAGTTCGCCGGTGAGCATTGTACTATTGTTGGTAATGGCTGCGTCCATGGTGCCTATAAGTCGGGTGAAACCGCTGCAACCAATCTGCTCGAGGGCTTTGGCATTCAATATGATGGTCTTGATGCCATCAGTTTGAAACGAGGAGACTCAGGTTGAACAATCTACTTGGTCATATTTCGGTTAATTATTAGACACAGGTTTCATTGAGTGGTTGCACTCGGAAATCTTTGTATATCCAATCCATGTCAAATAAATGAACTCAACAGGAAGTCATTGGAACATATTCCACATCCCTTTTACTGTTTACTGATATATGATGACAGCGTACTGGGAGACGATGTGACTTCCATCTTTAATAAACACACCGCCTGCTAGGTCACATGCTACGCAGGTGTATAGCGGCCAACAGTCGGATGCCTGATTTTAATGGTTTTATGGCCTAATTGGGACTAGCTCCTAGCAGTTTTAGACCGCCTTTGACACCGCTCAATACCATCTTTTGTAAGTACGCATTAAAGTTTCCGATCACCGCCTCCTATCGCAGTTATCGAAAGCGTAACCCGCCTGAGGGCACTTCGCCATACCGGAGCCAGAGGATAAGGAGAGTTTGAAGTTTATACAGCCGGTAGGAATGGGCACTTTGTGTTGAAATCCAGGCTTGGCTTTCCAGACGTTTTGGGCCTTAGTGTCAGTGGCGCCATCAGCTTTTCTCTGAGAAAGTGCGAGATTCATATGGTTGGAGGGCCTCAGCGCCTAAGATCGATCAAAAATACGGAGTTGTATTTGAGGGGGCGTTCTCAAGAACTTTGTAGGAGATCTGTCATGGTAATTCAAATATTCTAATTTCCTGCCGGTTTAAAACTGGTAGGAGCTAGTCCTAATTAGGCCATAAAACCATTAAAATCAGGCACCCGACTGTTGGCCGCTATACACCTTTGTACACATGCTCATGTTTTGACACCCACGCGTGACTAACTCATCTCATAACAAACTACATTCTGATACTAGTATCTGTATCTCTCATGGCAGCTGACATCAGTCCACCAGGGAGTGTCCTTGAACCTCTTATATCGCCACCTACAGCCCTTGTCGAGAAGCGCCCAAAGCGTGATGAATTGTTTACGACTCCATCGTGCAGGCCACCGGCCAGGATCCTGGTGGCAACGTCGACTAAGACCAGACGACTATGCACAAGTTTTAAGTGCGTTGGATGTCGATGAATCCCTTCGAAACTACGTGGAAGATAAAGTAAGGTTAGTACTACTAGCTTTTTGACATCAAAGGCCAAAGGCCGGATGTGCTCAAGTGGAATAATCATAGATACGATTACGACCCCTGTCGCTGCTGCTTGACAATCCGAATGCCAAGTCCTCTCCATGATACGTTTTGCGCAAGAATAGCCGACGAAATATCAAGACAGTTAAGGCAATACCAACAGGGCAACGGACCTCTCTCCGATTTCGCTAAGGAAGTCGAGTATTTTGCCACATCTCGAATTTTAATACCCGAAGATACATATAATGGTGAACAGACTTATTCAAGACGGGAACCAGATGCCTCATTTGGGCACCGCCAAGCACACTATCCCGGTGTAATTGTGGAGGTGTGCTATGCACAAAAAAGCCGGCAGGTTCCCCACTTAGCGGATGAGTATATCTTAAACACTAATGGGAGTGTGAATGCGGTACTTGCCTTCGATATTGATTATAAAGGATCTAAGAGAGCAACTGTTACTATGTGGCGACCGGAGTATACAACGGTAGATGGCGTGGAAGAGTTTCGTGCGGCCACCGTTATAGAAGCACAGGTACACTCCTCTCTAGTGCGGAAAAAGAAAAGAACAAAAAAGACATACAACCGATGATCGGACGTTGACCTACGAGTAGGCCTTCCGGACGGACTCTGGATTCCCAACTGCGGCAACTGCGCTACGACTATCCCTCAGGGACTTCGCGACGGATGAGCTCACACCAGGCCATGTGGATCTCGACCGCGAAGTTCTTATTACGTCAAAGCAGCTTTGCGATTTTCTCTCAAGCGCCGAAGCAAGGCAACAGGCACATACACAACATCAAGGGTCAACCAATCGATTACGGCCGGGCGCTCTAAAGCGTCGTCACTCTCAAACACACTTTCAGCAGCTAACATCGGAAGACGAAGGGTCTGTGGATCTGTGATGGGACGAAGAGAAAGTAAACGGGGGCGCCAAAGTAGCATCTATCGCCCAAGCTCCTGGCCTGGAGGCTCGAGAGTGGGCTTACTTGAAATTATGGATTCCGTATAGCTTGTGTCCACCTTGCCACTTGAATGCTAGGTTAATGCCTGGTTACAGTATGTTGTATGTAATACTAAAAGCTAGATTAATTAACTTGTTGCCGGTGCCCTAACCGCAATATTCCAAGAGCTGTTCCTGCATCACTGAGGCTTGACATGACCATGCTAGACCGCTGAATTGAGATGTAAAATATATCTCTAGCTCATTAACTAGACTGCCCACTCTAACAACCCACACACGTTCTCTTTAATTCTTCAGGAGAAAGACGTTAAGCACGTGATTGCAAGTCGCGTGACCCACTCCGCTCCACATCTGGGCACCCACGGAGTAAATACATGCCCTATTCAAACCCCGCTGAAAAGAGTTTTACTTCTTTCTTTTTTCATTTTACGCGAAAGCCGCGTTGTAAAGGGGAAATCGGCCCTTAGCCAACAACACGATATGTATTGGAAATTGGCCTTTTCCAAGTAGCTGTTATTCTTCAACTGACCATGCCCGGAGCCACAATGTGCGCAATTGCAAGAATTAGTTATGTGTAAAACTATTCATTAGCTGATGTCTTCTCTTCTGCAAAGATTTTGTGACACGCCACGGGGTTTTCAATGTCACACTATAAGACGAACCACGTTCTGAAGGACGACCATGGCATTAACACCCCAATTGCATCTAACCCGAAAGTTCCTCACTACGAAGACGGGGAAATGAAAGAAACTGGCGATATAGAAAATGCCGCAGGCCAGCTCAAGGAGATTCACCAGTTCAGACAGGGTCTTCATGAGCGACACATTCAGATGATTGCCCTCGCCGGCACGGTGGGGACGGGTATTTTCCTCAGTTCGGGCCGTGCCATTGTGGAAGCTGGACCACTGGGTGCGTTCTTGGCGTACACAATTATTGGCGCTACGGTTGCGAGTGTCGTCTTCGGCGTTGGTGAAATGGGAGCCCTGGCACCTCTCAATGGCGGTGTTATTCGATACGCAGAGGTCTTCTGTGACCCCGCGCTCGCGTTCGCCAACGGGTGGAACCAAGTATACTCCTACACTGTGTCAATTCCGTCGGAAATTGTCGCTGCGGCTGTTATTATCGAATTCTGGATCACTGTCAACAACGCAATATGGATTACTGTGCTTGGAGCCCTCATGCTTTCGACCGCGTTTGTCTTTGTTCGCGTGTACGGAGAGCTCGAGTTTGGCTTTTCGATCCTCAAAATTATGCTCATCATAGGCATCAACATCATGGCTTTGGTGATTACGCTCTTCAGGCTGGGAATATGTTTATTTTGCGTGCTAATCCATCTTGACAGGTGATTACCTGTGGAGGAGGCCCGGATAAGACGTCCATCGGATTTGCCTACTGGAAAGCCCCTTATGGCCCCTTCATCCAGTACCTGGGAGTGGGCGGGTCCCTCGGCCGATTTTTAGGATTCTGGAAAACATTCGACAACGCTCTCTTCGCTTACTCTGGTATCGAAAACTTCACCCTCGCTGCAGCCGAGACGCGAAATCCTCGTCAAGCTATCCCTATGGCCGCCAGACGTATCTTCATCCGAATTTTGCTCTTCTACGTGGTGACAATCTTCATGGTCGGTCTAGTTGTTTCGTCTGCCGATCCGAATCTTCTGGGTTCGTCCGGAACAGCCTCGCAGTCCCCTTTCGTTATCGCAGCTCGCCATGCTGGTATCAAGGTTGTTCCCTCGATTATCAACGCAGTTGTTCTCACGTCAGCATGGTCCTCCGGAAACAGCAATATCTTGGGTGGTTCCAGAATCCTATACGGCATGGCGACCCAGGGTCACGCCCCTGCTGTCTTCAAGCGTATCAACCGATTTGGTATCCCTTGGGTTGCAGTCTCACTCTATGGCGTTTTCATGGCACTCGGATATATGAGTCTTTCCAGTTCGGCCAGTACGGTATTCACATGGCTGCAGAACCTTGTCTCGATCTCTACTCTAGTGAACTTGATGTGCATCTGCATTGTTTATCTTAGATTCTACTACGGATGCAAGAAGCAGGGAATCGATCGCTTCAAGGAGCTCCCGTGGGCAGCACCTTTTCAGCCATACATAACATGGGTCTCCTTGATCATATACATTATTTTGTTCTTCACCGGAGGGTTTTCGACATTTATGCGGGGCCATTGGAATACTGCAACCTTTGTTTCGACTTATTTCAACCTGCCGTTCATCGTTATTGTGTATTTTGCCTACAAATTCTGGGCAAAGACGAAGATCATCCCGCTGGCGGAAATTCCCATTCGGCCTTTCATCGAAAGCTGGCACAAAAATCCGGAGCCGATGCCGAAGCCGAAGCGCGGTCTTGCGAAACTCAATATTTTGTGGTCATGATTTGCTTTTTGTTAGGGATTAAATCCTGTGATATGTCCTCCTGTATGATACCCTATTCACCATGAACCTGACGTCAAAATGAGAGCACCTTGGAACGAATACTGCCCGGTTTCAAGCTTCTTTTTTTGCGTTAGGGCGGCTATGAATTCAAAAATGTTACTGAGCTAGAACTGCTCAGAGCCACTGAAGAAAGACACATTCGTCTCCAGTGTAAAATAATTTGGCTGAAAATGCATTGCTTTCCAAAAGAGCAATGATTCTTCTTGTAGAAGCGCTTTGTTCTTCCGCCTCCCTAGTAATCAGCCGGGCCAGCAAGCTCACATTAACCGAAAGTGGTCGCATGTACCGAGTCGAGTGTCTTTGAAAAGAGACCCGGCTCAACGACTGGTGGAACCCATCATCACTGCTTAATTGTGTGAAGATAAGTGACAACCTCAATGCTCAAAATGTTGTCACGGTGAAGTTGATCTGCAGACTCGACAATCCATGTCTGACAATCCCTCTGAATAACTTTCCTACCTGGTTTGGGCTAGGACATCAGAATTAGCCATATCCTAGTGAAGTAAAAAAAGAGCCATGTATATATTCTCGAAAGTGTGCCCAAAGAGAAGACACCCATAGCATGCAGTCTAGGCGCTGGGTTAGGGATGCACTCACCCCATCACTGATCGTGTTCAGACTTTTCCCTGGAGCTTTGACCTCGTAAGCGCTCCTCTCGAAGCGACAGACAGGTGCATTGTCGATTTTGTATTCTCCGTCGTTAAGCATCGCCTCCTCATCAAAGTAATCTGCGTCGACCCATTGCAGCGGGACCCTTGTCGATGGAATGTCGTCGGTTGTTTGCAGGTTTTCACTGCGCTTAATTTCAAACTCGAAGCCACTTCTCACATTGCCGGTCGCGTGTATCTTTACGCCGATATCAGGGTCTGCGTGCGACCGAACAAAGTACGCCCAGTGATTTTTGAAAGGCGACCCGTTGTAGATCAGCAACTCGACCATAAAAGCACCAGAGGGGCCTGTCGGTGATACCGCCGGCTTGGATATGGATATAGAAGTATTCATAGCGGACGGCGGAGTGGAGTAACAGTACCAGATAGGAAATCAAGCCCAATTTGGTTGGACCCAGGTTTTGCATAAATCAGGTCTTGGCGTTCATAAAACTACAAAGTCAGCAGAGTTATGCACATAATTAGCGTGTTTGCGTAGTTTGTAACCCAGAGGCATCGGTTGGATGTTGTTTTATGGCTGTTGCCTTGAGTGTCAGCAATATTTAGTACATACTCCGCGTGAACTTCACATCAGATGGGATGGGATTACGGGTGTTTCGACATTTACCAACATCAGGCACATAACGCCCCATTCATCTTCAACAATATACAGGTACCGAGCCTAGCTTTTTCAAGAGGGACCACGGCATCTACAAAAATGGGTCGAAAATCTTTTGCTGGGTACATGAATTGTTCGGTAAGAGATATCGACAGCAAAGGCAAGGGACCACCCACCATGCAAGGGCGAGCCATGTATGAAGTGATTGCGACCAATGAGATATCAAGTTCATACATGGCACATCATACATGGCCTACATCATCACAACCAGTTTGTGTCGTCATATCTTACTCTTTGCATACTCTGTGGGAATCTACGCTTATAAAGTAGAGATCCAGGCATTGGTTACGTCCACCTCCTGAGTAAGTTCGATGGATTGAGATAGCACAACCTTCCCACGTAAGGGGGGTCATAGCCTCACACATGTTGCAAACCCGGCCGCGAAAACTACGGTCTGAAGCCAGGTCGCACACCCAGAAACCAGAATAATTTCTCTTTCTCCCACTTTAATTCTTGACGGCATATCAGTTTCAGAATGAAGAGCGATAATTTCAGTCACAGCAGGTCTGAGAGTCGTGTATATCCAGCACGACTCAAGAGATCGATAATCTCATGGATCAGACATCAGCCCATATTATCAGGACTCATGATATTTGGCTGCGCAGTTCTCCTGATTCTGAAGTTCTGTCGCTTGGATGCTTATCGCTCAGTCCAAATTGCGGATGGAGCTCTGGACACGAGTACGAAACACTATGAAGCTTGGTATGGCTCCATGCTAATATCAGTAGAACAATCAGAAGAGGCAGAAAGGACCGCGGCGTTAAATGAACTGGTTAAGAAAACCCAAAGCTACAATGCAACCACCACAAAGGTCGCTTTGGTAATGTCAAAGACACGCTCAGATGACTTGAGATGGCTTCGTGATTATCTTCAAACACAGTAAGTAAACAAGTCTCAAGGTTATAAGAAACCACACTAATTGAATGCCCATGGCCAGTATCGACAACACTCCGTTTATTTACACTATGGACAAGAAGCCCGAGACAGAACTACTCGTCGCACACTCTTCTCGCGGCCGGGAAGCCTCGGCCTATCTTTCGTTCATTGTCGACCTATACGACGAGCTCCCCGAGTACTCGATTTTCCTCCATGCCAACCCCGAACAGTGGCACAACGATCTGTTTGGCCCCCACACAAGCAGCGTTTTGCATAGCCTGCGCCGCGAAGCCGTGGATGCGATGGGATATTTGAACCTGCGCTGTACGAATAACCCAGGCTGTCCGACTCATGTCAATCCCAATAATCCCACGCAAGCAGACATTGACAAGAATGATGCACGTGCAAATTTTCCAACTATATATAAAGACATATTTGGGGAAGATGCGCAAGTTCCGGAACACATTGGGGGTATCTGCTGTGCTCAGTTTGCGGTCAGCCGAGCACGCATCTGGCAGCGACCCAAAAGTGATTATATCCGTATGCTAAACTGGGTGAATGAGAAGAGTGTGCCGCTTGTTGATGACTACGGTGTCGGGTGGGTGTTTGAAACTTTGTGGCATGTGGTGTTCGGTATGGAGGGGATTCAGTAAGTGTCTTCTGAGAGACAGTCATTGCTTACTATGGGATACTAACGACTATGTTTTCGTTTTTAGTTGCCCTCTCTACGAGCAATGCCGGTGCGATAACTATGGATGGGTAAGTGGGAATTAACGTGACTTAAACATGATTCAGACTTACCTCTCTAAATAGTGTGGGCCTTTACCATCAGGCAAAACTCTCACGGCAGTTGCGGCAATATAAAAGAAGCAGCTGGATTATTGATTGAGGTAAATTCTCCAACATATGACTCTTTTTACGCTTAAACTCAAATCGTCATTCTTTCTTTGATACAGGCTATTTTTATTCGGAGGTTTACCATCTAGTTTATGGGCTGGGCTTATGGAGTAACTGTAGTTTGGCTTACGGATCTAATTGTGTACACTCGTCATATCAAGCGAAATACGATCAGGGACAGCACGAGCCAGGTCAGACTCGGCTTTACTAGTCCTTATGTCCATTCTCCGACTATCTCCAGGCGGCGGTCCCTTAGTCCGATAACTCCGTGGAGGTCATGAATATATGTATAAATGAGGTCTACGCAGCCTGTCAGACAAGAATTCAGACCATTGTTTAATCATTTCTTTCAACATGTCCACGAAACATATCACAAGAGTTGCCATTGTCGGAGTAGGTCTATTGTCTTACGCCCTGCATTTTGCCGGTCCCACCTCGAGGAACAATTGCTGACAATCACCAGGCCACTGGCCGCATCGGCGGAGCCTTTGCTAGGTCGCTTCTGCAAACAGGGCAGCATACAGTCACAGCTCTCACCCGCGAAGATAGCCAGTCAAAACTCCCTGATGGAGTTCGAGCCGTTCGAGTCAAGTACGACGATGAGGACTCACTTGTCAATGCCTTGAATGGCCAACAATTCCTTGTCATTACCCTGAGCGCCCGAGCCCCCGAAGATCTTCATGCTAGGATTACCGCAGCTGCCGGAAAGGCTGGTGTTCCTTACATCATGCCAAATGCGTACGGATTCCATATCAGCCCCGAGGGCGTGAAAGATGGGGATATATATGGAAAGCGCATTCTTGAACGAATCAGTGATGCTCAAAGTGGTGTGTCGTCCTCAGTGACACTGTCATGTGGGTTCTGGTACGAATGGAGCCTGGCAAGCGGCGAGCAATGGTTCGGCTTCACGATCAAAGACCGAAAGGTCACCTTTTTCGACGAGGGCACTCGCATCATTAGTATCAGCACTTGGGACCAATGTGGTCGCGCGCTGGCTGCCCTCCTCAGCCTACCGGAGTCTGGATCAACCCCTGCGCTTGTCGACTTCAAGAATAATGAAGTCCGGATCAATAGCTTCCGCCTCTCGCAACGCGATATGCTCGACAGTCTGCATCGTGTCTTGGGCACTACAGACTCCGATTGGGAGATTACTCATGAGAGTGTCGCTAAGCGCCTTGCAGACGGCGCCGACGAGTTGTCTAAGGGGATTCTCACGGGGTTCCCTAAGATGCTGTATGGTGGTGTATTTTCGCCAGCCAACAAGGAAGGTGATTTTGCAGGGATAATGGAGTTGGCAAATGATACACTGAGGTTACCTAAAGAGGACTTGGATGAAGCGACTCAGAGGGCGGTCGATATGGTGGCTAGAGGATGGACCCCTTTCGGTGAGAACTAATCTCAGCCATGTTCCTATCCAGATCAGTTCTTGCTGAGATATATAACTAAGCTTGCCACACTGTAGAAATGTGATTTATTATAAATGCTGGTCATAGTACACTCCGTCCCGAACAACCTTGGAAGCTCAATTCAATGACGTCATCATTAGGCTGTTTTCTTATCGATAATCTAATCGTCATCTCCCACGATTCCCAAAACTCATTCTTTTCATCTGATACTAATTCTATAGGAAAGATGTCCGAGAAGATCAAAGATGCAGTGCTTGCTGAGGTCAAGAGCAGTCAAGCAATTGCCCATGACGTGATCACGTCTGGCGCGTACTTGTATCCATTCAAGGTAAGTAACTATGCCTGTCAGCTCTTAAAGGGGCGCTTCCCGACCATCTCTAATTGCAGTAAATATCTTCTCAGGGAATTGTCTACTTCGCAGTCCACAAAGACCTCTGGCGCCCTTTTATCTCGCGCGCTGGCCGAACCATCACACTGGGAGTAGGGGTCACGACCGTCATGTTCCTCTTCACGTACGTGCCGCAGATGGCCATCATGGCCTTCACCAGTGGGCCGCTCGCTGCTATTTCCGCAGCAATTCTCGTTCTCGGCGAAAGTTCCGCCATAACAAGCGTCCTCTCACGCTCATTCCTTATCGAAGATGCCCTGATCGACACCTTCGACGGCACCCTAGTCGCGCGTGACCAGGAGCCACTTGTAGCACAAGGACGCCAGATAAAACCCCGTTCGGGAGGGAGAGATGCGATGGCTAGACTGGGTAAGATTTTCACGCGGCCTCTCGCGCGGCTGAACCCCCGGGCGCTGCTGCGATCATTGCTCTACCTGCCCCTGAACCTCATTCCTGTGGTCGGAACAGTGTTGTATATCTTCATGCAGGGGAAAAGAGCAGGGCCGATACTTCATGCTAGGTATTTTCAGCTCAAAGGCTGGGATTCTACGATGCGAGAGGAATGGGTGAAGAAAAACCAGGGCGCGTACACTGGGTGCGTAAACTCCATCTTTCTTCCCGAGTACCGGCCAGTCAAATGCTGACTGTTCATCAGACTTGGAATTGCGGCGTTTGTTTTGGAAATGGTACCATTTGCCTCGATCGCATTTTCATTCACGAATACTGTTGGCGCGGCTCTCTGGGCTGCGGATTTGGAGAAGGCAACTAAGTAGCCAGTTGACCATATGCAGCAGACTCAACTAACCGTGAAATATGTCAAGCCCAGAAGTGAATTTAGTTGTGGTACTCTTTAATTTAACCTGTAAATGATAAGATCGATTGATTCTATAATTCCAAGGCTGTGAAAGACTTTGTCAAGGCTGAAAAGTTGGTTCCGGGGAGGCGTATCCACGGTTGTACCGAAGCTTGGCATAGCTTCATCTAGAGAGGTATGTATACCCAACCACATACAGGAATCAATATGTAAGAGAGCTTAAGCCGAAAATCTATTTATTTGACATCGTCATTATTGTGGGGGTGGGGTTATGGTGGGGATTGTGGTGGGTCAGATGTGAATAGCTTCAATGACGACTGAAAAACGGTGGCAAGGCGAGTGTATACGTGGCAGAATAATCTCAACAACATCGCTTACTCTCTAAAATGACAATAGTCCGAAAAACACAATCTTGTGGACATAACTGAGTGGGCAGAACAAACAAACAAGACAAACGTTCTTCGCCCGAAAAACAATGAGCTGGTGATTCTGCAGAAAAAGAATCCTGGTCACATCACGTGATCCATTTGTAACATGCATGAAAAAGGAGGAAAGAAAACAAAAGGGCCCCAGAGGTTCTTCACAACAGCTAGCCTAGGGATAGTTTCCTCATTGGCATAAGACGCGCCTCGCTCAGTGTATGAGACATCAGAGAGCCAACTTTTTAGGGTAGGCTCCCTGCCGTCAGCCCGTAACTCACAGTTTTTCAACGCGGGGTTGGGGGTTATAATATCTGCCTTGACCTTTCCATTTATACTCACTTTTTTATCGTTCCTTCCTCAGGGCTCTTGCCTTGGCAGTACCTTCCTGCCTATTTGAGCCCGAGTGGTGCCTTCCAATAGTTGTCCAGTTGCAGGTCATGGCCTACTGCAATCCGCAATTATCTCCACAATCCTCCCAATCCTCCTCGTGGTCCTCTTTGATGCTCAAAGCATCTTCAATAAACTGGACCAAGGATTTCAAAAATACCTTGTCTCGTGGGACATAATGTGCCCCCTCGAAAAAGCACAAAGCTGTATTTGTGCTTGAATCACGCAGTCTCAGCGATTCAGATCCATCGACTATTACGTCCAGGCTAGCAATAGCAAGGAATATCGGCGTCTCAATTTTCGGACTGTAAAAGTCGTTGTAAAGAGGGTCTTTCAATGCAAACCCACAAACCGCAACCACAAACTTCAAAGGGGGGTGGTCCGTCTAAGGGAAAGAAAGTCAGCCATGCTACCACCTGGGCATGTTCCAGGCCAACTATATTTCCCCCGGCTTACATTAAATTGGAAATTGCCGATCGAGTGTCTTTTCTCCAAAAGAGAAGCAATTATAGCACCCGCAGCAGCACCCGAGGAGAATCCCATGACCCCGAGGAATGGGCCATTTTTCTCAAGATAGCGGAAGATATCATCGACAGACTGTTCAAGGCCCCGGATACGGCCAGTCACAGATTCGCCATGTCCCCATGTCCACAGCTCATTGCTCTCCCGGGGTTGATCGAGTTTCATAGGCCACGTGCCTGAAGGATAGTGAAACTCGACCACGTCAACGGGCTTTGAATTTGCATCTTGCTGCAGAGCGTTGAGAACAGCATCTCTTACTTGAGGCTTCAGGAATCTTGTCTTGCATTGGAGCACATGTCCAGACTGGGCGTAGCCTGTGAGAAGAGGTGAATGAGTCAGATTCATACTTCAAAGCTCTATGTGATATTTTGTAGAAACTAGCGGTATGTTACCATGTAGCATTAGGATTTTTGGACATGATGACACAGCCGATTGGGATGTTGGATTCATAATGTTGATAAATCCTTGTATCTTTTCGTGCCTTTTGATATCAGAGCAGTTATCCAACTTATAAACAAATGTAGGCTTGGGACTCTTATGGGGCATTTGGCAGGGGGGTTACACAACATTAGTACATGTAGTTACATGACGTTGAATTTACTTAAACGTACATAAAAATTGAAATTGATCTTCCAACTAGTTGAGCAAGAAACATAGAGGAGATAGCCAACGACAATATGACTTGTTGTAGCCATTATTTTGCCTTCATAGTGTGACAGTACTGCACCCACAGCGAGTGATCTTCTATCATTCGTCATATTGAGATTTGACAGCAATATATAGTACGCAAAAGATGATGTAATTCAGCAGATATGCAATTCTCTACAAACTAGGAAATAATCGGACTGACGACTTTGAGTAATAACAATATGAACCTTTCTGTGGGTTGGTCATCCCGTTGAGCAGGCTTTTGGCCCGGTTTCATCCTCGTATTTCGCCATGTATCCACCTCAGTGTTCGACAAGATTAATTGATGCTAGATTGTAAGTAAGGTCTTGGTCTCATGACATGTCTTTAGGAATGATGGCCCATTTGAGCCTTGCTTGCAGTTAGGTTTAAGCTCAAGTAATTCTAGTTGAGAGCTTGGTGTGTAGAATGCTTAATCTAGTAATGTGTTTTTGTCTGAAGTCATGTAGGAAGCATTTTGGGCTTAAGATAAGCAAGGAAATTTAAAGCCAAGATTCTAGGGTAACACAATATGCAAGCTTGTCTATGTTCGTACTAGCCCCGGCGAATCAAATCTAGGAAGCGCTGGCTATGTATGTACTTGGACAGAAAAGTTCACTTAGTCCACATTTCTCGATCTTCTCTGAGCCGCTCAATCCCACCTATCCTCGATCCACCGGACTTCCCAGCCCCGGGTTAGAATGTGCGCTTGTCCGGTAGGTGCTATTCCAGAACCTTCTCAAATTCAACAAAACAAAGATCATCCGGTAACGCCAAGTTCGCGAACTTCTCACGAGGAAAGGGCGATGTCTCGCCCGTTGTTTTGTATCCACGACGCGAATACCATGAGATAAGTTGCTGGCGATTCGAAAGGGCGTTTAATCCCAGCGTGGTAACACCCCAAGTCCTCTGGGAATAGTCTTCAGCGTAAGCCAAGACCTGTCGCCCAACGCCGCCGCGCTGTTGGCTTGTATCGACGGCAAGCATAAAAAGACGAGCGTGGTTTATGTCGCGTTTGGAAGTCCCGATTGAGCCGACGAGCGTATCTTCATCGTCGGTTGCCATCAAAAAGACACTGTCCAGTTTGGTGATCATGGCCAAAATCTCTTGGACATCCAGGCGAAAGCTCGACGAGAGACCTAGGTCATCCGTCCAGCCTTTTCTGCTGTCCTCGGCGCGGAACGCTGATTCCACCAACTGCTGGAGTTGAGGCGCATCCGCTTCGGTCGCGACGCGGAAATTAAGCTCGTTCATTCTGGGCGAGAGAGATGTCCGAGATGGTCGATCTTCATAATCCGTGAATTGTACCGGGACATTTTGGTATTTATGTACTAGTTGGTTAGTCCGAAATGAAGCGATGTAGCAGGGCGCGACTTTGGCGGAAAATCCCGCATAGGGCGCCCGACTGAGTATATTGTTAACCTCCCGTGTCCTATTGGGTGTTGTGGTCTTTCGTGTAATAATATGTCCATCCCCGCACTTCCTTAAGTGTGCAAAAATATAATTGGTAATTCCTTCATACAAAGATTGGTAGAGTAAGATGCGTCTACAATGGTGTGTATGGTGATGCTGACGTCATCTGTCAGATTGGCCTAGGCGGGGACATACAAACGCTCGGACCACATCATCTTATCTTGGAACGTGTCTCTCTCAAGACAGTGCCACATCAGAAACCTCCACTATGGCAACGGCAGCGGTATTCGGCTGCACGGGAGCAGTAGGGTCTCAGATTCTGGCTACCCTTCTCTCATCGGACGCATTTTCCAAAGTGAAGACCATCTCCAGAAGACTCCCGAATGCGCAGGCCGATAAGCTCGAAGCACTCGAGGAAAGCGATACCTCAAAATGGGGAGGCATGATCTCGTCTCTGTCCCCCAAGCCATCAGTGGTCTTTAACGCGGTCGGAACTACCAAAGCAACAGCAGGCAGCATCCAGAACCAGTGGAAGATCGACCATGATTTATGCGTGGAGAACGCTCGAGCAGCTAAGGAGGCGGGCGTGAAGACGTACGTTTTCATTTCTAGCGGAGGCACGAGAAGCCTTCTCTGGGGCTGGGTCCCATACTCGAAAATGAAGGTTGGCGTCGAGGATGCCATCATGGAGTTTAACTTTGAGAATGCTATCGTTCTGAGACCCGGGATGATTATTGGGAGGGAGAAGTCCAAGTCTTTTCTTTTAGAGAAGTTTGTGGAAGGCCTTCAGAAGCTTGGTCAGGGTATCCAGGACAAAGTTGGTATGGTTATGCTGATCATGCGAATGTTAACGAAGATTCGGAGCTAACTGGCGCGAACAGGTCAAGATCAAACTACTATCGGTAGAGCAGCTGTAGCAGCTGCTCGTGCGGTCGAGGAGGGCAAAGCCCCGTCGAGTTATTGGATTTTGGAACAGGCTGATATTGTTAGGCTCGGCAGAGATGAGTGGAAGGAGTAAGACGTGTTATAGTTCGATTATAGTGCTTTTCTAATGTAAGAATTATCCGTGTGCAAAGAAGAATGTAAGAAGCAAATAAAAAATCATAAATGACAAACATCACCTATTTATGTACATCATCATCAGGTTTCATGTACATCAGGCACTGGCCGAGAAATGAATATTGACATGGTATCAGTAATCATCAACAAGTAAAAACAAACATCACATGAAGGTAGTATATATTAGAGAATAAGAAGGGAGTAAGAGAAAGACCGAAGTCTGAGAAAGCCAATGACGCCGGGATGGAGATATCAAGGCCAGTGCCATGAGGATGAAGCCGAGAAAGCCCAAGGAGTCGGGATGCCTAGGCTGGGGAGCCACGTAAGGACTCAGGCGGGACGATCTTTTTCGATTATGAGAAAAATTCCGATAGTCATGCCCGATGAACCGACTCTGCTGGGGAGGATTTGGGGAGTTGACCGCGGGAGTCGATTTGTACGTATGCGTATGAACAATTTCTCGATGGCCGCAATCACATCTTGAGATCATCGACATAACCGAGGAATTGCCTCTGATCATCGCAAATGCGGGTATACTCCAAGAGAAGTCGGTATGTGTAGATCTCCATGTCCTCCCGGCGCAGGACCTTCTCCCCCCAAGCTTTCCCAGCGAGCGCAATCTTACGGGCAACCTTGTCACGGCCGCCGAGGAAATAAGCCATGATTCCATAAATGTCAAGGTAGGTGGTATCCATGGGGACGAAGTGTACCCAAGGAATCAGTCGCGAGTCGTGCCACTCTTTGTAAATAGTAGCTTTGATAGGGAGGGAAGTGGACAACATGAATCCGCGGTACCGTCCACTGAAGGAGTTCCCGTCAAGATCAGGCAGATACTTGAAGTTGTACATATCCTTCATTGCCATTCCAGGCGCGACCTCGAAGTATGGATCGAGATACGGGCACGTCGGGTCCGATTCATTGTAAGGCGTGCAAACCAGGTGGTTAAAGCCTGTGTCAGTATGCTCCGAGAGAAGCTGCGGGATAAACCCGTCGCCCTTCAACTTGTAATCGGCATAGTTTGGGAGTCTGAAGTTGATGCCGTGGCTTTGGTTCTTCTCGGCCTGAGCCACTGATGTCGCGTTCATCATCGACATGAATCGGTGTCGCTGGAAGCCCGTCCAGTTGGGCTCTCGAGCCCGGCCGCCAGTAGCAGCACCTCGCCACATAGCCTTGTTTGTTTTCGATGCCCAGGGGCCACCGTGCTCCTTCTCCCCGCCGGAATAATGGTCGTTCTGGGCCCAGTACATCGCCGGGGGAAGAAGAATCTCATTGTTCATGGGAAGCTTAGACCCGCCGAACAATGGCATCAGCTTGTGTGAGGTTGAGACAGAGATGGGCTCAAGGAAGGTTCCATGCAATACTTGCATCTCTGGGCGCACACACGGGTCCTTTGTCAATGTGAAGTTTGATACATAACCGTGGTATGACATTCTCTCAAAATTGTCATATTCCCAAGGGGGAGTACTAAAATCAACCTTGGCCAGGGTGCTGGTGCTTGCAGGGCTTCCAGGTGGGCAGCCAACCCGAGCCATCTCCCAGTAACCTCCCTCGCCCGGAATTGCAAATCCAGGATCATAAGGTTCCAGGTCTTCGTTATCCCAATCGGTCAAAGACATGTATTCGGGGATAACACGGCTCGGTTTCGTCATCACGCGATTTGCCTGCTCCTTCTGAATGTACTCATTGATTTCCTCCCAGGGCACAACGAGCCGAGTTTCATCCATGACATTGATCGGCATATCGAGATCGGGTAGTCCGTCCTCCAATTTCGCGACCAGATCATACCACGAGTCCATCCAATTCCTCGGCTCATCGGTTTTCAATATCGCGGTTTTGTTGCGGACAGTGATACGGGTCGGGATGCTTCTAGCTTGTCGACGCAATTCCTTCGGCTCGAGAGCCCAGTACGGAGTCAGATCGTGATATATCTGATCGAAGAATTCTTCAATAATCAATGAATCCTTTGACTTTGCAAACTGGTACCATTCTCCAAATCCAGGAGGCGGATGTCTCCCACGGCGCGCTCGATATTGGTCTGCGGCAGTTTGAAGGTCGTGCGCTTGTGTTCCCAGGAGTTCGTGGAGATCGGTCTTTGCGGTATCGATCAGAGCATCGATGGGGTGACTGCTATTGTATCCATCCCCGGCATAGAAGATTGGCGACACTAAGGGGGCATCATGGCTGGGCAAGAGCCAGATAAGGGCGAGGATAAAGAAGACTGCGAGCACCGCGACTCGGCTTGCGCGCGAATTGAATGTCGTCATCATATGTGGCATCCTAAACGCGGGCATTCTCTCAATAGTCTATGCTTATTTTGTATGAAGTTCGTCCGTGATAATCGCAAGCTGGCAGCTCGATCCGATCATACCGCCCCTAGGATTAATTTCCGGTGGTGGGGTATCTCGTCGTGATGATTAGGGTTTATGATAACGAAAGGGCCGCATGGGTATAGGAAGTTCACCAATTCATATTCAAAAGGGTCATTGATCAGAACGAGGAGAAGACGAGAGAAGCGCAAGACAGGGAGTCAAGAGAAAGCAGATTCAAGCTCGCTATCCGACGGGAAACACAGCCATACTTGTCTAACCGGAATAGGAATCCTCATCAAAGAAAGTCTGAGCGTTGTGGGTCACTTCCAGGGTTGGAGGGATCCATCTGGTCACTTTTAAGATAGAGATCGTCCACTGTGCCCCGTGTCCAGTGGGGACCACGTTCTTTGCAACCCTTATTTGATCTTATTTGGTCTTATTTGATCTTATACCGATATACCATGCAAAAGATATGGCAATATAAAGCACAGCATATTCCCAGCTAGACATGAAATATCAATCTAAATTATAGTACCGAACCAATTGAATTTGCCCGGTGGTTGGACCTACGGCTAGATGACCTCATAGAGTTTATCGGTGCAGATAAACTCGGTTTCCGGTTTTCCATTTTTTTTCTTCTTTGGAAATGCTATGCAGTCGTCATTTATCCCTCCCACGGTTCCATGGCTCATTTAAAGTCAATACACAAGAAGGTTGCACCGACCTAACGGCTCATGGTTCAGTGAGGACCTGTCTGCCTGAGGCAGCATATATTTGCACTAAACTGCTTCGGGTATAGCGCTATTTGATTGACATTTCTCACCACGTTCTATGGTATCCCTATAATTTAGTAAAATTGCGCTATTCGATCAGGTGTTACGATATCATCTTCTCTCCTAGCCGGCATTGCTGCCAACAGCCAATGGGTGTCCACCATATGAATGTTAGATCCATTTCAAGGGGCCAGGTGGCAGATATTTCGAAATCCGAGTTCAAAAACTGCTAGATATTATTGTCGGGGTTTAGCAGCATTCCATGGGTATATAAATTGGTAGCTACTTAGAAAGACATGCTGAATAGTTTATGAGTAACATGTTGATAGCAGCCAGCTGATCTCCTAGGCAAAAATTTTGAATCTCAACCCACATATTTGCGTTACTTTACAGTGGCACATTGGATAACGGGTAACGGGTATTTGATGGTTTGAGCCGGGGCTGAAAATAGGCAGCGGCGGCCCCTGCCTGGAGTCTCTACCTCACCGCCTCTATGTCGCTTCTACGTGAGCGACCAGCTGGACCGCCTGGCCACCCTGGTTGAGCGGGAGGCTCAGATGCGGGCAACACTAGGGTTTGAGTCACAGAAGACGAGCGAGAAAAACATTATTGAAAGCAGGGATGATACAAGAAAAATCAACGTGACAGTCGATAAGCCGCTCAACTTTGAGCACAAGAGGGATGCAGACACTACCTCAAAGAAGCTCCTAGAGAGTATCGATTTCAGTCTTGACAATCCTAGTAAGGCTTTTACAGCCGTTCAAACCATCTTTCAGCGCCGCTTAGGTGACCAAGTCCAGGGGAGCGGAAAGTGGCTTCGAAGTGATCCACGATATATGGCGTGGGCGTCCCCGGAAAGTTTGTCTTTTTCAGTCTTTGGTATCTCTGGAGACGAGGGACATGGCAAATCGTTCCTCTTTGCGAGTATCGTCAAATACCCGCAAGAAGCACAACCTCAGCGTGAAAATGATATGAGGTGCATTTCCACTGCGTATCATATCTTTGACAAAGACGAAAACCGAACATCTTTGGTCCAGGCCCTCAAGGTCCTGGCATGGCAGGTCGCCAACCAAGATATTGTTTACCGCAAAGGTGTAAGCTCCGTGAAAGCAACAGGTATCAATCAGATAGAAAACCTTTGGGACATTCTATTTTCCAAGTCATATAAGAGCGACTCGACCATCTTCCTCCTCCTGGATGGCATTGACCAGATAGAGAAAAGCGAGCTGAAGGAGTTCGTTCAGGTTTTGGAGGGGCTACAGGCTATCTCTGAAACCTGGTCACAATTCAAGCTGCGCATTGTCATCACTGGGCGCAATGAGACAATGAACAAGCTCAAAAGTCAACTCGGAGAAGGAATATTGACAATTGATATGACATCTGAAAACAACGATGACGTAGAAAAGTTCATCACTGACCGCATGGACAAGATGGAGATTCTGGGCGGCTCGTCGGACCAGGTAATTTCTCTTCGGCGTGACATCTTGTATAATCTGAAGACTCAAACCCAAGGCTATTTCGTCAATATCGGCCTTCTGCTGCATGAGATCAGCGGGAAGCAGCGTCCTGGTGAGATTAGGGATATTTTATCCCGCTCTGGAGGTAAACGATCCGGACACTATCGCGAGAAAGATTGAACTCCTGAACGAGACACTCAGCGAGGAAGACATCTCTGACCTGAACGTCCTCTTCACCTGGGTTGTATTTTGCCCTTACCCATTTGATCTGGGAGTGCTAGAAGGAGTCCTCTACCTGAAGGCTGGGGAATCTTCTCTTCGGCCTCTAGCAGAAAGGATAAATGACAAATATTCCTCCCTCCTCCGAATTAAGGGAAAACCCCACCCCAGGACTAAGCTCATTCCAACTACTTCGGAAGTGCTGCTAGTATCCGACTCAATAGAAGAGTTCATACGAAACAAGAATGGCTCTGATAACGCCCCAGACCTAGATTGTACTGGCGATATTAACGCAGTTGAAGTCAGGATTGTTCGTCGATTCTTGGAGTCAGTCTGCGATCCCAACCTGTTCGCCAAATTTGGATTCGAAGAATTCTTCCAGCGGAAACTCAAAGGAAAAACGGCCCTGGTCGGGGTTGACATCGACAACGCTCATTTGAGTATGCTGTCAACATGCTTGGAAGCCACCCATCACCAGAAATCTCCAGAATTAGACTCTGTGCTCATTTACGCGTCTCGTCATTTCGCCGACCATCTTACACAAGCGGACCCTTCACTGACGCAACCACAACACAAGATGGCTCTTGGCCCGCAGCTGGTCAGTCTCTTTACGGACGAAGAAACAATTAGAAAATGGTGGAATCCAGCCGATCCTTGGCAACGATTAGATTGGATCTATTGGGACGAATTTGTTGAAGTCTCGTTGAAGTGGCTTCGAGACTCTGCGGTCACTAAAAACCTCCCTGATGACCAAAGAAAATGGGTGAAAAGTTTGAGTTATATTCTTGCGCACGTTGCTAAGTTTACTGCCCGCCTCTGGTTGCAATCGAATGTTGAGACAGAGTATATCGACAGTGTCTTCGCTGCACTTCATGGATATATCACAAGGGTATGACCTTACTAATGAAGCACAAAATCCGACAAAGACTCGAAGCTAATTGATTCATCAGATTGAGAACCGCAAAAACCCCCAAATCGAAAGGTCAACCTGTGATCCGACAAATGAAACCATTCATGCCTCCCATATCTCCGATGCCGCTGAATGGGCTCGACAGAAACTCGGACTGGATAGTCTGAGATATGAGGAGACCCGGAACCTAGCGCGGACATTCGGAGAGTACAACTTGTGCGATGAGTCCATCGAACTCTTCAAACTTTCGTGCTCCCTCTGGGAGTACAACTGGCTCTCGAAATGGGGACTTGCGACTGTGTATTCCTACCAGAAGGAATACACGCTTGCGATTGAGATGATAGAGGCCGCAAAAAATACAATCAAGTGTGGCGAGACACGCGATAATGATTGCCAGTTGGTAGAACTGGATCGCACTATGGCTAAGTACAACAAAGAGTTGGGTAATAGCGACGAAGCGTTTGCGATATACGAGAAGATTCTGCGGCATGACCCGAGTGATTACGACGCGGCATTGGAGATGGCGATGCACTTTCACAAAAATAAGAACTCAGAGGGCCTGCTCAAATTTCTTGATTCACTCAAGGCCTCCATAGAGGATTCAACCGGTCTGGACAGGCGAACGCAGATGTTCCACCGGCACTTCGCCAACGACCAGTATCACAGGGCAATCCTCGCCCTGGTGTCCGATAATAAGACTTTTGATGCTATCTTTGAAAGCTACCAGATAGCTATTGCTGCCTCTAAAGAGCAGCTTGCCAAGGCGACCAACGAGGGTGACGAAATATTCCATCGGGACTGCCAAGCGCTTCTTATGGATTATATTGCCCATCTTTGCTACAATAATGGCGGGGAAAATGCCTCGCAGAGGGAATTCGCTATCGAGGAGTGGATACGTATCCTACAGATTGACGAAACCTCCATCGAGACGTACGTCGCAACCACCAAAGTCTTCGTCTGTACAAAACTCGCGAATGTCTGTTTCCATGAGGCGATGCAGGACCCAAGCAAAGCAGCTACCTATCTAGACCAGCTAGACCAGCTGGCTACATTCAAACCCACGTATGTTAACAGCGAGCAACGCTCTGTAACCTATCCAACAGAACTTGTCGCACGATACCACGCACTTCAAGGCGACGAGAAAAAGGCTAAAGATGCCCTGCGCACACACACCAAACAAAACATTGATATTCTCTCTGACGATGATCCGTCAAATGATTGGCAGGGATACCAGGGCCTGGCGAGATATCTCATGTTCGCGGGCCAGGACACAGACTGTCTCGCCGCTTGGTCGTTGATTGTTCCATTTGACGACGAGGAGACCAATTCAACATGACCGAAACGCACAGGACCTTTGTGGCAAGAATGTGATGGCTGCGTTACCTCTCTTCCGTACGCAGATAATATCCATATGTGCAGAGAGTGCAACTACACGGAGTTTAACGAGCCCTGTTATATCAAGCTACGTGAAGGAACCCTTGAAAGAAATATTTGTGACAAGGATCACGAAATGTTTCATGTCCCACCCTACGATGTCGCCAAGCATGAGAGAGTTGGTGAGGGTAATGTCCTGGTTGGCGAGGAGATCATGCCGGTTAGCGAGTGGCTCCAGCGCCTCAACGAGAAGTGGGATATCTATTCGTGATTGTAGGCATGCTAGAACCTTGTCAATATTGAGCATGTCTCTAGTAATACATAGCTTTCTGGTTTTTTGAACTTTTCTGCTGCAGGTACGGAACCTCTCTCAGGTGGTCATCTTTAGTGAGTGAAATTGAGCAAAATATAGTGCACTAATTGCGGAGCGAAGCGAAGCAATTATAAATCAGAAGGTTGTACGTACGTACGTGTCACGTGGCCAAGTTTTCTCCTAGAATTATGACAAAAGCAGTCGCTGTGAAGCCAATAAGCCAGTAAGAGGGGTGTTGAGGTGATTCGTCGGCGGTCGCCCGACCGTGACCTCGCTTTCCGCAGTCTAGACAGTTCAACACCAACACAATACTAAATCGAGGCCAGGTGAAAAAATTCATAGTTTCTAGCGACGATATTGTATGCGCTTTTCGGTGAGTCAACGTTGCGGAGCTTATAAACAGGTAAGTCATGACAACTCGTCCAAGTGATTCAAGCCTTGCTAACTCGGATTATTCCTATCATTCGAGTCAAATATCACCATGAATCAGAGAAAACTAAGTTGCAGGGACAAAGACCCCAGCAGCCCAAATATGCCTCACGATCTAAACTCTCATATACCTCTATTATGTAGTAAACATCAAACCGCTAGTTACAACATCATTTCAGCTCATATCCATGACATCGGTCCTAGTAAGCTGATTCACAGGTTGTTGACCAAAACATAACGGTACCGAGCATCACCGTTGTCCATGTCCACAATGGCCTGGTTGGCATCCTTCATAGGGCGTTCCTGGATCCAGGGCTTGACACCCTTAGCAGCAGCAAGTTCCAGCATCTCACGGATCTCATCAGGGCTACCAATGAGCGAACCACCAAGCTTGATACCCTTGCCGATCAAAGCAAAGAAGGGGATCTCAAGACCACCATCCTCTGGGGCGCCAAGCTGAATGAAGGTACCACGGAAACGCAGCAGGCTGCAGTATCCGGTAATGGGCATTTTAGAAGAAGAAGCAGTCGAGATGATCAGGTCGAGAGACTGTCCGTGACGGGTGACCCAATCTTCTTCCTCACTAGTAGCGATAAAGTCATCAGCCCCAAGCTTGAGGGCGTCCGCCTTCTTGTCCGACTTGCGGGAGATAGCAACAACGCGGTCAGCACCAAGGGCCTTGGCGAATAGAATGGCAAAGTGACCTAGGCCACCAATACCGACAACACCAACAGTCTTCCCGGGCCCACAGCCGTTCTGCTTCAAGGGAGAATACGTCGTGATACCACCACACAACATGGGGGCAGCTTCCGCTGAGGAAATAGCGCCAGGGATCTTGATAACGAAGTGGGAGGGTGAGCGGTTGTAAGTGGCATAACCCCCGTAAGACTTTCCTCCATTTGCGTACACTCCATTGTATGTGCCGACCATCTTATTACAGAACTGCTCGAGTGAAGCCGCGCAGGCTTCACAGTCGCCGTCCTTATTCCTACAAGCTCCGCTTTGAGCTCCCACACCTACACGGTCCCCGACTTTGATGCCGTTTTTAACCTGCGTACCTACACGCACGGCTGTGCCAACAACCTCGTGTCCCACACAGCAGGGATATTTGGTCGGCCCCTGTACGATACACGAGAGACGTTAGCCTTCAATTCAACCGAGCAACTGAGACAACAAAGCAATTGAAAGAAAAGAGAAACCGAGTCAACAGAGCGACTGAAAGAAAACATACCCATCCGCTGCGAAGAGTGTGCAGGTCCGAACCGCAAATCCCACAGTGTGTGACCTTGATGTCCACATCTGTCTCCTCCCAGGGCTTAGGCTCGAACTCCTGCCAGACCATCTTGCCCTTGCTAGCCTCAGGGCCGAGGCCACACCAGCCTTCGAACTTGTAATCGGTCATTTTGATGAAATTGAGAATGGATATTGAATTGAATGATTCTACCAGGGTCCCCAGGCCTTCAGCCTAAATCCCCTTTATAGTTACACCGTCATGATCGGCCCGGTTTCAGAAAGTTCTCGCAAAACTCGATTTGTGATGCTTTGTGGACATCGGGTTGGCTAGTACTGAAGAAAAGGTTCCACTTAACATGAAGTGGGTTGTCATCACGGTCTTAGGATTATTTCCGTGAAGAATACCTATGCCGTCGTAATCGGCCCGGTTTCAGAAAGTTCTCACAAAACTCGATTTGTAATGCTTTGTGGACATCGGGTTGGCTACTGATAAAGGTTCCACCATGAAGTGGGTTGTCATCACGGCCTTAGGAATACATATATCCGTGAAGAGATTTCATCCCTTACTCCATGACAAAAGGGGTCGAATTAAGCTCATGCATGTCCGTACTACATAGTATGCTGACATATGACGTCACTCGGATTTAAAAGCGCCGTCTTTTATCACCCGCGTTAGACTTGTTTGAAATTGAAGGGCAACCCCTGAATTTTTAATTGTTGACTCATCCGATACGAGAAATTTTTCTCACTACAACTCTCTCTCTATAGCAGCATAGATCCCATCAAGAAGGTCGTCGTTATTGGGGTGCGTGGAGACAGACCATGAACCATGATGCCAGCACATGTTTAACTAAATAGGTTCTAGCGGCAATTATCCACAGGTAGGAGGTAGTCTCGGGGTTTTCTCGGGGTTGAGATGGTCAAAGGCCTTGGTACGCAGCAATTCCAGGTCTTGCTCGAAAACCCCGGCGGATTTGGCGGCAAGGTTGAAGCCGGGGGCGCCGTGATTTACGATTCGGGAAACGAGCCCTTATCCGCAACCAACTTCTGAACGCTATCGTCGGTGCGACAGGGCGTGCTGCACCTTGCTCCCGCAATGGCCAACAAGTATATTTGCATCAGTTCGGTGGCTACAATGCAGAACGACATATTGGAAATACTGGAAGTGGAAAGCGGGTCTAAATGGAGAATCACCCGTGCCAACACATAAGACATACTCGCGCAAGGTCGTGAGAAGTTTGCTAGGGGCGATTATTACTGTTTCTTGAAATTTTTGGCCGTGCACCTATTCCAGGCTGATGGGACATATTGTGGTCGCTCCCGACGATCCATCTGGAAATAAACTCCTGAGTGTCCCTTGCGAAGGTGTATAGCGGCCAGTGGCCGAATGCCTGATTTTGTGGGATTGATGCCTTAATTTGTCTAATTTGTGCCTGATTTTAGACTGGCAGAAATTAAAATACCTGAATTACCATTATAGAGAGCGTGTAAAATGAAGCTATTCCTACTATATAAATCTCAATATTTGTCTAAGTCTGGGTAGTTTGAAGATATTCTGACCCTAAGAATCTGAAGCTATTCACACTATATAAATCTCTATCTCCCTCTAATTCGAGTATCGATACTCTTCCTCTAACTATATTCTCTATCTTCCTCCGGTTCCTAGCGTTTATACTCTCTGTATCCTCCTCCGCTGGCTCCGGCATAGCGAAGTATCCTAAGACTAAGCCTACGCTCGCTTCTACGCCCTTCCTACTAGTTTAACTGCCGCGGGAAGAGGCGATTTAACTAATACAGGAGGAGTAGGATATCTAGTAATAATTCGGTAGTCCAGCCATATATCAATTATACCTTTATATCGCGCAATAACCATATAAAGCCTTAGGATTTACTTAGGTACCAAAGGCGTCACATTTATTTTATTAAAGGGCTCTGCCACAGTAATTCATAGAAGTACCATATGGCTGAAATTATTCGAAGGTTATGCTTTTTATAGTGGTGAGACTATAACAAATGGTATATGTACTGAAAATGGAGTGCTAAGAGTTACTCTGCCTAATTAGGTTAGAGAGCTGCGGAGTTATTCAATTGTGTTTACAAAACACAGTATAGGCGGTGTCGAAGGCGGTCTAGAATCAAGCATAAACCAGGCACCATTCAGGCATCAACACCGCAAAATCAGGCATTCGGCCACTGGCCGCTATACACCTTCGCAGTCCCTAATTCTGCCAGTCAGTCCTCCACTAGTTCAAGACCGATGATACCGGGCGGTAAGACTACTTCAGGAAGGCGGTAGCAGAAGGGGTGTCTAAATTTTTGCTGTCATTGTATTCTTGGGGGTGTAAGCTGGTGGATTTACAGGCTAGACCCGCCGTAATTTCCTAGGCATCGACCCCACACCAGCTGTATAGCATATCGACCCTGGTACATTCGATCAGGAGGGTCTATTTCTAATTGACGCAATTGTGTCGGGCATTGAACAGAAGATTGTAAGAATGAGGCTAACCACACAGCCCATCAATTTTCACTGGTTTGGAGAATGTTTCGCTATCACTGGTCATTGCCCTTATACTGCAATGTGGTACATAGTGCTTCAAGAGTATGGGGTAAGAGAGGAGATCATTCGACAGAGAAGCTGCAAAGAATTGCAGAACATCTTAACCAAAATAAACCAAAATGCCCCGAAGGTCGGCGCTGCGAGTCATCCTGTTCATTCTTCCCAAAAACGGCTTATGATTCAAAGACTTTTCAGATATTGATTGAACCAAGCTACAGCCTGGAGGAAAGCCTGTTCCTTCGCAAACCGATTGTGCGATTTGGATAGATCACAGCGGACAGCAAAGCCGTGCTCCACGTCTGAAAACAAATTGATTTGGAAGGGAAGATCCAGTTTTTCCAAGATCTTTTCGCTCTCATGGCGTTTCTCCATCGTAAGCATGAAATCCTTGCCTTTTAAACTAACGTCAGATAACCAGACAACAAACCGGGGAAAGCTAACTCACCAGCAGCAGCAATGCTCAATGGACCTCGAACATTCTCGAGTTCAGTCACCTCCACATTGGTCGGGTGGGCCGTGTAGCCGACATCTAGCTTCCCAGGAGAGAGATAGCGACAAACATACTTTCCACCAAAGCAGTAGCCAACACCCCCAATGTTTTGGCAACCTAGGCTTTCGCGCATCTCTTTGAGGATCGTGTCAATGATTGGGTCAGTCTGGGCAGGTTGATGATTCTTGGCCCAATCATGTATGTTGAAACCCTCAGGCCGATTCATGGGAACACTGTCGCCTCCGAAAAGGTCTGGCATGACAACAAAATACCCATTAGCTGCGAACTGATCCGCTATCAGCTGCGCATTGATAAGGGTGTGCCCGATCACATCCGTGAGGATCAAAATCGCGTTTTTGGTGGACTTGTTTCCTGGGTACACCAAATAAGTCGAGACTGCATTGCTCGTCAACAACCTGATTTGCCATGACAGGGACTAAGAGGAACAACTCACTATTGTCAATTTCCTTTATCTCACCTCGAGCTTCGCCCTCATGCAAAGAGCCGACGGTGCAACACTGCGCAAGATTGTGGGACGTCATATTGTAACTCAGTTGCAAGGCAGAGATGCAAGTTGATGAACACATAGCTAGAGTAACATGCTGATATTTATCCTACACCGTACGCTTGGTTGCAGGGTGGACTTAAGATTGTTATCTCCAAAATCCGACAACTCCGCGAGACTAGAGCATCAAAGCCCCGTAATGATTGAGCAATACGTAGATCTTCATCAGAGGTTGGCATTTGATCCTACGAGGTGGGAAGGTTAGGAATGGCGCTAATCCCAAAAGCGGGCATTTGAAGATATTCAAGGCCATCACTAACCCAGATTGCGGAATTGGCACATTCCGAATGCCGATTGGTCCGCGCCTAATTTTAGACCCACTCTGCTGAATAAGGTTGGAATCGAGGCCTGCTTTGTCAGCATATGATGGATGACAAAGCTATCGACCTGACCTCGGGCGGGACCTCGGGCTGCCTGTGAAACAGGTGTGAGAGAAGAGTCGTCCCTGGGAGTATTAGGGTACTAGAGAGAAGAACATCGTGGGGTGACTACTAAGAAGAGAAGTGGAAGATGTCTGCGTTGCTATCTATGCCTCGGGAGTCAGGAGTGCCTTCAGTCATCCTATACTGAGAACCCCCCACGTGGATAATCAAGCCAATATTTCAACTGCCGGCAAGGCGCCGTGAGTTGAGTAACATTGTGTAATCCTAACAGCCTAATTCTGGATTTTTGGTAATCCGTGGGAATCTACTACACAAGCTGATCCCATTAGGCCCCGAGGCATATGAAGGGATATTGCGAAGCCCCAACCCCAAAACCATCGCGAAAGACTTCGCTGTAATTCGACTCCCCTATTATCCGTTGGAGAAAAGAATACCCAATTGCTCGTCCCCTAACTCTGGGAATAATGCTATTGCGTCATAATCAGCCATCGAAATCGAAAGTCTGCTCTAAACATTCCAAGCGTGAAATAGAACTCTGAAAGTCATCCGAACAATCCAAGCCGGCCATCTTCAAAGCGCTGAACCAAGTCTCATCAATACAGTCTTGTTGAAGATTCAACGGCTGAGCTTGAAGGAATTCGTCTATAACTCCCATCTCTTCCAAGTTCTGGCTTCGAGGATAGGTCTGGTCTTCCCCAATAATCGGATGGCTATTTGATTCATTCGAGGAATCATGAGCTTTGCAACATTCTGATGTTTCAGCCAAGTCTTGCTGGAAAGTACCGATTGTCGGATGTTGTGCATTTGAAACCCTGGGATTCCATTGGCTATCACTGAGCACAGTTGATGAATTGAGAGATTTCCTAGGCTTTGTTCCCCACTCAGCGGCGGTAGAGGCTGGCAATGAGCCACCAGGACTTTGTTTTGGAGACAGCGAGAAGGTTTGAGATGCCAGCCGGGAATTGAGTGCATTATCAAAAGGACCTGAACAGCTCGCAAGCCTCTCATTTTGAAGTCCGGGGAGTTCTTGGGTATCCGAGCGAAGAAGCTTTTCTTGGATATGTCGGAGAGTTCCCGGGAGGGTGGAGATCATGATCTTTATTGTACATGTTAGTGAACAGCGACAAAAGGAGCCACAGGCTGATTAATGCTCACCGTCAGCATGACTTTACCTCGATTGGCGAGAAGGCTATGCTCAGCAAGGTGACTTAGAACTCTTCGCCCAGCTATCAAGCTCCCAAGAAGCAAGTCTGTTTTAGGCGAGGCCCGAGAAATCACAACAAAATACAAAATTGTCAGAATAGAGCTTGTCAACATGTGCATCACAGGCCACAAATCACCCTTGAGGAGATCTTGTCCATACATCCCTTCACACAGCGCGATAATACTTTCACTAGCCCGAACCGATGCAGTCGCATAAGTTGACATACCAACTTGCTCGTTGAGAGATCTCAGAGCATAATGCAAGAAGGGCCGATAGAGATAGAGCTGAACATGAGCATATGACATAGCTAGAATAAATTGGGCCCTGGGAGTCATCAGCAAGCTCTCTGGCAAGTGAAGGATGATGTCCAAACTTCCTACCTTATCAATCTGCCTTCGGTGTAACAGGTCCCAAGGCGATAACCCATAGGTATATCATCCACCCAATTGTCAAGGTCACCCTGTATTCCGTGTATCAATGCCAAGCTCACACCATGAATTGGTAAACCGTTCATATCAGACGTAGTCTGGCCTTTGAGAGAGTAAACACAGTGGGTCACCTTGTCCCTAACCATTTGCAGTCGCTTGTATGAATTCGCACCGGATATATAGCATATCGCACCGCGTGGCTGTGGAGAAATCCTCATCTTTTCAATATTTATGTCATTTGTCTCTTTTGGAAGCTCTTGGTCAATTTCATCATCGCTCAGAAGAACAGGCATACCGCATGCGGTGGCAACGTCACTGACAAGAAGCCTCAGCGTCCAAAATATCCTCTTGCTCATTTCCTGGGAAATTAAATCCTGACCCGTTTTGAGAGACCGGTGGAGACCCATGCGTAGCGCAATCGATAATGAGGCACTGAGATATGTGTAGCACGTCGATATTCGGTTGGACGAAAGAAGAAAGAGGTTCAAAAACATGATGGCTTGGAGAGATGTTAAATCTCTGCACTCGGCAAGATTCTGGAGTTGTCGACTCTTTGCGTAGAATTCCAACCTGCTTTATGTGAGAGCCTGAGCAAGAATACGGGAAAACTTTGGAAATCAATACCCTTGAGACACCTTTTTATCACAACCGGGACCGTACGAGCCGGGGTCTATGACCAGGCACCCATACGCAAATATGGCATAGAGAAGCGGTAGAAATTTCTGCTCTTTGGCACTGTAGTTGGCTTCTTCAAGCGAATAGACCAAGTTGAAAGAAACCTCAAAGCTTGGTCGGTGTACAAGGCAGAGTAGTATCTGTGCATCCAAAGCTGCGTCGACCAGCCTGGCTGCGATATCTCTCTCAGGTAAAGTAACTCGAGCGGGAGTTCGACCCTCGACTTCAAAGAATGCTGGCGCTGATATACGAGAGGGGAGCTGTTGCCAAGTCATATCACCGCCAGGCCAGTCACCTAGCTTCGCATTTAGACACTGAATAAAAGATCGATCCGCAGAATATCCTTGAAACTCGATTTCATCCTGTTCAACGGCGTGGTATACTTTATCACGATTCCCAAGCTCTGCGGGCGCGGTGTGTTCGTTTGGTGTAGCCAGAGGAGTCTTATTCGTAGTATTCCCAATTTCCGATGTAACTGGACTAGGAATCATGGGGGAACTCTCCGCGTTCGCTGAGATCGATGATTCCATCGCTTTCAGTCTGGATTCAAGTGACTCTATTCGCTCCAAAGGGAGTTTCCGCCGTCGTTTACGTGAAGATTCGGGGTATATGCAATCTTAAAAGTTTCAGTATCAGTATTTTCCCAGTGCAATGCAATGTTTTGTTTTGGTATGGAAATTGCGTCCTACCGTGAAATGAGGATGTGCATTGGCTGCATGGATTTTCTTTGTCACACTTGATTTTACGTTGTCGGCAGGAGGTACAAGAGACCTTTTTACTGGTTTTTTGGACTGACATGTGCTGGCTATCAGAATTTGTGGGAGATGTGTTAGCCTCGTACCCTCCAGGCCGAGACTGCTTCTGTTGGTGGGTGTTCTCGGAAGAGTTGCTTGACAGAGACGGTCCACTAAGGCCGAAATTTCCACGCAGTTGGAAGCTGTGGGTAGCCATAATTTCAGGGGAAAAAGGGCCGACTATGCGATGGCTGGTAATCGTACTTGGGCATTCGTGAAGCTTAAAAGGCCACCTCCTGCCACCCAAAGGCGTCATTATCTCAGATACCATCACGTGACAACTGGAATATGGCAAGCACGGCACATCCGTTGCATCCCTTTTCTTATGCACACTTCTCATTTACGTCTACGGAAGCCTTAAACTCTGTGTATGAAAACGACTCATTTTGATCTGATACCGGGGGGATAATTCCATCTCAGCAAGGCCTACATACGAGGTCCAATCCGAACGACATAGACTAGACCCCAATCTGCGCCAGATCAGGAAACTGCCTCTCGGAGTTAAGCATGCGGCTTTAGGAAAACAGCCGCCAAGTTCTTCACTCTCGGAGTAAGTAAACCCCGTATTTTGGGTTAGCGTGGCCGATGTATAGACCCACTCCAGTTTTACGAGACTGTCGCGAATCGAATTGGACTTGGTTAGTTATCATGTTTTGGTTCTTAATCGTCAGTTGGCTTTGCAAAACTCATGTTAATGGCGGATATTGCGGATTTACTGGCATTGATATTCCTCCTAATTTAATCCAGAATTGCCTAGGGTGCCTACGGCATGTGTAAATGATTCCGGTTCCATTGAGGCTGAAGTAAGGGGCTATTCAGACCAGGGAACGACCCAAGGACCGATAAACAAGACAAATATGGGAAACTCGCAGCTTGCATTATTTCAGCAAGTCTATCAACTAAGTTGGATAATCTCGTCTCCCGCTAAGAAGAAATTTGATGCAATAGGCTCCCCCAACATATTTTCCTGGGCAAATCTGGATAAGTTAAATCCAAATCTCAAGATAGAGTCGGTCAGGTAAATATCGAGGTCATTCATTGAGAACTCGGCAGGCTGTCTGAATAGGGCTTGGATGTACCTATGTGGAGCTAAGAGTGGTGGTGGCATAGGCGGTAGGTACGGAGCGGCAGCGGGTGCGGGTGACGGAGTAATGAGGGGAACGAATGTGTTGTATTTTCCGGCCATTGACGAGAAGATAAGGTCTTGCTGTACCCAGTGAAGAACCTGAGTGAAGATGGGAAGTGTGGGGTCAGGTGCGTCGGGATCGATCTGAGTTGAGTTAAGTCGAGGAAGTGGATGGGTGTAATAGAAACAGGAAGGCAGTACCATGATGACAATATACGTGCCTGCCAGGGCAGGTGCTGGGAGACCAATACTGGGGGCTGATGTAATGTCTGGAATAAGATCGGCTCTATCAGCTTCGTCTGGTCTTTCTTCTGCCTTGTTACTATTCCATACCACTCAGCCTTAACTTCTCCCCAGGCTTAAATGTGGCATTCCCGTACTGCACTTGTAAAACAGTGTCCGACTGGGGGATCTGAGCTGACACGACAGTCAACATACAGAATGCGACTTCAGTGAAGAAAAAAAGAACATTTTGCATAATGTTTCAGCCTGATTGTCGCTGGAAGTGAGAAACGATCAGATCAGGTGGATCAGATGAATGGAAGGGCTGGTCAGAATAGGTAAAATGATAATGCTCTCCTATCGCGAGGATTCGGATCAAGTCATATACAAGAAGCTGTTCCTCTCAGACATGCGACCGACTCGGCACTAAGCGACTGGATTTCAGGGCACGAGCTCTTCGAAGAATGCCAGAATCCTGAAACCTCTTCCTCGATTGAGTGCGAGCCTTTAAGAATACAGCTAACATAGGTTTTCTGATATCTCAACAAATGTTCTTTTTCGCCATTCGTATTATTACTTTCTTGGCCTATTCAGCGATGGGAAGAGTATCGCCTATTCACAGTCGATGTCTTGCCCAGTTTCCTTTTGGGATAGCGCTAATCCACGGTGTAATTTTGCATTCTTCAATCGGTCCAAGACTTCCCCGGAGTCCGCTTTTTAGGTTAGCCCGTATTTTAAGTCCGATTCCATTTGTTTTCCGAAAATGGTATATTGTTTGAAATGGTAAATTTTTATCTTATATATATGTCACCTATTCAGATACCCCTTTTGTCTACGGAAGATTTGTGAAATCCGGTATCTCGACAGTTGTGAGTCCACGAAATCGCAATCGACAACTGATAGTAATCAGCATGGAGAACGCTAAAGTGAATTTATCTGCTCTATGCAATTTTCTCGTTTATTTTACTAATTGGCTGGTTTGAGTCAGGTGAATCCGACTATCAAGCGGGAGCAGTTCCCCCTAACAAATCTTGAAACCGGCATAGTTGGGTGGGATAGCCAAGATGACCCTCTCAACCCAAGGTACGTCCAATGTACGTTATTCCAAAGCTGTTAAGATCTAATTGGTCATACAGAAATTACCCTGCTTCACGAAAGTGGTTCCTTCTCTCACTCGTCAGCATCATTACATTGATTAGGTATGCAATATTCTTCCAACTTTAATTGAACGTCCATTATCCTGACCACCTACCTCGAAGCCCATTTGCATCATCTGTTTTCGCTTCTGCCGTTGCAGACGCAAGTAAAGAGTTCGGCAATAAGTCTTCGCTTCGTGAGTCATTGGCTGTGACAGGCTATCTATTCGGATATGGAGTAAGTATATTACGGCCCTGGGCGCTCTCTGGATGACATTGATCTAACAAAGAGCGCAGAGCGGACCTTTGCTTTTTTCCCCGCTAAGCGAGATTTACGGACGAAGAATTGTACTCAGCGTCGCAAATTGTTTCTTCGTGATTTTCCAAATTGGCTGTGCCCTTGCCCCGAATCTGTCCGCATTGATTGTCTTCCGGCTCCTCACCGGTATTGGCGGTTCTGCATGCTTGACCATTGGCGGTGGTGTTGTCTCGGATTTATTCGCAGCAGAGCAGCGAGGACTCGCAATGTCAATATTTTCCTTTGGGCCATTGTTCGGGCCAGTGCTTGGTCCAATTTGTGGTGGGTTCATTGCCCACGGCGCCGGATGGCGATGGGTTAGTAGACTTCCTTGGCTACTCAAAAGATGAAAATTAACCAAAATAGGTCTTTTGGGTTCTTTTAATTGTGGGTGGCACAGTGGCAACTCTTGTAGCGATTTTCAATCGCGAAACAAACCCAATTATCATCATGCAGCGCAAGACAGACTCATTGCGATCAGAGCTTCAACGACCTGACCTTTACAGTTGTTATGAAAAAAAGGGGGGCCCTCAAAGAAAGCAAATGGATCGCCTCAGAAATGGGTTAAAAACCCCTCTTCAGCTTCTTTTCCGCTCCCATATCGTGTCGATCATTGCTTTGTATATCGCCACGGTTTACGGCTGCCTCTACCTTCTCTTCACCACAGTGACCAACGTTTTCCAGAATACCTACGGCTGGAGTATTCAAATCAGCGGACTGTCATACATTGGGCTTGGTCTCGGCTTTTTCTGTGGGCAATGCCTCTTTGGTCTGCTGAGTGATAAAATCATTCTGCGACTTAAGAGCCGCAACAATGGCAGTTTTGAACCAGAAATGCGTCTCCCCTTATCGATATTCTTCGCCTTTTTCATTCCAATATCATTTTTTTGGTACGGATGGTCGGTTCAAGAGCACACGCATTGGATTGTTCCTATAATTGGGCTTTTCCCATTCGCATTTGGGATGGTTGGTATTTTTGGGACTTTGCAGACCTACGTCATTGATTCATACCCACGATATGCAGCATCTGCAGTCGCAGCCATTACCGTGAGTCGCTCTTTGTTCGGCGCGTTGCTACCCCTGGCCGGTCCCTACATGTATCAGGCGCTGGGTTATGGGTGGGGAAATTCTTTACTGGGCTTTGTTACTCTGGCTATGATCCCAATGCCCGTGATATTTTACCGGTTCGGTAAATCCATGAGAGGTAAAGCGACGTTGAATTTGGCATAGACTATTAAGGATTTCCGGCTTGTTACGATCTGAAGGATCGTTGGTTCCTTCCTCGTATGGAACAAAGCGAGCGCATTAAGGATTTGCATGGTTTGCAAAAGGGACACACAATAACCTTACAGCCCGGTCCTCTTCCCTTCTTTTTCTTTTCTCTCCCTGTACTTAATAATCTAGTTTGAATGCACTCTTTTGTTGTAAAGATTCAGCAGGTAACATCCGGCTCCCTTGCTGTCCCTGTTGCTGCTTATTCTTTTTATTTTTAGTGACAGAAATGCCAAGTGCGTTATGCTAGGTATTTCTTAAGTTGTGTTACGTTTCGTATTCCTGTGGCTCCACGAACACGAGATGCCAAGAGAAGCAGGGCTGAACCCGAGTCTTGGCTCAAAATATACGACATGGATTGTCCGGGCATATTGGGGCCTTGGACCCTGTCGATCATTTATGCGGGGGTTAGCACCACATCCATAAATAGACCCTGGATCATACTTGAGCTTGAGGAAGAAAAACATCTTCACGATAACGATATTTTCCTAGACATAATATGTTAACATAGTCCTCCTATCAATTGCAGGTCTGTATTGGGCGAGTGGCAGCATGGTATAAAGGTCATCCAAAAATAATCTCTTCTGCTTTGAGTAGATGAGTTTCAAAATGAGAATACGAGAAGCTATAGATGATCTATTCCCCGGTCATTTTTCTAGCCCTAAATAGAGCGATGTTCACTTCTGATCGACATCGCTACCTCACCACCTCCGCCCTATAGACAGTGGACTCCCTAGGTACCTACCAATCACCTGTATCATCCACTGAAGATGGTAATAGTTATCGTATTTGACCTTGGAGATTGGAATCATGGCCCCGTTGACGATGCTGATCTCTCGTGATTTCTATTTCGGCTTCACTGGCAAATGCTCGTATTGTGCCTAGCGCTCGTATTGCATCGATGAAGTTACATCTTTCAATTTATCAATAGAAGACTCGGTACCACCTAGAAAGCTATATAAACAACCACTTGCCCTCACTTATACGCTCCTGACATCCCCTCAGATACAATCAAATCTCCATCTCAATCCTGATACCAAAGATTCAATCCACATCTATTTTCAACTCCCTACTTAAGCCTTTCAACCACTCAAACCCGACCATCAACTTCGAAACAAAATGAAGTTCACCACCACCACTATCGCCGCCATCCTTCCTATGGCCAACGCCTGGATCTTCACCACCTGCAGCGGGCAGTGGGACAGCGAAGACAACAAGGGCTGCACTAAGTCCTCCTGCAAAAGCGGTGACACTATTGACTGGGATAACAACTTGTGGTCCGATTGTGTTCTTCGTGTCTACAGCGACAAGTCTTGCAGCAACCAGATTGGAATTGCATCTGATGACTGGAATGACCACACTTTGAGCAGGAGCATGGGTAGCTTCCGTGTTTCGTCTTGCGATAGCTAGACTGTTCGACTGTGAGAGATGTATGGAGATAAGGGCTCCGCTGGAATTGGCAGTGGGTGTGTTTGTTTGGTCTGATCTTCAGTGTTTGATGTCAAATAGCATGGGTTGGCCTGACCTTGACGGCTGTCTTTTAGCTAGCAATTGAATATCAGAGCCTTTGAAACGAGGTAGGAATTATAATGGTGTGCGTTATATCTGTTAGTATCGTAATTAGACTGTAAATCTAGCCGAGGTTATTTTTAGTCCAAGTCCTCAAGGTCCTCTCTCGCCTGGGATGTCGGCATGTATGATATTTCTATGCGCGATACTCGAGCGCATCATATGAAGGAGTCTCCCCCTTGCATTTTCCTGGCTGTTATCGACAGCTATCTTCGGGATAAGATTGGCAACCCCCTACCTGAAGCATTGCCGATTTTTATAGCAGATAGGAACAACTTTCATGTCAAGTCAATAAATCTTTCTTTTTTTTTGAATTTATGTTCTAGAATTGCACAGCTTCAACTTTCTTTTGCAGCCCTCAATCGAAGTTAAGATCAAGTTAGTATCTCATCCAGCGGTTAGCATGGTAACTAACTAAACAGCTGCATGCATTATTATATAAGCGTTGAAGACATAACTAGTTAATCGCTATGTTCCAATTTTGCCACGCTTCTCTTTGGTAATTTCGCCATGCTAAATAAAGAACCTTGGAAGCGCCTTTAGAGGCAGAACTCAAGAACCCTGGGGGCTGTAATTCCATCTCGTAATAGGAGACTCTTACAGTCTTGGTCTACTCTTCTTCTACATATCATATTTTGCTTCATGATCTCATCTACTGGCTTGTAACCCGTGGACGTATCTTGCAATCCCGATTGGACCAATGACAGTGCATAGCCGAGATAGACTTAAATGTCGGGTTCACCTCTGATTGGCTGTCTTCTGCCAAACATTCCCGTCCCATGTCACCGCTTATCTAATCTATTGGCTAGGCCGAGCCCAATCTCGGAACCCCGAAAGTCTCAGCCGTCTAAGATTGGAAGCTTGCGGGCTGCAAGCTCGTCTGGCCGCCCCGCTCACTTTCTTTCTTTTTCTACTCATTTTCTGAAGTCCGAGAGCCCGGTGCAGTCTTCTTGATGATCCGCCAAGCTATTCCAAGGGCGAAGCATACATTCTGTCTTTAGCATTCTTGCATTCAATATATCAGACCTGCCCCCGGTGCAATGTCACGTCCAATCACATCACCACACGCTCAGAAGTATCAGGTCAAGTTTGGCACATCCAGAGAGCGAGAATTCTATAAGTAATATACCACCTTTGTTTGTAAACGCAACATTGTACTCATGCATCGGCCTTGTGATCTATGTAACACTCGACCGAAGACCCTGTAGGCTAACCATGCACCTTGTTTCCTAGGTATTTACCGCCCTACCATCTCAAACCACACGCCCTCCAACACGTCGGGCCTGCTACACTATCAAAAGAACATGTTGCTCGATCCTCAGATGACCCTGTCCTGACGGCATTCGCCCAATTGGGCACCTTGCGACTAGATGCGCAGCGTGCGTTGATCTCGCTTTTCGGCCGAAACGAGCAACACGTTCTCACCGAAGCCACTCGAACCCTGAGCTTGCAGAATGATGGCGAGCATAATGCGCGAGACGAGCTTTGGGTCGGGTGTTGTACTATGTCTTATGACCGCAGCCTGTGTAAATCGGTTATGCATTCTACGCCAAATCAGTCAAATGCCAGGGACGGAGTCTTGGTTGTGCCCGATCTTACCAAAGATAATGCATTCAAGGATCATCCAGATGTGACTTCATTTCCAAACATTCGGTTCCTCGCATCGAGTCCTATCATCAGTCCGAAAGGTGTGGTGATTGGAGCCTATACGATCTTAGACGATCAACCTCACGAGCCAGAGCCCCTGGGCGGCGAGACACTCCAATTCCTGGTCGATATCGCAGCTACCGTCATGGACTATCTGGGAACTAGTCACTCAAAAGCCCAACGTTTCCGCAGTGAGCGCATGATGGTTGGCCTTGGAAGTTTTTTGGAGGGAAAGGGTAGTCTGCGCAAGTCATGGGTTCTCGACGCTGACGCCTCTCACCCCATGTTTGATGGAATGGACCATGCAGAAGGGCATGTCAATCGTGAACAGCAAGAAAAGCAGGTCTTGAATGATGTCACTCAGACCGTGGCTCAGAATGGCATGCCAAGCCACCTGTCTTCCCGTCCATACAATCTTCATATCCCTAGAAAAAAGACCCCGCAAGGGTATAGGGAGAAATATCATTCATTCAACTCGACTACCAAGAGAGATGACAAGGCTCTACCAAAACTCGAAGAAACTTCCCAAGCGGCTATGACAACCGGCAGCGATCAAAGCCAGACATCACTGAAGGATGATTATACTGCTAAAGTGAATGAAACATTTGGACGTGCAGCCAATCTCGTCCGCGAGAGTATCGAAGTTGAGGCAGTTGTCTTTTTCAACGCCAATTTCCGCTCCCAGGAAGCTTTAGTGGACAATGCGGAGTCTGATACTGAAGGCAGTGGGTTTGAGAGCTGTTCTTCGGGTGATGAGGCCACATTCCGAAGCTCCCCGCAACCTTCATTCGAAGATCAGATCTTTTCTGATCCAGAGCAAGCTGAAAACTCAGGCAAAACTACTTTGAACCCGTGCGAAATACTCGGATTTGCCACTTCGGATGTCTCTAGCATCAATGGTCAGTCGTTGGACGGTAACAAAATCGCATTATCGGAGTCATTCCTCGGGGGCCTTTTGCACCGATATCCCCAAGGGAAGATCTTCAATTTTAGTGAAGATGGGACAATATCATCTGATGATACCAGTGATGGAGTGGTCAACCGATTTTTGCGACGTCCCGGGGGCAATAGGTACAAAAGAACACGAAAGTCACTCGTGCGCCAGGATGCCCAGAGCTTGCTTCGAATTGCCCCAGAATCCCGAAGCATCATCTTCTCACCTTTATGGGATTCGCACAAGGATAGATGGTACTCGGGGGCTCTGGCGTGGACAAAAGAACACCACCGTGTCTTCACTTCGAATGATGAGCTAGCATTCCTCTTGACATTTGGAACTAGCGTCATGGCGGAGGTGCATCGACTCGGCGCTCATTTCGCCGATCGAGCAACATCAGACTTGCTCTCCGGACTGAGTCATGAACTTCGGTCGCCTCTGCATGGGATTTTCGGAACGGCAGAACTCTTAAATGACACCGCCATGGACGCGCTACAACGAGGATTTGTTCATACAATCTCCTCTTGTGCATACACACTACTAGGCTCCATCAATCAACTCCTCGAACATGCTAGTATCAATGATGTTCGACCAAACTCTGTCGCCAAACTCCCCGGTGGTCGTTTTCCTAAAATTTCTGTCAACCCGAAAATTACCGCAGCCCGCCCTCCTTTGCATTCAACAAATGATGTCGACACTTGTGTCGAACTTGATGCTATCTTAGAAGACGCAGTTGAAACGGTCTTCGCTGGTTATTCCTTCTTCAGCTGTTCAAGATCCCCTCTTCGGGGTATTGCCGGCGCTTCTATCTTCGGTAGCAAACATTCCGATACACGGGGTGGAGTCCAGGTGATCTTGGATATTGACCGCACCCACAGTTGGAAATTTTTGACACAAGCTGGGGCCTGGAATGTTATCCTCACCAACATCTTTGGGAATGCCTTGAAATTCACTCACAAGGGGTATATCTACATCTCCATGAAGGCCTCTCCAGTGAATTTTGGAAAAAGCGGCGACGCCACAAGCTCAACAGTCACCGTGACTGTCAAGGACACTGGATCTGGGATTGACCCAGACTTTTTGAAAAATGGACTATTCACTGCTTTCTCACAGGAAGATAGCATGACAACCGGCAATGGTCTTGGATTGAGCATCACACAACGATTACTCGCATCCCTTGGCGGTGACATCCAGGTCAACTCCAAGAAGAATGTTGGCACTGAAGTCGTGGCAACTGTGATTCTTAATCAAGCGTCTGCTTTGGACAATCTTGATAAGTTGAACAATCAGTCTCTCATCACCACAGCGAAAGCTCTTGCATGCGGGAAGACCATTGGAATATTAGGCTTCGGGACTTCTGAATTAGACACAGCTCTATGCACATCGTTACAAAGGCTGTGTGCAGACTGCTTCTCCATGGAAGTTCTTTTAGTTGGGGCTTCACAAACACAATTCGCCCACTGTGACTTATACCTATCTTCTCACGAATATCTGGATATAGGGAATCAGGAGATCAGGGCTATTGCACCTAGTCCAGGTGTTAAAATCCCTTCGCCGGTCATCGTAATATGCCCGTCCCCGAGGGTCGCGCACTCGATGTCAGTCGGAGCTCGAAATCGTGGTGATACAAATGTGCTCGAGTTCATTAGCCAACCATGCGGTCCGCGCAAGTTGGCAAAAGCATTACAATCGTGTATCAACCGCCAGCAGGTGCGGTTTGATTCTCTCCGAGGCGAAGAATGCAGACCGGGTGGCTCAGGGAGCTTCGGAGCCGATATCAGCACCGATGAGCCTGAGATGGACTCGCTTCTTAGCCCGTCGTCAAACGGGGAGGGCAGTGACCAATCCACGACCCAAGTGATAGCAGATCCAAAAACACACCCCCGGGCCAACACAGCAAAGCTCGAATCGTTGAGACTCTGTCGGGAGAATGTTGACGACTATCTTTTTCCATCCGAAGAAGTCGCCACCACGAGCCACGATACACCCATCAAAAAAGAAAATAGCCCCATATCAACCACTCCAACAACCGTTCTTCTTGTGGATGATAATGAGATCAATCTCAGAATTCTTATTGCCTTCATGAAGAAGCTAAATTGCGATTATGTCATTGCGCAAAACGGAGAAGAAGCCCTCGAGGTTTTCAAGGCGAATTCCTCTGCCGTTGGAATGATTTTTATGGGTAGGCCTTTTAAACATTAACGCGGGCATTGTCAATCTAATAATCTTCACAGATATCTCCATGCCAGTCATGGATGGCCTGGAATCTACTAGGCGAATCCGGGAGTATGAGAAAACACTGGAAACCAAACCCCGTGTCACGATTGCTGCCTTGACTGGCGTTGCACAAGCCGACACGCAACGCGACGCGACTGGGTCTGGTATGGATTTGTTCCTCACCAAACCCATACGGATGAACAGTCTAGTGCCAATTATCAAAGGCATAATGCCCCCGACCCATGCACTGTGGCAAGAGCAGTAAGTAATCAAGGATTCAACATCAATCAACATTTTGGATACTTGCGCTCTTGTATGTAAGAACAGCATCTATATATTTAACTAGGGCCAATGTTCATTCACAAACTGCACCCGGTCGTGAGCGCAATATCGGTATGCGTAATTTCAATGATAGGTTCTCTTTTCAGACCAGAGGCACTGGGGGGGGGTACACCTTCCTCTCTTCAGAGAATCCGTGCGAGGCAGCTGTCATCTACCTATAACCATTTGTATCTTGAACAAGGACACCCGAAGAAGTACGGTACTCTTGTCCCTGGTTGTTTGTTGCCGAACTCAAAACCACCTCTGGCCTGGGGACCTTGTACTGCCCATCATCAATAGTAGCTGGGGTAACTTGCTTCAAACGCTGAGTCGAGAATCGGATGGGTCTCTCCATGCTTGAATCAAAAAGGTAAAGGCAGTTAATTAGACGCTTTCACGGGTCATTTTCGCGTGTCAGGACATTTCGCAATATCCTGACAGATATATGAGAGATTGTCTGACTCGGGGGAGTGGCCCACTATATAGTTACCCAATTAGGTCCGCGCGAACTAGTTAGTCAACTAACGAAGAAGGATATCACGAGGGAGAAGAAAGAACGACCAGCAAAGAAGAGCGGCGACGAAATCATTCATCCATCTCAACATCCGTCTCAACATCCATCTCAGGGTCACAGTCGAAGATCAGGTCAGACTCCCATGATCCTTCTTGTGTCCGGCAAGATGTGCGTTTGGAGGTGGCGGGTGACACCGAGGCTGCTTTCCCCATCAGGTAGACTAGCAGGCCAAGCACTTGTTCGAACCCATTTCCAACGACACCGACAATTTTGTACGACCACTGGCAATCATTAGAATCAGGGTTACTGACACGATTTACATATACTTACCCGAGACTCATTGTCGAGCTTCATGAACGTGAAAGTCATGGTATCGGTGGAAATTCCGTAGACAGTTGTGTCTGCCTTGCCAAGTTCTTTGCGCTGCTTGTGGACGCACCCTTTTGACAGGTCAGCCTAAGAGCGCATTATGACGACGATATCGTGATTTACTTACCCATATATGCCAGCGCCTGCGGAATCCCTGCGGTACCACTGGCCAGTTTTTTGGCCTCTATGATGACAACGCTCAAGTCGATGTCTTCCTCCTCTCCGTACCAAATGCCGTAGTCGGGCCGCCCCGACAGTACCCATGTATTCCCCTTCCATTTCACAGGGTTATACGCCCATGTCCGTTCCATCTGAATGTTAACGGATCGAGCAGATTTGCTCAAAAACGACAATACTAGATCGTGAGCACAGACAAGGAGGAGGTTGAGCTTGCAGCGGATGAGGGCTTCATCGCGGCTGGCGCCATGAGCGCGGTCGGACTTTTCCAACCAGAGTTCTAGCTGAGGTTAGCTGATTTCTTTGCATGATTCAGGCTAACATACTGAGATCTGGCGGGATGGGGACAGGCGCAACAAAGTCGAACTCATTATCTACAACCAGGGTGAGACCCAGGATCTTCTGGACATCCTGCAGGGTTAACGAGGCTACTGCAAGCGGCATAGGAGTGTCCAGGATCGTTTCCAAGTCTTTGGTGTCAATCTTGTGTTCAATAAAGCGGCGAATGATATACTTCAAAGCGGAAATAGTAGACATTGCGTAGATGTAGGGAATGCAGGATGTCTTTGATGAAGTGGGAAAGCGAAATAAATACGGCAAGTTCGGGTTGTTTATTGAGAATAATAAACCTAGCTTGTAGACCGCGTCCTTTTCTAGACATATTCAAAGTGCTTAGGGTAAGTAACTAGTACGTGAAGGGTTACGGAGTATAGTTAGTGGACCCCCTTGGCTAATGCGACCCCCCCTGGCTGGTATTCGGACTACCGCCCTCCACACCGCCTTAGTGTCGAACTCAGCAAGACGGTAGATACCTACAATTTGTATAGAAACCGTTAACAAAATTGAGTCACTTTTATCATATAAACCATCCTTCAACAACTACTTCAAAAACTGCTCCAAAAACTACTTCAAGAACTGCTCTATTAAGTCTGGCAGAATTAATTGATGCCTTCTGTGTAAGGCGGAATCAGGCGGAATCAGGCAGAGGGGGGTCCCTATAGTTAACTAGATTAGGCTTAGTTCGTATTCATTCTCTGCCAAATCCGCCGATCACCTTGTTACGATTTTGTCCATGCGAAAAGACCCATCACGTGATACACACAGGAGGCTTCTGATTTAATTGCTTTGCTTTGCTTTGCTTCGCTCCGCAATTACTAGAATACAGGTCCTTAACTGCCGAATCGGGTCAAGACGACGGTGTCTAGACAATTGTGGGTCATAGTGGTACAATCGCCTATCCCAGAAACCGACCTCGATACCTCCTTCCCCCATTATCAGACATTATCTCCCAGGCTTATAGCAAGTGAGATGAATTTCACTTTTCTATCACGCTGATTTTAGACTTGCGTTGCTAACGCGCAACAGGAACGGATTCACAAGTATGGGAAAGAGGTTTGGCTGGCAACGGAGAAGAGAGTAAGTCACTTTTTTTTTTCCCGTGGTTACTGCTAAGGACTCTGACTTATTCATATAGATCGGTACTATCTCCTATACATCTGACCATCCAAGTCCATTCCCGCTGGCTATCGGCATGACCTTGGCCTCATTATGGACGATGATTCACCTCAACTTATCAGCCCACCTGGCTATCCCGCTGTGTCGAAATTGGCGTCATACTCCGCTGCGCTCGCTGGGTCTGATGTCTACGTAATTCGAATGAATACAGCCGTTAAGAGGTAGCTTCTTCTCGAAGGACCCGTCGACCCTAATGTGATTAGAAACGCAACGGTTATAGATAACTACCTAGTACCCATGTGACCGCGCTGCGTATTCACAGAGTACGTCACTTTTATGGAAAACGAAGGAACCGTTCAGCCCTGCAGATGGGTTGTCAGGATCCGTCCTCTATCTTGGACGGCCGACAGATGAGTCGAGCTGGGCGGTTGTATTCCAGAATTTCTAAGTGCTCTGTACCACGCTCGTCGATCCCAAATCCGGTATATCTCAATAAGCAATTGTTAAAAGGGGATTTTGCTCCCTGAATCGATAAGGTCTTCCAAATTGCCATAAGCAATGATGAGCATCGGGAAAGAGCTGCAGGACAGAACGCGCAGGTTTAGACCGTCGGGTATTCTCGGCCCCTTATCAAAATTTGCTCTGGCTTTGGTTTGCTTAACAATCTCCAGAAATTCTTACTGTTTACTATCATTTCAGACTGCCCCAGTGATAATATATTTGTGAGACGCCAGGTCGATCAGAAGAGAAATGGTATATTCAACGAAATAACTCAGATGGAGAAAGAGGAAGCAAGTAATTACAAGAGTGGGAAGCAGCCTTATTATATAGCTGCTAACCATTTTGCAAACGTTGTAAACCTCGAATGTCTCTTAGAAAGGTTCAATTTATATATAGCTTTAGTAAGTCCAAATGTCAGCGACCCCAAACGCCAAGGCACAATAGTTATCCCAATAAAAAGTCTATACATTTAACTCCCGTACAGATGCAATAGGCAAGGTCTCTCCCTTCTCTTTCAAAGTCCACGCCGCACTCTTACCCCATGAACGGGAGAATCTCTCAAGCGCAGCTGTAAGTGCACCCATCTTCGGCTCTATATGCTTCGACCACTGCTGAACAACATAGAGCAAGAACGTAAAAAATACAACCAGAATAAACCCAAGTCGGAATGGGCTCGGCGTTGGAATATAAGACTCCGGGTCCGGTGTTCCATCTGCCCTTAAAGCCGGCTCAAAGCCAATTGCCATGGGAAGATACAGCAGGTAAACCAGAACAGATCGCATTAACGGTCCGTGGATAAGATATAGCGGGAAGCTGATCGACCCAAGCCACAGCAGCACGGGATGGGAGAGCATCCGCCGCATGGAGGGAGAAAGCATCACGCCAAGACATATCATCTGCGCCCCAAGGCTGGCATAGTAGCGGCTGACGTTGGCATCTCGTGGGAAGATGATTTCGGCAAGCGATGCAAGCTGGGAAGACCACCTGGTTTGGTCGGCGTATTGATCTGGGTACGAGCAGATGTACAGGCCTAGGGTGACTAGCCCGTAGGGTAGGAATTTGAAGAGCAGACGTGGCCGGAGGGCCGTCAGGTTGTAGAATGATAGTTCCGCTAGTATCATGCCAGCGAAAATATTTGTACCAACAGTACCTGTAAGAAATGATTAGCGGGGTATTCAGTATCGCGATATTATTCCCAAACATACCATCCAGAGTTACCCAACTATAGGTGTATAGGACCATTTGCGCACAGAGGCGGAACAGTGGTGTAGTATTTACCAGAGCCAACAGGGTCATGAACACATATAGGGAGCCACGGAAAAGGGGTAGCAGTGCCCATTGGGGTTGGTCGTAGGCATTTTCTCCGTACATCCAAGTCCCCACTATCTCTCGCATCAGATCCACGACGGCCGTTTTCAAAGATGGACTTTGTTGGGGGCTTGTCGCTCTGAGCCAGTATGCATCTACCCTTCTACCCAATTGGTAGACACCAAACTGACACAACAGCCAAGCTAAAATTGTCATCAGAGCAGCGGGGAAGACCAGTCTCCACTTGCGCCGGAAGGCGCCTGTCGAGAGTGTAGCAAGAGCATCGCTTGTAGCTCCCCGTCGAGCTAGCTGGAGCGGTTTTAAGGCATTCACGAACCCGAGTAGCACCATGAAGATAGCTACCCAAGCCTGGCCCTGTATGACCAGTCTAAAGAACGGCCGCTGAAACAAAATAGACTTTCCTGTTTCCGCGAAAGACGGCGGGATCAGATATGTCGCAAAGGATAGACAGGTATGGCTCGCGACCACAAAAACTGCGGCAATTCCTCGCAGACCCTATAAAAGCATGTTAGTCCGTGACAGTTCCACAGTGGGGATTTTCAAATAATACTCACATCTGCCCAGCTACTCGGACGGATATAAGATGCTGATTGCTTGTCGACAATAGCCATATTGGGCAAACGGGTTCATTGCTGGTACTGGTCAATAGTATAATGCAGCTGCAGCTCCCTAGGCACATATACATAAGTGCGGTTCGCAAATCATGCCTTCTTCCGGGGAGACATTGCGAGAAATAGACTCTTGAAATTAATACGGAAACGTCAATGTGAGCTCAATTTGAAATAGTTGACAGTTGACATCCGCTATCCGAAGACGGAAGGGTTCGAGCGGGCTAACATTCCACGGCCATACGCAGATGAATTAGGAGTTGTCAAAAGAGGAGTCGAAATATTAATTTGCGATATTTGATTGGTCTGGAATTCAGGGGCTAAGTACTCCGTAGGAAAATAGAACAAGAGTTCAGCTGACTCCGTATGCAGTTTTGTGTGTCTTTTTTTGTGTGTCTTTTTTTGTGTGTCTTTTTTGGTAGTTCTTAGGTCTATTTAGATACCTTCTCGGATCTTTCCCCCTTAATGGTGTTTGAGCTAAGAAATAAGAAGCATATAGTTGGCGTAAGGCGTAAAGTGCTGTATAAAATATACAACATGCGACTATTAAAGCCCAGAGTTCCTGATCGACACATGGATTTCTGACCTATCAAGTTTTATACAAAGATTCCAACAATGCGAATGTTGTAGAATAATCAAATACCATTCTAGAGTACATATCCAACGGTCAATCTACTCTCTATCCTCAATACTTTGTACTTTGTAGTCAATATGCCCCTTTGTCCATATTACGTCACCTGACCCTAAACCTGATCAAGGCTTTGTTGATTTTGTTTCAACTGCGCCTTTTCTCTCTTCTTTTATCCACAGTCCTCTGGCAGGCTGTGTCTCCCGAATTTGGCCTCTCACCTCGTGTCTTTCGTTTCTCCAAATTCCTCATTCATTCTCTAGCGCTTTCGCACTCCCTTTTGTTGAGAATCTCCCTTTTTCCGGTCCGAATGCTTTCTGGTTATCGATCGATAGCTCTCCTTCAGCGATAACAAATGTCCAGCGGGAACTGGGTGCGACATCGTGGCCATGGTCACAGGAAACGTAAACCCTCGCTATCCGCCTCCCTCGGCTGATTTCGACCTTCCCGGCCGGCGCAGAGTTCCTCACCCTCTTCAATTGGAGTCTTTAGTCGACCCACGCCCGCGAACCGCAAATCCGGCTCCGAGATCATCACCTCACTCCCCCCGCTCTGCAATTCGCCATAGATCGCGTTCGCCTCAGCGGCGGCCTCACAATTATCATGACAACCCGTGGCCACTCACTCCGCCTCACTATGGCCCCTCTCACGGGACGAGGGGCGAATGGAAAACCCCTAGAACTGCCGGTCGCACTCGAGCTTACGCCACACCACCTGAAACCTATTCCCCGAACTGGCCCGAGCGAGATGACCTCGAACGGGCAGTGCATCGGAAAGCTATGCCAGCCCGAGGGGGTCTCCGTATATCCATGTCAACTTCTAGGTTGAATAATAGGCGCCCAAGGACGCAGGAATCTATGGAGCGCCGCTTTCAGGACATGAGCCCCCAGGAAATGTCCATGACAGGCTTCACAACAAACGGGCCTACCGAAGAGAATCAGTCCCGACCAAGTGTCAATTCGGAAACCTGGCGCTCGAGCGCCGAACAAGCAAGCGGAACAGAGCGCAGCAGTGTCCTAACCAAGAGCAGCTCGATCACCGATCTTTCACCGGATACCCCCGACACGCCTTATGGGGACGACAATGGGATGAGTGTCGAAGACGCGATTTCCATGTATCTTGATGGCTTCAGCGACGTGACCGAAGAGCCTGGCTCGCCGAAATCCCACGCGGGGAGTAAAGCGCCATCAGCAACGCCCCCGCCGTCACGCGATTCGAACCTACATGAATTACAACCGCTAGAATATCCGTCGCTGAGCGACGTTCCTCCGGCATCCTCGATGCCACATTTTCCCAGTTCTCAAGATGCAAGGCCAGATTCATTGTTTTTGCCAAACATGGCTTATTCCGAACCCAACCCCATACCGCCCATACTTCCAGAATCGCCTCCAGAGTTCACACCATTAGAACCTGCACTCCCAGAACATCCACCTGAACCCGACCCGTCGGACCCTGTTCCGCCAGACTCTCCGCGCGATCTCACCCCCTCCGATATCGCTCCCTCCGATAGCACCCCCCAACATCGCCGGCAGCTGATGTGCATCATACACACCAACGACAGCCCTCGACAAAGGTTTTTATTCCGGGATTAGTGCCGCCGCAACTTTGCTCTGGAGATGGCCCTCGAGACGGTTACGGATTTCGCAAAGCTACCCAATATGTGACCCTGGATGAATACGAGACCTGGAAAGGATCCTACTCCAGCCATGTGACGCAACGGAGAGCCAAATGGTGTGAATTGCTCAAGGAACACGGGCTTCCCATATCAGAGCCCACAATATTTCCGCCGCAGTCTTCGAAAGTCAAGCGATTTGTTCGCAAAGGAATTCCTCCAGAGTTCCGAGGTGCGGCTTGGTTCTATTACGCCGGCGGGTACGAGCATTTGAACCGGAACTTTGGCCAGTATGATGAACTCGTTGCGAAGGCCATGACCTCACCGAGTAACGACGACAAGGAGCACATCGAGCGTGATCTCCACCGCACATTCCCCGACAACCTCCATTTCAAACCGGAGGTGACTCAGGAAGCAGAACAGTCCGGGAGCAGCAATCCGAGTTATTCTAATGTCACTACAGAAACGCAGATGATTCAGTCTCTACGTCGGGTTCTGTATGCTTATGCGCTGCACAACCCGAAAATCGGATATACTCAATCTCTGAATTTCATCACCGGAATGCTCCTTCTCTTCCTCCCTGAGGAAAAAGCATTCTGGATGTTGCATATTATCGCCGCAGACTACTTGCCTGGAACCCATGAAATTAGTCTGGAAGGTGCGAACATTGACCTCTGGATTCTCATGGTCCTGCTCAGGGACACCATGCCGGGCATCTATTCGAAGATCGCTTCCATGGGTGGAACCCCGTCCGGACGGGGCAAAATGCCTCCCTTGACAGTGAATTCTCGGCTGCCGGACATAACCCTGGGACTGACCAATTGGCTTATGTCGGTTTTCATCGGAAGTTTACCTCTTGAAACTACCCTCCGAGTTTGGGATGTCTTCTTCTACGAGGGCTCCAAGACGTTCTTCCGTGTGTCTTTGGCAATCTTCAAAGCATGCGAGAAGGACATACTCGCCGTGACAGATCCCATGGAGGCATTCCAGATCGTCCAAACCATCCCCAAAAAACTGTTGGATGCCAACACGTTGATGGATGAATGTTTCGTACGTAAGCACCGCGTCGGACAAGGTCGTATCGAAGAACTCCGAGCTCAACGCCGTACGGCTGTCCGCCAAGAGAAGTTGCGACGATCAGTAGCTTTCAGCAAAGGTCAGCTTCATTCTGGGACGGATGATTTCGCCGGCCGAAGCAACACACCAACCCCAGGCATCGAGCACCGGGTCGTCGGTTCCTGGCGTCACTTGAAACAACATGCATTTCGATAAGCGAATGGCCATCTCGGCGTCCATGTCTGTTGGGCGTCTTTCTTAGACAATGGCCTGTATTCATAATTGCGAAGTTGACGAGGTTTAGCGAGGGCAGTTATTTGCCTGCATTATAGGCGTCTTGGTTTCGAAAGGCGAACTGGGGGAATCGAGCATTTACGGCATTCATTTTCTTGCATTTGTATCAAATTTCAAACACTTCTAAGTACGACGCTGTATAGCGCTCAAGGTCGTATGCCTGGATTTATTGCCTGATATCTATACTATCATCCATTGAAATGACTTGAGTCGGTCTGGTCCCGGTCTGTTTGTCTAATATCAATTCTTTATAAAATATGTACCTCGGGGCCGGTAGCACTTTTTGTGAAGTGTAATTTTCATTCAGATGCATGAATTATATCGGAAATGTGTAAGGGACTACGAGGACTTGAAGACGCAGACTAATTCCCATCTCCACCTAGGCTACTAGGTCTGAAGATGCTGATCTACTTGCTTCTGATAGAAAGGAAAAATCCGCAAGTGCGTGTTTGTATTCTTGAAAAAAAAACTAAAGGGTCAACCGATGGGAGAATCCATCCGCTTACTCATAATCCCCCCTGATGTGATCGGTCTTCGGCTTCCAAGCAAAAAGGGCAGTAGCTGTTTTGGTATACAATTACATTACATTGCTGTGTCCGCCATTACTGAAAATAAGAAGAGCAGTGATCTCGCCATTGGCTTAACTCATCAATTGTCTGAAGACCAAAAAGGTACCTTGAAGTTCAAAAAGAAAAGAAAAAAGAACCCGATCACTCTCAATACATTCAGCAGAAGAGTCGTTGGAGGTCTTCGTTATAGCACCCTTCTCAAACTATCGTTGCTGACTTAGCATTTTAACGCTTCGTTTCACTTTCCTTCTGACCGTAGAGACAGTCTGGCAAACTGCTGGCCTATCGTGAATGAGCAGAGCCGTGCTTATCGAACCGTTTCAGGTCCCGGAGGCAGTTTTGAAGTCTTTCAAGCTTCTGCATCGCTCTTGTCCTCTCCTCGACTACTTCCTTACCCTCGCTGGCGAGGCCTTGAACGTCGGTGTCTTGCAGGTCGTAGACCGTGTCCGCCATGAAAAGAGTCGGTAATTTCTGGATCAGGCATGCTTCCACGACCAGAGCTCCAACGTTGTCGATCACGTTCTTCAGGGCAACCTAGATATCCAAGAATTATTAACAACAGTCCTTGGCGGTTTGAGAGTATGCGTAGGCATATACTGAAATCACGAAAGGAGCGAGACGGATATATTATAGTCAGAGAGGAAAAGAAAAGTAAAGTCACCTTGTAATATGCCTCCATGTAGTCGACGGCTTGCGAGCTGGCGGCTCGCTCCATATCTTGCTCGGTGTATTGAGCCACGGACCTAGCCAGAGAACGGTAATCAATTGTGCGGAGGCTATATAAATGCGCCGCTTGAATTTCCTCGGAGGTCGTTAAAGCTGCCTCGACTGCGTTGAGATATCGCTGTTCTTGCACCTTCTGGACAGTAGTCGTGAAGTAATGGTTATAGGTGATAGGGTGCCCAGAGTAATGCGGATTGAGGATCTCGGTAACCTTCTCTTGGAGATTCTGCGCCAGGATTTCCATCTTCGGGTTGATGATATCTCGACGTATGCGTTCCGTGGTCTCGCCGACAGAAACCTGCTCGAGGATGTCGTTGATGACTTGATGAACAGCTCGAATGATCCCAGCGATGCATCCACCGACTATATTCTTCCATGGCTGACATTGATCTCTGAACAACTCCGCGATAATCATGGGGTTCCAAGTGCCAGGCAGTTCACGACCGCGGTTGCGTCTCATCAGATTCTTGACTACTTCCACATAGTCAGATCGTGAGATCATAGGCAATATTTCTTGCATTTTTGGCTCGTCCGACTCTTTGTCATCTGATTCTTCATCGACAATGACTAGAGCCTTGCCTTCTTTGCGCATCCGCTCCTCGAAGGAGGTCAAAGTAGCCTGGACAACGGCACGAAGACGCCTATGGTAACTCTCACCAGAGCGGCTGTCTCCGAAGAACGAATAATTCGAATATTCGCCGTTCACGGCAGCTTGCATGAGCATCGAAAAGTCTTGTCCAACCTTGCCAAGGTATCTTCTCTGATCAGACAAGGTGGCCCGCGAGGCTCCAAGCTTGTCAAGGATGGTATTGCAGCCAAGTATGCCTGATTCAACGTCGCCCTGGATAGAAGAAAGATAGAGAATAATATGGTCAACGAGGACATTACTTAGTCGTGGTCCCAGCGTTTTGGCACCAAGCTGATTTGACTCCAGCTCTGTCCAGACACCACTGGACAGGAATTCTTCCTCGGCTTTATCTCTCTCAGCAGAGCTGGCATCGCGCATGGCATAATCCCGATTCTTCAGAACATGCCACCCAAGTCCGAATCTCACGTCATTGTTCTTGGCTAGTTCCACATAGGCGCGCTCGCTGTCTGACCCAACATCCAGTGTGTCCGGCTTGGTTATCAGGCCCATGGTGCGGTCGCCATGGGTATCCAGTTGTCGAGCAAGCTTAGTGACCGACTGCAAAGCGAAGTCGCTCTTAGCGGAGACCACAGCCATAATGATGCTCCTTGGGCGCTTCATATAGCCCATCACCAGCTCTTCCACCAATTCTGCATCTTGGTCAGACTGTTCTTTGTTCCCAGCCCGGAACAGACCCGGCAGGTCCACCAACGTCAGATGTGGTTGGGTCGGGCCGCACAGCTCGATCCGAAGGATGTCGGTGCTGAAGCCCTTATTCGCGCCATCCAGTCCCATCACACTTTCGGCAGTATTCACCACCATTCCAAGATTGAGAGGCTCTTCGAGGTCGAATTTTTGGGAGCGGAGTCGCACCTGTTCCTCTTCAGGGCGAGTCGGGTCCGGAATGAGAGAGACGTCGATGCTTGTCCGGTCTCCCCGTCGAAGGACCAGCTCGGTAGCAAACCGGGTACACAGATTGTCCTTAGTCGGAAAGGACATGCCTGAGATGGCCTCGAGTACTGAGCTCTTCCCGGAAGACTGATCGCCGCAAACGATGATCTCTGGAAGGTCGACCCAACGGGTAATCCCTTGCAATCTGAGTTTGTCGATAATATCAAGTAGGTCGCGATGGTCACTGGATTGGAGATTTTTGGTTGCCATTGTGATGATCCTGTTGTCAGGTAGAAAAAGAAAGGAGAGATGTTGGTTATCAAAGTGAGAGATTGCTGTGACCGTTGTTTTATATGTCCTTCGCCAAGTTAAAACCAGCGGATCCAAGAGGAGTCATGCTCCTCAACAGGAGTCGCAGGCTTCGCCGCTTAGGGTACAACTGTGGCAGGGATAGATGCCGCCCAAACCAACACAGCATTTCAATGAAAGGAAGCGGGGTTAGGCAGCGATGCATCAGTATTTGCGCTTGTAGCAAAAAATATCAGCCGCTAGAATAATATCTTGGTCATTCGACTTTACAATCTGCCAGACTCACCAAGATATCCATATCTTCATTTTCCGTATGGCTACGAGGAAGAAGAAATGCAAGGCTTCACCGTCATTCAAGAGACCTCCATCATCCACGATGGGTGATCTAGACTCTTCGGTATCAAGAGACCAGGAGATTATTCTCGGCCTTATTGCTAGGTAAGAAGTCACCAATTCAGGATGACATTCGTTCTGAAACTAACGCCAAGGTAGCCTCCACCTCAACTCAGACTATAGCGATTTGACTATCATTTGCAAGGATGCAGTCTTCTCTGCTCATAAGCTCCTCGTCTGCTCCAGATCAGAGTATTTTCGTCGGGCTTGTTCTAGCGGGTTCAAGGTAGTCAAAGTTAATCCTGTGGACGATTCTTCGTACCAAGACTGACAAGCGGTGATGACTTTTAGGAAACCTACAACCCGATTCATCTGGACGAACAAGACCCGATCCTAATTGAGAAGATGCTGGAATTCCTATATACGGGAAACTACACCTTCCGATCCCGCACGCCTAAATCCCCACAGACTGTTGACGGTGAAGCTCACGCAGAGGAGCCAACGATGGAGTCGCTCCTGCCAGAGGAACTGGCCATGAATGAATCAGCTCCAATTGACGAAACCCTATCCGAGCAACGGGACACCGTAGAGCTTGTGGCCGATACATTGGCTGACTGTCATCCATGTTACTTCCATGTGCGCATGTATGGCGTGGCGGATTACTTCATGATCGGCGATCTGAAAAGCAAAGCGGAGGGACACTTTAGTGCATCATTCATGGATTGTTCCGAAAGAGAGTCCTTTGCAGAAATGATCCAAGAACTTTATTCGACACAGGCCAACTACCAGAAGCTGAGGCAATTGGCGATTCAAATGATAGTTGACAACCTACCGCGTCTTCGAACAGGGCGCACTCCTGTGATTGATGCCGAACTCATGAAGTCGGTGCCCGATTTTACATACGATTTATGTCAAGCGACTCTCGACAATTATGTGCCACACATTAGGGAAGAATACTACTTCTAGGTCCGTGTGAGGTTTGATCCCTGGATTCCCTCAAGGACAACTGGAAATCTGCCAAATTCGTAATGGTAGAAATTCAGAATATGATGGACAACAAGCTAGCCATAGAATTGAAGATTTCGTATGAATAATAACCAAGTAAACATTCGAGAGCATGCTATAGATTCATTTTCCTAGCTGCTAAGGCTGTTTAGTTAAACCAAGCTTCACCCAGTAATTCTTTGCTGTTGGACGAATGGATTTGCAAAATCTATTCTGTTTTAAAGCTCTCACCTCGCCCCGTCCCTTCCTCATTTTTTTCTTCTTCTAACAAGCCAAGGAGTAGGTCATCATCTTTCCATTTCTTTAAAGCCTTGCTCTTCCATGCTTCCCACTCCTCATCTTCAAATTTGAAGGCCCGCTGGAGTCCTGCGAAGATATGTGAAAGGGTCTGTCTATCTAGAAAAGAGCTCTCAGGACCAAGAGCGAAGAAAAATCTTTGAGCCTTCCTGCCCTCGACGACACAAACGGCAAGATCCTCGCGGCCCTTTTCGCGAAAGATGGCAGCTAGTCTCAATTCGTCCGCGGCTAGCTCATTAGAGCCGTTGTAGAACTCAGCTACCGGCCACATCATACACGGGGAACAGAATGCCTCCGCCTTAGAGACAGTTTGCGTCCATTCCCAGTCGATGATACCTACAATATCGAAACAGTCATCAACCAGAATATGGTCACCCTTATCATCCGGGTGCTTAAGAAAGAATTGGTCGCCTAGTGGGACGTCAAAGAGAGTGCCAACAATATCCTGGCGAAATCGATGGAAGAGGTATGTATCTACCGGATAGCAGGGGTCAATCTCGCCGCTAGCTATCATTGTGAGGTAGGACTCGAGGATAGCCTGAGAGTACTCGGGCGAGGAAGAGAATGGACCGAGTGGCCCCTCTCCTACACGGAATATGGATTGATTTGCGAGACCTTGAAGGCTTATGACATCTCCCGTCGAGGAGATTAGTGATCCCATTACTTCGAAAGGATGCCTATCAATCTCGAGGGAAATGTCAACCAACTGCTGCATGACCTTCTCTTTCTGCTGAGGAGTCGCTGCCTGCCAATCCAGAGGCTTTCCATCTAGCTTTTCCATCAGAATATAGTCAACTCCGATTAGATTTTCTGGATCGGATTCGCATGCCCAATCAAAAATCTTGGGCGTGGGAATGCAAGTATACCGCTGGAGGTAAGTCATAGTGGCAGCTTCGCTTCGAAGTATCCAATCACGGACTTCCCGCGGCGGTGATGAGGTTCTTGCGAGGCGAAAACGTGCGAGCCACTTGACATTATCATCGAAGGTAATCTCGGCATGGCAGTTCTGGTTCCCCATCATGGCAGACAAGCTCTTACGAGACAAGTCAACCGTACACGAGATACCTTCTCTGAGCATCGATGCGCGGAAACATAACTTGGAGCAATCTATTCGAAGGCATAGTTCGTCTATGTGACGAGCCTCTGTAGCTGCATATTGAGCAGAGTATGACTCCCAGTTTTCCTATTAGATGAGCATGGGCATTTGTATTATGGCTATACCACAAACCTCTGGTTTTGGGCATTTGTGCCACGGCTCTCGACGGTGCGTGCGACAGAAGTGTCTATCGCACAGCAAGCAATCTCCTGCTCTCTGCGCAGCTGGTTTCTTACAACTTTCCCATTCGCATGACCAGTGAGGCATTGTGGAAAAGTTGGTCTATCGAGGTGCCCCACTGGAGAGCTCTAGAGTAGCAATGAACGAATCTTGTGATCAAGATAATGACAGCCAGTCCGCGTTTTGTTGATGTTCCTTACAGGCGGTCGGGAAAATGGAAAGTCCGCGAGTTTCACTTCAGCAACGGGAAAGCCCCTCCTGTTTTTTGGAGGGAGAGAAAATATACTCGTTGAATTGTTCACACTGCCAATGTTGCCAGGGCTGCATCAAAGGTGATTACCTAATCCATCTCGTTTTCCAAGGTCCCAAGGTTAACGCGTATGTTAAGGGGCAATATCAAGTCGCTTCAAGTTCCTACTGCCCTACGTAACGAAGTCCTATGCCAAGCAGGTAACCGACTTGGCATTTCTCTAGTTTTAGGCAATCCAGTTACCAATTGGTAGATGTCCTTAGTTAATTAACCACTACTCCTTATAGGGCTGTAATAACAGGACATGACAGAAACAAAGCTGGGCAAACTATAATTCTCGTTGTACCTCTGTTGTAGGTCCTACCTGCTCTCCAATTTCCGGAGGTCCAAATTACATTGTGGATTTCTCGCGAGCCATGGATACTCTTCAGATGAAATCAAAGCTCCGTCAAATCAAACTATGACGAGACGATCGGAAATCTTCAACGATCTAAGAAAAGGGTCCACGGGTCGATTTAGCGCAGATCGGCGATCGCTAGGGCTGAGTTCATTGCCAATCGAGGTCTGCGATTCGATTCATGTCGTCACCAGTCAAATGCAGTCAAACCTAAAAAAAACCCTTGCTGCCCCTTTTGGTTCTTTTTCCTTCTTTCGTTTGTTTTCCCCCTTCTCCCAGTCTCGCAGATATGAGTGGACAGGCTGCTAGCTATTACAATAACGAGGGCTTCCCTCAGGGCCAACCTCAGTATCCGCCCAACTATGGTCATGACCAGCAACATGGGAACTATCAACCGCCGAATAATGCGCCATACCAGCAGCCAACCTATCAGCAACCTCCATCTGAGCCCAAACCACCGCAGGACCACCAAAATGTCCCAGAGTCTGGATACACTTTTGACCAGGCATTCAAGATCGAGAAGCCAAAGTGGAACGACCTGTGGGCAGGTCTTTTGGTGAGTGTGGCCGTGTCGAATTGATAACCTCCTTTAGCTAACCTATTACACAGTTGATCGCAGTCTTCCTCGGGTATGCCGCCGTGTCCGGACTTACCATCCACAAGTATGCCACCAACAAAGGCTTCAACGGAGGTGGCATTTACGACTCGAGCAATGATTTCTCGCTGGACACCAACACCCTCGTCTTATTTATCTTCGTCCTTGTCGTCGCCCTAGTCTTCTCTTGGCTCTATTTCATGGGCGCAAGATACTTCACCAAGACCTTCATCTGGGCGACCGGCATTCTCAACATTGTCTTCGCCTTGGCAACAGGAATCTATTACATCACGCGCAAGCAATATGGAGGTGGTATCGTATTCCTCATCTTCGGCGTCTTCGCAATCGTCTGTTTCATCAGCTGGATCCCGCGAATTCCCTTCACTGCCTTTATGCTGCAGACCGCCATGGATGTGGCCCGAGGCTACGGGCACATCTTCGTAGTAAGCGCGCTGGGCGGAATCGTGACGGTTGCTTTCGCCGCCTGGTTCTCCGTCACGATGGTTTCGATCTACGTCGCCTACGAGCCCGATTCCACTGGCAACAACCCATCCTGCACGAACGGCGGCTGCAGCAGAGCAAAGGTCATCGGCCTCGTCGTCTACGTGACCTTCGCCATGTACTGGGTCAGTGAGTGGATCAAGAACACGGTGCACACCACCGTCGCCGGTGTCTACGGTTCGTGGTATTTCTTCAGCAAGTCCGCCGGCGGCATGCCCAAGGGCTCCACCCGGGGCGCCTTCCGTCGCGCGACTACATACTCCTTTGGCAGTATCAGTTTCGGCAGTCTGATCATCGCGTTCATCAACATGTTGCGGCAGGCGTGCTCGGTCGCGCAGCGACAAGAGGCTGGACAGGGTAACTTGGTCGGTAGTATCTTCGTTTGGATTTTGGGATCTATCATCTCGCTGCTGGACTGGCTTGTTACGCTTTTCAATCGCTACGCGTTCTGTCACATCGCACTGTACGGAAAGGCTTATATCCCCGCAGCCAAGGATACTTGGTCTATGATGCGCGACCGAGGAATTGATGCTCTCGTGCAAGACTGCCTGATGGGTCCCGTGTTGACTATGGGCTCGACTTTCGTCGCCTATGTCTGTGCGCTATTGTCCTATCTCTATCTGCAGTTCACCAACCCCGCGTACAACAGGGATGGTAACTTCACCGCGGTCATCATGGCTTTCGCTTTCTTGATTGGTCTTCAGGTCTGCCAGGTCTTCATGACTCCCATTGGTAGTGGCGTTGAGACTATCTTCGTGGCGATGGCTTGGGATCCTCAGGTCATGATTAATGACCACCCGGATATTTATTACAAGCTGGTGGAGATTTACCCTAGAGTCCAACAGGCAGTTCACGCTTGAGCCCTCCAGACAAATTTACAGCAGGGGCCTTGGACTTGTACTCTAACAGTCCAATCTCTATGTCTATAGGCGGAATCTCTATCCGCTTTTTCGCCATGTATGAATCACCAGCAAAAATCGGTGCACGTTAATTTAAATTGAAGATAATATACGACTAATAACACTGCCAAACATATTTCATGCATCATTACCAAGTCCAAGACCATCTAAACATCAATCTCAAAAAACCCCAAACATGAACTAACTGCTAACCAAGCCATAAAGAAACGAGAAGCACCCTCTCAAACAACCTACAAAGTAACAACGACAGCCATAACAGCCGCAACGCCAAGCACCGCAACACCACCATGCACCGAAGCGCCCGCCGCCGCCGCCCCCTTGAAAGGCGAGAACCGAGTCGGATCAACACCAGAAGGCACAGCCGAAGACGTAGCCTGCGGACCAAAAATCACAGACGACGAAGCCGCACCACCCATCAAGCCATGCAGCCGACTAGCCGGCATCGAAGATGCCACCACCGCCATAGAAGCGGCACTGCTAGCGGGAACATCAACCGGAATCTGCGAGATATGCATCGGTCTCTCGACGGCCGGAGTGCTCTTGCAGCTGCAATCAGTGCGTGTCTCAGTCACGTAGACGACGTGCGGAACAGCAGCTTCGGCTTCGCGCTCAGGTGCGGGCGCGGGTGCGAAGGCCCGCTTCTTCTCGGCGAGCTGCATGGGTCTGCTTGCGTGTCGTGCGGGTGCGGCATCTGTTGTGTTGCTGCAGAGGGAGGTTGTGAGGGATGTTAGGTCGAGGCCGGCGCAGGCTGGGGCCGTGGATGTGGTTAGGGCTTTGATTAGGGATTTGTTGGCGCAGAAGCATTCTTGCGAGGTTTTGGTGCTGCAGGATGTGAAGTTTGAGATGTTTATGTTGCTGAAGGCGGCGCTCTGGGTGGGTTGTTAGGTTTGTTTAGGTACTTGGTTTATTGGGTTGGGGTTCTTACGGCGCACTTGAGGTAGTCTTCGGTTGATTGGGCTAGGGCGCCGGCGATGAGGACTGAGGCGGTGATGAAGGAACGCATTTTGGATATTTCGTGGTTTTTGGAGAAGTGGTTTGCGAGCTTGGAGGTAGTTATACTAGGATGGGGAGTCTAGCATATAACCGAACGAAGCTATGGAGGGAACGGCTGGTTCGTGGAATACTCGGTGCTTTATTTACAATTGGATTCTCCTATCAGTTATTTCCCGAGGAAATATTTGCTTTGACATCACATCCATATCCCTTCATCCCTTAATCGCGGTGTTATGGCGTTTATGACGTCTAGGAATTCTGGGACGATGCTTATCCTAAGAGAGAAGCTTCGGGTGGCATTTTCCAGCCCCACGTACGCTTGGTCTCCTGTTTATCGTGTGTATGTACTGGACTGATGGAAGAATCTACCAGTTGTCATCTCCCTGTGACGTTCCTGGCTTATCCCTAGGTCCTATACTCCGAGGAATGTTGGATTGAAGGATCAAAGGACAGTCTCATTTTTCTGTTTCATGGATCTTATTAAAGAAGGCTGGTAACTGTTCAATTGAGAGGAATCCAAATTCTCTACGTGTGATCGAAGTCGATACCACCTTGGTGCTATGATAGTGCTTACATGTGATATCCAAGGAGTCGAAATATGTCACCTCGAAGTATGGATCTGCCGGCGATAGGTATAGGCTATAGCTTAAGATACTATCAATCAGTTGGCGATGCCAGATGTAATTTTCCCGTGTATATATATGGACATTGAGTACTGTGTGGGAATAACATAATGGGCAATTCTTAGAGTCTAAAGATACCGCGAAGAACTATCAAATTGGGTATAACAGTATAACTAAGATATGATCTAACAACTCACCCCATTGCTTCCGAACAGTTCGATATAAAGAAAACCCAATAGTAACGAACATCGAGAATAAGAAGATCCAAGCCCAGCTCAGAACTTCTCACTAGTCACACACCGCGTCGAATTGACCAATAACCAAGCCAAGATCTTCACAATGAGCGTCAGTCCCTTCACAACTATATCCAAGCCAAAGAAAAGTATACGCAAGATGGTGCGAGTAATTCCAGGCAACTTCTTCCCCTCTCGCGACGAACTATTGCCATATCGACCATACTTCTCTA